ACGCTCTCTGTTTCATTCGATTCCTGATAGAGCAGATTTCAGTGCCAGCATTGAACACCTGTGTCAAGATAGTCTTGGAAGAAAAGGTGACTGCACCTTCCGTGCCAGAATCCGACAAACGAGTAGAGTTTGGGTTGGGATTCTCAGATGAATTACTGAGAACGAGCTTGATGGTAGTGTGGGAACTGATGAGACCATCATGGTGTCCTAGTCCCAATGCTGACTCGATACTACGAGCGACACAAGACGTGCAGAGGGAACTAAACGCAGACTGTAACCTGCGTGACCTGAACATCATATATAATGTGATGACGACAGCCTCTAGGAGCAACGGGGAAGACCAAGTGGAGTTGCCTGGCTGGGGACCAGAAGACTGGGTCAAACCTGGTAGCTGTCTGGCAGAAGTGTGTGGACTGGAAGGTCACGTTTGTGGAAATCTGGATTGCGTGAAAGCCCTAGAGAGACAACACAAGCAGTTGACGATATTCTTTGGGAACGTTATGATGAAAGCAAGGACGGAAAGGGAACTGATCGCAGATTGCCATGGAGGAACCGAGGTGAATCTAGTGTCTGCATAAGGATTCTACAGCATGTTTGGTTCTTTAGAGTCACTATTGAATCTAGAACAGAAACATGAGATGGTCACAGCCAGCAGTGTAGAAGTGTTCCCAGGAGTGTTGCAAACTGAGCAAAAGTACATAGGAAAATGGAGGGAAGCGATCGAGACGGAAATGAACATCCGACACAGTGAAATTTATCGTAAACCATCAGGAGCACGATATTTGGTGGGATCGACATTAGCTCCAATGTGCAGGAGCAGATACCCGGTGCATTTTGTAGCTTTGGATGTAAAGAGTACGAGAACGATCGTGGATCAAGCCAAAGTGTGTGAGACTAACGAGAATGTCGGAAAAATCTTACGAGTTACTGTGTAAAATGTTCTCAGCAGTTCCAGAGAGAACCAAGGAAGAGTTGGAATCAATACTGGGAACGAATTTCATGGGATACGTGAGTGGGAACTTCAGTGACTTTGAGAGACAGAAACAGAGAGGATCAAGCGTTACAGATTACAATACAGTAGACGAGAATGATGAAGTCCACCGAGTGATGATGGAAGTGGAACCATTACTGGAAGCTTCGGGAAAGCGTAATTGGAGGAGAATCTTGTTGACACATGATGAGTTTCCCTGCCACTGCTTGCTGCAAACATGGTGGTATCCCGAGCGTAGTAATCTGGTGTTGATCTGGGACTCTGGAGAGCTGCTCTCCATGGGTTTACCAGACTCATCAAGGCCCATAACAATAGTGATAGTGGGATTTATGATGGCGATACGATGGCTGGAGGCTCATGTGAGAGAGAACAATAGTCAGGAGGCGCCAACGCGAGAACAATTGCAGAAGTTGGATTGTCTAAAAGATTTAGATCTTTTTGAGACAACGTGCAAGATTCTCAACACTCCTATGGAAGTGAAAAAGATATGGGCAAGAAGACGACTGTTGCCATGGTTTAGAGTCAACATGACTGCATGGTTGTACGAATATGCAAAAAAGCATATGTCGAAGCACCGCAGACAGAGTGTATAGTGGGTATCAGCTGGACATTGGGCGGGAGTTTTCAAGCGAGCTTTCGTGACTCATTGGAATGCAGTGACCACCGCGGTGAAGAGAATTTCCAGGACAAGTGAACGTAGTGGAAAGGAAAAAGAAGAGATGTTGAAGGAAGATTTGGAGAGAAACGTGACGTTGTGTCTCCACAACAGCTTCTGGCGGAACAGAGAACCTAACGTGGATCCCCTGCCTTGTTGTAAACAGAGGGTAGAAGAGCAGAAGTGTTGGAGGACTGCTTCCAACAGCGTCAGATTAGCTAACGATGTGTTGCAAGACACAGACACTAAAAGTGCAGAGTCAATGTCACAGGAGGAGGAGACGGAACATTGACGAATGGCCGTAGAGACAAGATGCAAAAAAAACGAAATTAGAAGAGTTTAGAAGTTTTAGAACTTCTAAACGCCGAAAAAAAAGAAGAGACAAAGAGGTGACAAAAGAGAAGAAGTTAAAACTCAGAATTGTTTTATGTGTGTAATGAAAACTCAAGTGAGAAACTAAGCAACCAAGTTGTAATTGAAACTGAAACATTTAGTTGAGTTTTGAACATTAAAGAATTTGTTGCATTTATAAATTTGCATTTTGACTTTAGTTAGTGGCTTTAGAGACACTTACTAATTATTTAGAAAGGCTTGAGCAGAGAATATATTTAAAAATTCCAGTCTGCATGACTGTTTTTAATCAACTAGGAGAACTGATCACTTTGTGGTGACATGAAAGGCTTGGGTAATCTCTTGAAGAGGGAGATTGTTTCATTGTTCTTTCTTACCACAAAGTTTCTTAATTTTAATATTCAGGATAATAACAACTAAAATTTCCGAAGAGAAAAAGCATAGTAGGATAATTTTAGCTTGTTGGTTGGCAGGACTGTCCTGCAAACTAACACCTTTTAAAACCTAGGAGAAAAAGTTTTAATTCAGGGCAATGACGTTGGAAGTCAGAAAAAATGTTTTATCTTAAGTCATATCCTTAAAGTGCATATCAGTGAAAAAAATTCAGAAGGCTATAGCAATGTAGTATGTTGCCATTTATATTCTGCAGTGAGTCGATATGACGTGGATAAAAGTAATTTCGTGCATTTTGTAAATTCTGTTCAATGACACTATACCAGTTTTACGAATATTGCGAGATTCAATGGGGACATTGACCGGGCTGTCCGGGGAGTATGTGAAATTCGACCAGAATGGACAAAAATGCAGATTCAGCAGTTTAGAGTTTTTAGCCGCGAACCTTCCGAATTGGCGGTTTTGAATGATTAAGAGCGTTATTCAGACGATTAGACAAATCGTGAAGGCTGAAGGATTCGGAAATTACTAAATTTTAAAAATTCGAAATGATGACGTAATAATTCTGAGAAACGTCAAAAAAGGCCATTTTGGAAAAACACCGAAATAGACAAAAAAAACAACGATAGTTGCGACGACGACAGCAAAGGAAGAATTGAGAATCGGAATCAGAAAAAAAACAGAAGTAGCAGAGACCGCTCCGAGTTGCAACTATTGTGCCGCTACAATAGTTGCAAGGCCGTTGCGAACAACGGTGAAGGTTGGAAAACCAGCCTTCGGGAAGGAGAATAAGAATCTTATTTCCCCGGATTCAAGAATCTGGAGGGATCTCGGGATTTGGAATGAAACTGTTTTACACAAACTTTTAGCTTCCCTATCATGCCCTGAGTTGAATTTAATTAACATCTGAGTTCATTTTGCAAGGATGAGAAGCTAGGAGTTGGGAAAAAGGGTTGATCCATCTTCGATAGAGATGATGATTTTTATCTACTGAACAAAAACAATAGTAATATAATAAGTAGTAGTAGCCCTGCTTTTAGGAGTGACCTCGTGGTCTGGGGACACTGAGACCCAGCCATGAGCTCACTATTTCTGCATGTTATTAGGTTAATTTGAGCGTTCTGGTCGAAGTCGGAGAACAGTAACGTTTTTGTCGACCCGATGTTAGAAAGACCACCAAAAGAACTGGCTTTGGTTATTTTTGTCGACCCGATGTTAGAAAGACTACCAAATGAACTGGCTTTCGAATGTTATTTTTATTGTGACAGCCGAGCGGGAAGATTGGTGGTTCCAGCACATTATCGGTGTTAATTGTTCATTTTGACGAACGCGGAATGGTTAATTTGGACTGACATGTTAATTTTTTAAAATTTGTTTGAAAAGAAAGACACATGACGACGTCGAAATATCGCGACAACTGAAAACTGCAAAAGACACGAAACAACAGAATTCGTTGAGAAAAACGGTGAACGACAATTGTGCAAGACAGATCGAGATTGAAATAGAAAACGACTATCAGACCATTCCGAGTTATAACGATTGTGCCGCTAAAATTATTACAAAACGCATGCCGAGAACCAGGAAGGGTATTGGGACGACGTGTCCTGCTTTACGGGAAGAAATAAGAGTGTAATTTGCCTGGATTCCAGAATCCGGAGGGTCTCGGTAGAAAAATATGACTCTCTGTTTATATGAATTTTAAGCTTCTGGTCATGTCCTGATTTAAATTAAAAACATCTAAACTCGTTTTCAGATTATGAGAAGCTAGGAGTTAAGGGAAAGGGTTGATCCATCTTCGATTGAGATGATGATTTTTATCTACTGAACAAAAACAATGGTAATATGATAAATATGTAGTAGCCCAGTTTTTAAGAGTGACCTCGTGGTCTGGGGATACTGAGATCCAGCCATGAGCTCACTGATTTTGCATGTAATTAAGTTAATTTGAGTGTTCTGGTCGAAACCGGAGAACAGTAACGTTTTTGTCGACCCTATGTTAGAAAGACCACCAAAAGAACTGGCTTTGGTAGAGACGGTGAAAAACATGTAAAGCTCTGTTTAGACGTTGGCCAGTCGTCTTAGGACCTAGCTTTATTTTCCGTCGATATGTATCTTACAGTTATTTCGCTCGTAGCCTTTAAGCTGTAACACGATTAATAGTCTCATGTTGCAAGTGAACCGAATTGGTTCCGACCGGTTGAGATAGAAAAACACATGAGATAAAGTCGCTGACTCTTGAGCCAAAGATTATAGTGCCTGTTTTTCTTGACCTCATATGTGACTTAAGTAGGCGACTGTTACATAGTGTTTTTAGGGCATCAGAAATCGAATTGAGTAGTTTTGGTACAAATGGGATCGATTTTTCATTTTAGTACAAATGAACTTAGGTACAAACGGGACGTCGCTGTGTAATTTTCGGGCGAATAATGAGCGCTCAAACTACTGAACATCGTACAAAGGGATCTAAAAACAGATGAACTTGAAAGCCCGTTCACAATTTGGTATGGCCGCATCTAGCCTGTGCACTGAACGTAACTACGCAAGGGGCTCTATCAGTGTTTACTTTTTGTACAACAAGTTTTGAAGACTAATTGATATATTTGAAGTTTTAGATAATGCATTTGTATAACATAACATTGCACAGACCTTCAACTATCAACCAAGCAGTTCATGGCAACTTCTCTGGATCGAAACAACAGGAACTTGCGGTTGGAAGGGGAAGAATTCTGGAAATATTGAAACCTGATCCTCAAACGGGGAAAGTTTATACACTGTTATCTGTCGAGGTAATCGGAATCATTCGGGCTCTAAAAACTTTCCGGTTAACTGGTAGCACTAAGGACTATCTAGTTATTGGATCTGATTCAGGAAGAATAGTCATCTTGGAGTATAATGCTTCAAAAAATGCACTGATTCGAGTGCATCAGGAAACGTTCGGTAAGAGCGGCTGTCGCAGAGTAATTCCTGGACAGTTTTTGGCTATCGATCCGAAAGGCAGAGCAGTAATGATAGGCGCCGTTGAAAAGCAGAAACTATGTTACATTATGAACAGAGATGCTGAGGCAAGGCTTACAATATCATCGCCACTTGAAGCGCATAAGGCGAACACGTACACATACTACATTGTGGGAGTAGATGTAGGTTTTGAAAACCCGTTGTTTGCGTGTCTCGAAATGGATTATGAAGAAATGGACGCAAGTGCCACTGCAGAAACTCCATCACAGTTTTTAACTTACTACGAACTTGATTTAGGGCTGAACCATGTTGTACGCAAGTACAATGAAGCCCTTGATGACACGGCCAATTTACTTATTGCAGGTAAGTGAACCCTATTTATCACAATCAGTGGTTTTACTATGATAGAGTGGTCCATTGAAAATAACCAGGTCCCTTGACAATAAGGCACCTAGAGCGTTCAAGTCATTTAACAATTATGATTTCGACATTCCAAAAAATGCCGCAGTATAAATTCACACCAATTTCATGTTTAGTTTTTGCGTAGAATCTCCCCCTCGATTTTTAAGGTTAAAAATTCATAAATAGTCGCCAAAATTGATGATCAATAAGTAAACCAAATTATGGTTGTTAAATCGTACAATAAGTTGAAGCGAGCATATTTCTTGATATAAACAATATAGTTACTATAACATTTAATTTGAAAAGGTTCTAACTCAACAGATTTCGCGAGATTTTGAAATGAATAATTTATTTCCAAGTTAGATTTCAAATTATTTTATGCGAAATGCATGCGGGACCTGTCTAGCATAGTTGTTTTTCGCGGGACCGTTCTATCATAGTAGTACCCAATTAGTATTGAAATTCATCACTATCATAACTTTTGGGCTTGGAATAATACGCTTTCTGCATTTACAATTTTTTAAATTCTGATAGCTCTCAAAGAGTTGAATAGAACTATCGCATATGGTAGGTTTTTCAACAATGTCAGATACCCGAAAGTACTTGCAATACGATTGAAGGTTGTAAAACACGGGGCTAGACGTGCCTATTTTCAAGTAGTATTCAACAAAGAAAGTTTTGATGCGTATTATTTCTTTCCGGCCAAAAACAGAATACGAATTAGAGTAGTTAGAGCTTATGCTTTCTTCTCTTTATGCTAATTTTTTGTTGTTTAGGCTAATTTACTTTTTCAACCCATAAACTAGTGCTCAATTAGCATTTTAGCTATGGCGTGCACTTCGCTTAATTGGTTGCTGAGATTTGGAAGACAGTAAGGTGATAAGTCGCCTTTGTTTGGAAAGTAGACTCTAACCCAGGAGTTAAGGGGTTTCGAATCCAGTAGTCGGCAAATTATTGTTACATTTCAAAGTTTTATATTACAGTTAAATTCCTTTTTGTCATTTTTTAATTGTGCTGGTGAAATGTAGCGTCGTCTCTCTTGAAAACTCTTGAAATCAGTTTAATCGATTTAACTCACTTGTGATTCTATAATCTTGTCGCAAGCGCGCACGGGGATTGAGTGTTTTTTTCGATCTTGGATTTTTAAAGCAGAGGGACGTTTATGTTATTACTGCTCCACAAAACTTAAAAAGCAGTCGGAACCTTCAGGGATTCGCCCTGATACGAGCAGTCTTGTTTTACTTTGTCATTTCTTTCTTCTTTCATTCAGAGCTTTGAGTCTTGCCTTAAATTTTAAGAAAAACTCATTTTTATCGGATTGCAGAGATGAAAACAAGGATAGCCGGTTACTGTGCAAGTAGCACAGAATATCTGACCATATTCTCAAAAATACAACAAAAAGTTTTTTCAAACTAGCGTCGTTTTTTCGGCGTGGTTGTCTTAAAAGGAGCTGAACTAAAACCCAGAGATTAGGCATATTCGACAGTCATAGTAAAAAAAATCAAAAACAATTATTGTAAAAATGATTAGAAAAACGAAAAAAATATATATTTTACAAAATTTGTTTTAAATTTTTGTTGCAGTAATATGAATTTTTGATTGCGAAAAGGCGCTAAGACTAACGTTACTCGAGTAAGCTAAGTTTAAAGCCATTGTAATAAACTATTGTGAGCCTGCTCGCTCGCTTTATTCGCTCGAGTTAACACGAAAACGAAAATTTTCACACCGGGTTTTTGCGACGCTAGGAAATGTTTTTGAAATTTGTGGTGGCTAATTTTGCGTGGAAAACAAAAAAAAGAAAGAAAAACTAAAACTCACCCGAATACAAAGTTCCTCCACATTTTTCAAAAAATCGGAACAATAAAGGTCAGCTATTTTATCTTTTTTAAACCAATAAATGCCTGTAGTCCCTGCTCCTGTAAAATGCTTTACTTTACAGAAATATGAAATTTTTCGCGGTTTTACACAAGCCAACTTTAGTGATTGTTAGTGTAATAGTGCGACTTTTTTTCTAATCTAAGTCAAAAATATTGGTGCCACTTTTGGTGGCACCTTGACGGCCGTTTGATAGCATGTGCTTTGACATTCGAGTAGTAATAAGTTAATACAGTTGATGCATTTTTAATTCATCAAATCAACCGAAAAAATTATTTGCTTCAAACAACATAATTATAAAAACTCGATCTCTGAAGTTTTCTAACTCAATACATTTCGCAATTTTTTTGAAATGCTTAATTCTTACGAAATGTGGCTTTATGCTTTCCAATCTTTCCATGCAAAAGAACTGTGAATGCTTTCAGTTTGGCATATTTAGGCTACCGATTTTTAGTGAGCGTTAGTGTAATAGGACTTTTTCTTCTAATCTAAGTCGCACAGTTATTGGTGCCACTGTTGGTGGCATCTTTACGGCTTTTTAATAGCATGTGCTTTGACATTCGAATAGTAATAAATTAACACAGTTGATGCATTTTTAATTCATCAAATGAACAGAAAAAGTTATTTGTTTCAAACAAGACAACAATCATAAAAATTTTATTGCCAAAATTGTCTAGCTCTATAACTCTTGCAACTTTTTGAAATTCATAATTAATATATGATGTGGCTTATGCTTAATGCTTTCGAATGTATTTCTTGCCAAGCTAGTATGATTACTCTCATTTTGTTAGACTCCAAACTATTACTTGCAAAATTGTGTCTATTTGTATTTGCTGCCACTTTTACTGCATTGGATTGGCAATTAATTAGCATATGTAGCTGATATATTTTTGACTAGTATTTGCAAATTGTTGAGCGTTCGTGGCCGAGAGGGCAGGGCGTGAGACTCCAAGTCTCGAGGTAGCAGGTTCGAATGCAAAACGTAGCAAGTTTTTTTTAATTCGATGTTTATTTATTTTTTTTTCTTTCATTTTATACTACTGCTTTGTTGTTGCGGTGTTCTCTCTAGTGTCTACGCAGCTTCGCTTCTGTGTTACAGTTATTTTTCTGAATTCTTAATTAGAATGAATTCTCTGACTTTTCAATTGGATCCGCTCCGCCTGTCTTAAACGGCATCAAAATTGTAGCTGCAATAGAAGAGGATGCTAGTTGTTCCGGCCATTGAAAATATGGAGGAAATTTTGTTCGGGTGTTTTAAGTATCCACGCAAAATCAGGTAACACGAATAATCATTGGAATGCGGTGAGTGATATATTAGATAAAAGCTTTTTCAGTCATGATTCGAACGACTTCAAAGTTTTTCAAAAAGTAGTAGTGTTGAGAAAAACTTATTTGAAATTTATGGGTTTAGCCTAATTTCGAGCGAGTATAAGAGACCTCCTCACTTGATTTATTTGCTCAAAATTAAACAGTTTCGATTTATTTGCTCAAAATTAAAAAATTTTGAGTAAAATTTTTGATTTAAGAATGAAAAAAAATTGTTTTACTACGAAAAAACTTGTTATTGATGTTTCATTTGGTGCTTCCTTTGCAATAAAAATGAAAATGAATTCTGTAAAATAGCCAGTGTTTTGCAATCATTTACTGGACTTTTTCACCGGTAAATAATTTTGTTCACAGGATCTGCGATTTCAATAGATCTCCGGTTTCGTCCAAGTTGCATTTATAACAGCTGTAGTTCATGGTCTTGAGTTACTTTGTTATGAATTTATGAGTTACGGGGTCTACAGCTAAAAATCATTTCAGATTGAGATTGATTTTTTGGTCCCAATGTTAGCCGACTTATTTGCTGGGTGTTTTTAGTAACCTTCGTTTCAATCCAATTGTTTTATTCAATTAACTATTGAAGAACGTATCTGTATTTCATGGATTTTTTGTTTCTTAATACGCTGAAACTTTTTGTTTGAAAATATTTATTTTTGAGCAACTTTTTTAAATTTTTTTAAAGTATTTTTCAATATTTTGGAATGAAAATATTTATTTTTGAGCAATTTTTTTAAATTTTTTATAAGTATTTTTCAATATTTTTCAATTTTTTTGACTGCTTGGTTTTCGATTTTTTTCTTTCTGAGACTATAAGCAGTCAGCGTAGTCAACTTAGCGTCATAAATTCAATGAGCAATTTCATTTAAACACAATTCTAGGTGATGGCACAGCGTATTGTTTATGTTCCAAATATTTTAAATCTTGAAGTAGATGTAAAGTTTTGTTTGGCAATTTTGATTGACTGTTTTGTCTACAAAGATATTTTTTAAATAAATTCAATCAACCATCTGGCGAGGAGATAAAAAACCAGCTTGAAACGGCAAGTTTTTTTATTCGAATCCAGTCATGACCTAATTTTTGCAATGTTTTTTTTTTGCTTTTTCGGTCTATCGTCCGTTTGTTGCTTTTGTTGGCTTAGTTACTGTAAATTGTAGATATTGGAGCTGATCATGGGGGATTCTAGATATGTGGCTTATGCTTTATGCTTTCGAGTTTATGCTTAATCATACTAGTTTCGATTTATTCATGATGTGGCTTATGTTTTATGCTTTCGAATGTATTTCTTGCAAAGCTAGTATGATTACCCTCATTTTGTTTAGACTCCAAACTATTACTTGCAAAATTGTGTCTATTTGTGTTTGCTGCCACTTTTACTGCATTGGATTGGCAATTAATTAGCATATGTAGCTGATATATTTTTGACTAGTATTTGCAAATTGCTGAGCGTTCGTGGCCGAGAGGGCAGGGCGTGAGACTCCAAGTCTCGAGGTAGCAGGTTCGAAGGCAAAACGTAGCAAGTTTTTTTAATTCGATGTTTATTTATATTTATTTTTTCTTTTTATACTACTGCTTTGTTGTCGCGGTGTTCTCTCTAGTGTCTGCGCAGCTTCGCTTCTGTGTTACAGTTATTTTTCTGAATTCTTAATTAGAATGAATTCTCTGACTTTTCAATTGGATCCGCTCCGCCTGTCTTAAACGGCATCAAAATTGTAGTTGCAATAAAAGAGGATGCTAGTTGTTCCGGCCATTGAAAATGGGGAGGAAATTTTGTTCGGGTGTTTTAAGTATCCACGCAAAATCAGGTAACACGAATAATCATTGGAATGCGGTGAGTGATATATTAGATAAAAGCTTTTTCAGTCATGATTCGAACGACTTCAAAGATTTTCAAAAAGTAGTAGTGTTGAGAAAAACTGGTTTGAAATTTATGGGTTTAGCCTAATTTCGAGCGAGTATAAGAGACCTCCTCACTCGATTTATTTGCTCAAAATTAAACAGTTTCGATTTATTTGCTCAAAATTAAAAAATTTTGAGGAAAATTTTTGATTTAAGAATGAAAAAAATTGTTTTACTACGAAAAAACTTGTTATTGATGTTTCATTTGTTGCTTCCTTTGCAATGAAAATGAATTCTGTAAATTAGCCAGTGTTTTGCAATCATTTACTCGACTTTTTCACCGGTAAATAATTTTGTTCACAGGATCTGCGATTTCAATAGATCTCCGGTTTCGTCCAAGTTGCAATTATAACAGCTGTAGTTCTTGGTCTTGAGTTACTTTGTTATGAATTTATGAGTTACTGGGTCTACAGCTAAAAATCATTTCAGATTGAGATTGATTTTTTGGTCCCAATGTTAGCCGACCTATTTGCTGGGTGTTTTTAGTAACCTTCGTTTCAATCCAATTGTTTTATTCAATTCACTATTGAAAAACGTATCTATATTTCATAGTTTATTTTGTTTCTAAATACGCTGAAACTTTTAGTTTGAAAATATTTCTTTTTAAGCGATTTTTTGTTTATTTTTTTCAGTATTTTTCAATTTTTTACTGCTTGATTTTCGATTTTTTTCTTTCAGAGTGTAAGCAATCAGCGTAGTCAACTTAGCGTCATAAATTCAATGAGCAATTTCATTTAAACACAATTCTAGGTGATGGCACAGCGTATTGTTTATGTTCCAAATATTTTAAATCTTGAAGTAGAAGTAAAGTTTTGTTTGGCAATTTTGATTGACTGTTTTGTCTACGATGATATTTTTTAAATAAATTCAATCAACCATCTGGCGAGGAGATAAAAAACCAGCTTGAAACGGCAAGTTTTTTTATTCGAATCCAGTCATGACCTAATTTTTGCAATGTTTTTTTTTTGCTTTTTCGGTCTATCGTCCGTTTGTTGCTTTTGTCGGCTTAGTTACTGTAAATTGTAGATATTGGAGCTGATCATGGGGGATTCTAGATATGTGGCTTATGCTTTATACTTTCGAGTTTATGCTTAATCATACTAGTTTCGATTTATTCATGATGTGGCTTATGTTTTATGCTTTCGAATGTATTTCTTGCAAAGCTAGTATGATTACCCTAATTTTGTTAGACTCCAAACTATTACTTGCAAAATTGTGTCTATTTGTGTTTGCTGCCACTTTTACTGCATTGGATTGGCAATTAATTAGCATATGTACCTGATATATTTTTGACTAGTATTTGCAAATTGTTGAGCGTTCGTGACCGAGAGGGCAGGGCGTGAGACTCCAAGTCTCGAGGTAGCAGGTTCGAATGCAAAACGTAGCAAGTTTTTTTAAATTCGATGTTAATTTATATTTTTTCTTTCATTTTATACTACTGCTTTGTTGTCGCGGTGTTCTCTCTAGTGTCTGCGCAGCTTCGCTTCTGTGTTACAGTTATTTTTCTTAATTAGAATGAATTCTCTGACTTTTCAATTGGATCCGCTCCGACTGTCTTAAACGGCATCAAAATTGTAGTTGCAATAAAAGAGGATGCTAGTTGTTCCGGCCATTGAAAATGGGGAGGAAATTTTGTTCGGGTGTTTTAAGTATCCACGCAAAATCAGGTAACACGAATAATCATTGGAATGCGGTGAGTGATATATTAGATAAAAGTTTTTTCAGTCATGATTCGAACGACTTCAAAGTTTTTCAAAAAGTATAGTGTTGAGAAAAACTGGTTTGAAATTTATGGGTTTAGCCTAATTTCGAGCGAGTATAAGAGACCTCCTCACTCGATTTATTTGCTCAAAATTGAACAGTTTCGATTTATTTGCTCAAAATTAAAAAATTTTGAGTAAAATTTTTGATTTAAGAATGAAAAAAAATTGTTTTACTACGAAAAAACTTGTTATTGATGTTTCATTTGTTGCTTCCTTTGCAATGAAAATGAATTCTGTAAATTAGCCAGTGTTTTGCAATCATTTACTCGACTTTTTCACCGGTAAATAATTTTGTTCACAGGATCTGCGATTTCAATAGATCTCCGGTTTCGTCCAAGTTGCATTTATAACAGCTGTAGTTCTTGGTCTTGAGTTACTTTGTTATGAATTTATGAGTTACTGGGTCTACAGCTAAAAATCATTTCAGATTGAGATTGATTTTTTGGTCCCAATGTTAGCCGACTTATTTGCTGGGTGTTTTTAGTAACCTTCGTTTCAATCCAATTGTTTTATTCAATTAACTATTGAAGAACGTATCTGTATTTCATGGATTTTTTGTTTCTTAATACGCTGAAACTTTTTGTTTGAAAATATTTATTTTTGAGCAACTTTTTTAAATTTTTTTTAAGTATTTTTCAATTTTTGACTGCTTGGTTTTCGATTTTTTTCTTTCTCAGACTATAAGCAGTCAGCGTAGTCAACTTAGCGTCATAAATTCAATGAGCAATTTCATTTAAACACAATTCTAGGTGATGGCACAGCGTATTGTTTATGTTCCAAATATTTTAAATCTTGAAGTAGATGTAAAGTTTTGTTTGGCAATTTTGATTGACTGTTTTGTCTACGAAGATATTTTTTAAATAAATTCAATCAACCATCTGGCGAGGAGATAAAAAACCAGCTTGAAACGGCAAGTTTTTTTATTCGAATCCAGTCATGACCTAATTTTTGCAAGTTTTTTTTTGCTTTTTCGGTCTATCGTCCGTTTGTTGCTTTTGTCGGCTTAGTTACTGTAAATCGAGATATTGGAGCTGATCATGGGGGATTCTAGATAGAGCCTTGCTAGATAAGTCATTGATAGATTCAGCTAGTTAGAGCATTGCATTAAATAGTTAGAACGCCATATAAAACATGTTAACGCTCAACTTAGATCGAATCTTTGGTTAGAATTTTTAAATTTGGAAGTTTTCAAAGAGAAAATGAAGAAAAAACTTATTGTTTGTGCGAAAACTCCTATTTACTTAGCATGGTTCCAAAAAACATTCTATGGTGTCTTCATTTTTCAATGTACATGTAGTACTTCAATACATCATTGATTTTTACCAATTAGATGAGGCGCCCTAGATTGATTGCAAAAAACTATAGATTTCTACACAAAACTACTTTTTCTTACCCTTGCCGGAACAGTGAAACCTTACCAATTCTATTCTCTATCTTAATATATTACAATTTCTATACTCAATTTTAATACATAGTGCGGAGGACCAGAGAGTTATAACTAATCTGAAAACATGGGGTCCTCCACGCGCCCATCCCTGTGATCAGCTCCAAACTCTACTACTACTGTAGCCCAGTTATTTTGAAGGTTCAACTTTCCTCCTCCACGTTCACAAATTCCGGGTGTCCGAGTCCAGTTAGGACCTGTTTTTATCAAAATGAAAATCTCCGGCATAAATGACTTTTTTGAAAATTTGTTGGGCTTTTTTGCAATATTGCCTTTTTTAGTTTTTAAATTTTCTCTCATTTGATTTCAATCATAGTCATTTATTTTTGTATCGCAACTAATGCGAAGCTCAGCTTCGCATCTGTGTAATGATTAATTTTTGCAATTTAACTAAATTGACTAAAATTTGATTTCAAACTTTTTAATTTATTAAAGGTTTCAATTCATTTTGCTTTTTACGCTTGTTAACTAATCGTTTTAACCTTTTGATTTTTTTTTTGCTTGTAACTAATTTTAGTTTCAGAGCTTCCCCGGCTTTTTTGTCTAAAGGTAACGACTACGTCTAGGACGGCAAAGGTTCGGATCTTGCAAATACCGGTTTTTTTAATGGCAAATATACCGTTTCGAAAAAAAAATCGATCTGGTTTTGTTTTGTCGGCTTAGTTGCCTGGTTACAGACTTTTCTTGCGCTATAAGCAGTTTTCCTGTTTGTAATTCGTTTTTTTTTTCAATTTAAAGCTTCATTGGCCTTAATTGTTTCAGTTTCTGTGTTAATGGTTTAGTGACACAGGTTTTGTCTTTTGAAGGGAAAGTTTATTTTAATAAACGATGAGGGCCTAAAATTTAGAGTTTCAGACTTTCGAAAGTTTTTTTGTAACATTTTTTTTTTCCAGCTCAATGAGAGTTTACGAAGTTTTTGTCGTTTTAGTTACCTCGATTTAACACGAAACGAATGTTTTTGGACATTGTTTCCTCAATTAATAATCATTCCAGACAGGTAGCAATCACTTTTTTCGACTTCTATTTTCGAAAATGGAATTGAATTTTCAGATTTCCCTGCGAAATTAAATTTTTACTTATTGATCCGGTTTTCTGAAATTGGGTTAATTTTATCAAAAAAAGTGACACTCATAAACTGTTCTAGAAAGTCAAAGCTTTAAGGACATCTATTTTTTTCTCTGGTCGCAAGTGGTTTCAAAATGCAAATTGTGTTTGGGACTTTCTGATTTACTTAGAAGGCAAATCGGTTGCTCTTGTTTAGTGCCCGGAGGAAATGACGGTCCAAGTGGCGTGCTTGTTTGCTCTGAAAACTACATCACCTACAAGAATTTGGGAGACCAGCCTGATATCAGAGTTCCCATTCCGAGGAGAAGAAACGATTTAGATGACCCAGAACGAGGATTGCTCATTGTCTGTTCTGCCACACACAAGACAAGATCTATGTTCTTCTTCCTTGTACAAACTGAGCAGGTATGTCTTGCGGATTTTCATCGCTATTGTGACGTTATTTATGTCGTGCGAGTATCTGGATATTTTGCAGACTATTAATCTTTGGTTCTTTAACTAAGTGTTAGCAATAATCTGGCAGAATGTCACTGAAGCGTTGTCTATGCGTACTTTTAGGAACTGAGATCTAGTGAAGTTAGTCTTTTCACAAGATAGTTATTTGGGAATTGGTCAGGACAGGACCGTGTATCTACTATATAAATACCCTTACAAATTAGTTTCTGATTATTTTTAGGGAGACGTATTCAAAATAACTCTAGAAGTTGACGAAGACATGGTGACTGAAATGAAATTGAAGTACTTTGATACCATCCCAGTTGCCTCTGCGTTGGTTGTGTTGAAGACAGGATTCCTCTTCGTAGCATCTGAATTTGGAAACCACTACTTGTACCAGATCGCCCACCTGGGCGAGAATGACGATGAGATGGAGTTCTCCAGTCAGATGCCTTTGGAGGAGGGAGAGACATTTTTCTTCGCGCCGAGGGGATTGAAAAATCTAGTGCAGGTAAACTTCGCATTATTCAAGTGAGCTTTGTCTGAAGACGCAGTCAGCACGTTTTTTGGTCAATTCATTAGGACTATCTTTTTCGGACCATATAGATTTTGTATATATTTCTGCATTTCCAGGTAGAAGAGATTGACTCACTCTCGCCTATAGTGACCTGTCAAATTGCTGAGTTAACCAATGACGACACACCTCAGATCTACGCCGCATGTGGCAGAGGAACCCGATCGTCATTTCGGATCCTCAAGCATGGCTTAGAAGTATCTGAAATGGCAGTGTCTGAGCTGCCAGGATCTCCGAACGCTGTCTGGACCGTGCGGAAGAGTGCAGAGGAGGATTATGATTCGTATATCATAGTTTCCTTCGTTAACGCAACTCTAGTTTTGTCAATCGGTGAAACTGTAGAAGAGGTTACGGATTCGGGGTTTCTGGGAACTACCCCGACGCTATCCTGCTCGCTGATTGGTTTGTCAACTTGTTAACTTGGAACTGATCTATTATTTGTTAACTTGGATAAGACAAGATTAAGATAAAGTCTCTGACTATTTCTTGGATTAGACAAGATTAAGATAAAGTCTCTGACTACTTCTAACAAAGTTAGCAAGAGTTATGGATTCTTGCGTTTTCCAAGTTTTTGGCTCGCCGAAGAGAAACTTCTAATTAGATCTAGCTACATATATAATTTAAGTCATTCTATTAACTAAATTCGTTTTTTAACAGTCGATGAATGTAGTTAAGACTCTTATATAGGGCGTGACGATTTTTTTTTTCAGAAAAATTTTTTAAAATTTGTTCACGCTAAAAAAATTTTCAGTTCATTTCCTTTAAAAGGAAGGCAAACGCCACCATCGAACAGCAAAAATAAAAATTGTGATCAGCTTCTAATTTCGGAAGTGGAATTTAATTTGCAGACTTTCCAGCGCAATAAAAACTTATCTAATAATTCCAATGCAAAAGAACTGTGAATGCTTTCAGTTTGGCATATTTAGGCTACCGATTTTTAGTGAGCGTTAGTGTAATAGGACTTTTTCTTCTAATCTAAGTCGCACAGTTATTGGTGCCACTGTTGGTGGCATCTTTACGGCTTTTTAATAGCATGTGCTTTGACATTCGAATAGTAATAAATTAACACAGTTGATGCATTTTTAATTCATCAAATGAACAGAAAAAGTTATTTGTTTCAAACAAGACAACAATCATAAAAATTTTATTGCCAAAATTGTCTAGCTCTATAACTCTTGCAACTTTTTGAAATTCATAATTAATATATGATGTGGCTTATGCTTAATGCTTTCGAATGTATTTCTTGCCAAGCTAGTATGATTACTCTCATTTTGTTAGACTCCAAACTATTACTTGCAAAATTGTGTCTATTTGTATTTGCTGCCACTTTTACTGCATTGGATTGGCAATTAATTAGCATATGTAGCTGATATATTTTTGACTAGTATTTGCAAATTGTTGAGCGTTCGTGGCCGAGAGGGCAGGGCGTGAGACTCCAAGTCTCGAGGTAGCAGGTTCGAATGCAAAACGTAGCAAGTTTTTTTTAATTCGATGTTTATTTATTTTTTTTCTTTCATTTTATACTACTGCTTTGTTGTTGCGGTGTTCTCTCTAGTGTCTACGCAGCTTCGCTTCTGTGTTACAGTTATTTTTCTGAATTCTTAATTAGAATGAATTCTCTGACTTTTCAATTGGATCCGCTCCGCCTGTCTTAAACGGCATCAAAATTGTAGCTGCAATAGAAGAGGATGCTAGTTGTTCCGGCCATTGAAAATATGGAGGAAATTTTGTTCGGGTGTTTTAAGTATCCACGCAAAATCAGGTAACACGAATAATCATTGGAATGCGGTGAGTGATATATTAGATAAAAGCTTTTTCAGTCATGATTCGAACGACTTCAAAGTTTTTCAAAAAGTAGTAGTGTTGAGAAAAACTTATTTGAAATTTATGGGTTTAGCCTAATTTCGAGCGAGTATAAGAGACCTCCTCACTTGATTTATTTGCTCAAAATTAAACAGTTTCGATTTATTTGCTCAAAATTAAAAAATTTTGAGTAAAATTTTTGATTTAAGAATGAAAAAAAATTGTTTTACTACGAAAAAACTTGTTATTGATGTTTCATTTGGTGCTTCCTTTGCAATAAAAATGAAAATGAATTCTGTAAAATAGCCAGTGTTTTGCAATCATTTACTGGACTTTTTCACCGGTAAATAATTTTGTTCACAGGATCTGCGATTTCAATAGATCTCCGGTTTCGTCCAAGTTGCATTTATAACAGCTGTAGTTCATGGTCTTGAGTTACTTTGTTATGAATTTATGAGTTACGGGGTCTACAGCTAAAAATCATTTCAGATTGAGATCGATTTTTTGGTCCCAATGTTAGCCGACTTATTTGCTGGGTGTTTTTAGTAACCTTCGTTTCAATCCAATTGTTTTATTCAATTAACTATTGAAGAACGTATCTGTATTTCATGGATTTTTTGTTTCTTAATACGCTGAAACTTTTTGTTTGAAAATATTTATTTTTGAGCAACTTTTTTAAATTTTTTTTAAGTATTTTTCAATATTTTGGAATGAAAATATTTATTTTTGAGCAATTTTTTTAAATTTTTTTTAAGTATTTTTCAATATTTTTTCAATATTTTTCAATTTTTTTGACTGCTTGGTTTTCGATTTTTTTCTTTCTGAGACTATAAGCAGTCAGCGTAGTCAACTTAGCGTCATAAATTCAATGAGCAATTTCATTTAAACACAATTCTAGGTGATGGCACAGCGTATTGTTTATGTTCCAAATATTTTAAATCTTGAAGTAGATGTAAAGTTTTGTTTGGCAATTTTGATTGACTGTTTTGTCTACAAAGATATTTTTTAAATAAATTCAATCAACCATCTGGCGAGGAGATAAAAAACCAGCTTGAAACGGCAAGTTTTTTTATTCGAATCCAGTCATGACCTAATTTTTGCAATGTTTTTTTTTTGCTTTTTCGGTCTATCGTCCGTTTGTTGCTTTTGTTGGCTTAGTTACTGTAAATTGTAGATATTGGAGCTGATCATGGGGGATTCTAGATATGTGGCTTATGCTTTATGCTTTCGAGTTTATGCTTAATCATACTAGTTTCGATTTATTCATGATGTGGCTTATGTTTTATGCTTTCGAATGTATTTCTTGCAAAGCTAGTATGATTACCCTCATTTTGTTTAGACTCCAAACTATTACTTGCAAAATTGTGTCTATTTGTGTTTGCTGCCACTTTTACTGCATTGGATTGGCAATTAATTAGCATATGTAGCTGATATATTTTTGACTAGTATTTGCAAATTGCTGAGCGTTCGTGGCCGAGAGGGCAGGGCGTGAGACTCCAAGTCTCGAGGTAGCAGGTTCGAAGGCAAAACGTAGCAAGTTTTTTTAATTCGATGTTTATTTATATATATTTTTTCTTTTTATACTACTGCTTTGTTGTCGCGGTGTTCTCTCTAGTGTCTGCGCAGCTTCGCTTCTGTGTTACAGTTATTTTTCTGAATTCTTAATTAGAATGAATTCTCTGACTTTTCAATTGGATCCGCTCCGCCTGTCTTAAACGGCATCAAAATTGTAGTTGCAATAAAAGAGGATGCTAGTTGTTCCGGCCATTGAAAATGGGGAGGAAATTTTGTTCGGGTGTTTTAAGTATCCACGCAAAATCAGGTAACACGAATAATCATTGGAATGCGGTGAGTGATATATTAGATAAAAGCTTTTTCAGTCATGATTCGAACGACTTCAAAGATTTTCAAAAAGTAGTAGTGTTGAGAAAAACTGGTTTGAAATTTATGGGTTTAGCCTAATTTCGAGCGAGTATAAGAGACCTCCTCACTCGATTTATTTGCTCAAAATTAAACAGTTTCGATTTATTTGCTCAAAATTAAAAAATTTTGAGGAAAATTTTTGATTTAAGAATGAAAAAAATTGTTTTACTACGAAAAAACTTGTTATTGATGTTTCATTTGTTGCTTCCTTTGCAATGAAAATGAATTCTGTAAATTAGCCAGTGTTTTGCAATCATTTACTCGACTTTTTCACCGGTAAATAATTTTGTTCACAGGATCTGCGATTTCAATAGATCTCCGGTTTCGTCCAAGTTGCATTTATAACAGCTGTAGTTCTTGGTCTTGAGTTACTTTGTTATGAATTTATGAGTTACTGGGTCTACAGCTAAAAATCGTTTCAGATTGAGATTGATTTTTTGGTCCCAATGTTAGCCGACCTATTTGCTGGGTGTTTTTAGTAACCTTCGTTTCAATCCAATTGTTTTATTCAATTCACTATTGAAAAACGTATCTATATTTCATAGATTTTTTTGTTTCTAAATACGCTGAAACTTTTAGTTTGAAAATATTTCTTTTTAAGCGATTTTTTGTTTATTTTTTTCAGTATTTTTCAATTTTTTACTGCTTGATTTTCGATTTTTTTCTTTCAGAGTGTAAGCAATCAGCGTAGTCAACTTAGCGTCATAAATTCAATGAGCAATTTCATTTAAACACAATTCTAGGTGATGGCACAGCGTATTGTTTATGTTCCAAATATTTTAAATCTTGAAGTAGAAGTAAAGTTTTGTTTGGCAATTTTGATTGACTGTTTTGTCTACGATGATATTTTTTAAATAAATTCAATCAACCATCTGGCGAGGAGATAAAAAACCAGCTTGAAACGGCAAGTTTTTTTATTCGAATCCAGTCATGACCTAATTTTTGCAATGTTTTTTTTTTGCTTTTTCGGTCTATCGTCCGTTTGTTGCTTTTGTCGGCTTAGTTACTGTAAATTGTAGATATTGGAGCTGATCATGGGGGATTCTAGATATGTGGCTTATGCTTTATACTTTCGAGTTTATGCTTAATCATACTAGTTTCGATTTATTCATGATGTGGCTTATGTTTTATGCTTTCGAATGTATTTCTTGCAAAGCTAGTATGATTACCCTAATTTTGTTAGACTCCAAACTATTACTTGCAAAATTGTGTCTATTTGTGTTTGCTGCCACTTTTACTGCATTGGATTGGCAATTAATTAGCATATGTACCTGATATATTTTTGACTAGTATTTGCAAATTGTTGAGCGTTCGTGGCCGAGAGGGCAGGGCGTGAGACTCCAAGTCTCGAGGTAGCAGGTTCGAATGCAAAACGTAGCAAGTTTTTTTTAATTCGATGTTTATTTATATTTTTTCTTTCATTTTATACTACTGCTTTGTTGTCGCGGTGTTCTCTCTAGTGTCTGCGCAGCTTCGCTTCTGTGTTACAGTTATTTTTCTGAATTCTTAATTAGAATGAATTCTCTGACTTTTCAATTGGATCCGCTCCGACTGTCTTAAACGGCATCAAAATTGTAGTTGCAATAAAAGAGGATGCTAGTTGTTCCGGCCATTGAAAATGGGGAGGAAATTTTGTTCGGGTGTTTTAAGTATCCACGCAAAATCAGGTAACACGAATAATCATTGGAATGCGGTGAGTGATATATTAGATAAACGTTTTTTCAGTCATGATTCGAACGACTTCAAAGTTTTTCAAAAAGTATAGTGTTGAGAAAAACTGGTTTGAAATTTATGGGTTTAGCCTAATTTCGAGCGAGTATAAGAGACCTCCTCACTCGATTTATTTGCTCAAAATTGAACAGTTTCGATTTATTTGCTCAAAATTAAAAAATTTTGAGTAAAATTTTTGATTTAAGAATGAAAAAAAAATTGTTTTACTACGAAAAAACTTGTTATTGATGTTTCATTTGTTGCTTCCTTTGCAATGAAAATGAATTCTGTAAATTAGCCAGTGTTTTCCAATCATTTACTCGACTTTTTCACCGGTAAATAATTTTGTTCACAGGATCTGCGATTTCAATAGATCTCCGGTTTCGTCCAAGTTGCATTTATAACAGCTGTAGTTCTTGGTCTTGAGTTACTTTGTTATGAATTTATGAGTTACTGGGTCTACAGCTAAAAATCATTTCAGATTGAGATTGATTTTTTGGTCCCAATGTTAGCCGACTTATTTGCTGGGTGTTTTTAGTAACCTTCGTTTCAATCCAATTGTTTTATTCAATTAACTATTGAAGAACGTATCTGTATTTCATGGATGTTTTGTTTCTTAATACGCTGAAACTTTTAGTTTGAAAATATTTATTTTTGAGCTATTTTTTTTTTCTAATTTTTTTTAAAGTATTTTTCAATTTTTGACTGCTTGGTTTTCGATTTTTTTCTTTCTCAGACTATAAGCAGTCAGCGTAGTCAACTTAGCGTCATAAATTCAATGAGCAATTTCATTTAAACACAATTCTAGGTGATGGCACAGCGTATTGTTTATGTTCCAAATATTTTAAATCTTGAAGTAGATGTAAAGTTTTGTTTGGCAATTTTGATTGACTGTTTTGTCTACGAAGATATTTTTTAAATAAATTCAATCAACCATCTGGCGAGGAGATAAAAAACCAGCTTGAAACGGCAAGTTTTTTTATTCGAATCCAGTCATGACCTAATTTTTGCAATGTTTTTTTTTTGCTTTTTCGGTCTATCGTCCGTTTGTTGCTTTTGTCGGCTTAGTTACTGTAAATCGAGATATTGGAGCTGATCATGGGGGATTCTAGATAGAGCCTTGCTAGATAAGTCATTGATAGATTCAGCTAGTTAGAGCATTGCATTAAATAGTTAGAACGCCATATAAAACATGTTAACGCTCAACTTAGATCGAATCTTTGGTTAGAATTTTTAAATTTGGAAGTTTTCAAAGAGAAAATGAAGAAAAAACTTATTGTTTGTGCGAAAACTCCTATTTACTTAGCATGGTTCCAAAAAACATTCTATGGTGTCTTCATTTTTCAATGTACATGTAGTACTTCAATACATCATTGATTTTTACCAATTAGATGAGGCGCCCTAGATTGATTGCAAAAAACTATAGATTTCTACACAAAACTACTTTTTCTTACCCTTGCCGGAACAGTGAAACCTTACCAATTCTATTCTCTATCTTAATATATTACAATTTCTATACTCAATTTTAATACATAGTGCGGAGGACCAGAGAGTTATAACTAATCTGAAAACATGGGGTCCTCCACGCGCCCATCCCTGTGATCAGCTCCAAACTCTACTACTACTGTAGCCCAGTTATTTTGAAGGTTCAACTTTCCTCCTCCACGTTCACAAATTCCGGGTGTCCGAGTCCAGTTAGGACCTGTTTTTATCAAAATGAAAATCTCCGGCATAAATGACTTTTTTGAAAATTTGTTGGGCTTTTTTGCAATATTGCCTTTTTTAGTTTTTAAATTTTCTCTCATTTGATTTCAATCATAGTCATTTATTTTTGTATCGCAACTAATGCGAAGCTCAGCTTCGCATCTGTGTAATGATTAATTTTTGCAATTTAACTAAATTGACTAAAATTTGATTTCAAACTTTTTAATTTATTAAAGGTTTCAATTCATTTTGCTTTTTACGCTTGTTAACTAATCGTTTTAACCTTTTGATTTTTTTTTTGCTTGTAACTAATTTTAGTTTCAGAGCTTCCCCGGCTTTTTTGTCTAAAGGTAACGACTACGTCTAGGACGGCAAAGGTTCGGATCTTGCAAATACCGGTTTTTTTAATGGCAAATATACCGTTTCGAAAAAAAAATCGATCTGGTTTTGTTTTGTCGGCTTAGTTGCCCGGTTACAGACTTTTCTTGCGCTATAAGCAGTTTTCCTGTTTGTAATTCGTTTTTTTTTTCAATTTAAAGCTTCATTGGCCTTAATTGTTTCAGTTTCTGTGTTAATGGTTTAGTGACACAGGTTTTGTCTTTTGAAGGGAAAGTTTATTTTAATAAACGATGAGGGCCTAAAATTTAGAGTTTCAGACTTTCGAAAGTTTTTTTGTAACATCATTTTTTTTTCCAGCTCAATGAGAGTTTACGAAGTTTTTGTCGTTTTAGTTACCTCGATTTAACACGAAACGAATGTTTTTGGACATTGTTTCCTCAATTAATAATCATTCCAGACAGGTAGCAATCACTTTTTTCGACTTCTATTTTCGAAAATGGAATTGAATTTTCAGATTTCCCTGCGAAATTAAATTTTTACTTATTGATCCGGTTTTCTGAAATTGGGTTAATTTTATCAAAAAAAGTGACACTCATAAACTGTTCTAGAAAGTCAAAGCTTTAAGGACATCTATTTTTTTCTCTGGTCGCAAGTGGTTTCAAAATGCAAATTGTGTTTGGGACTTTCTGATTTACTTAGAAGGCAAATCGGTTGCTCTTGTTTAGTGCCCGGAGGAAATGACGGTCCAAGTGGCGTGCTTGTTTGCTCTGAAAACTACATCACCTACAAGAATTTGGGAGACCAGCCTGATATCAGAGTTCCCATTCCGAGGAGAAGAAACGATTTAGATGACCCAGAACGAGGATTGCTCATTGTCTGTTCTGCCACACACAAGACAAGATCTATGTTCTTCTTCCTTGTACAAACTGAGCAGGTATGTCTTGCGGATTTTCATCGCTATTGTGACGTTATTTATGTCGTGCGAGTATCTGGATATTTTGCAGACTATTAATCTTTGGTTCTTTAACTAAGTGTTAGCAATAATCTGGCAGAATGTCACTGAAGCGTTGTCTATGCGTACTTTTAGGAACTGAGATCTAGTGAAGTTAGTCTTTTCACAAGATAGTTATTTGGGAATTGGTCAGGACAGGACCGTGTATCTACTATATAAATACCCTTACAAATTAGTTTCTGATTATTTTTAGGGAGACGTATTCAAAATAACTCTAGAAGTTGACGAAGACATGGTGACTGAAATGAAATTGAAGTACTTTGATACCATCCCAGTTGCCTCTGCGTTGGTTGTGTTGAAGACAGGATTCCTCTTCGTAGCATCTGAATTTGGAAACCACTACTTGTACCAGATCGCCCACCTGGGCGAGAATGACGATGAGATGGAGTTCTCCAGTCAGATGCCTTTGGAGGAGGGAGAGACATTTTTCTTCGCGCCGAGGGGATTGAAAAATCTAGTGCAGGTAAACTTCGCATTATTCAAGTGAGCTTTGTCTGAAGACGCAGTCAGCACGTTTTTTGGTCAATTCATTAGGACTATCTTTTTCGGACCATATAGATTTTGTATATATTTCTGCATTTCCAGGTAGAAGAGATTGACTCACTCTCGCCTATAGTGACCTGTCAAATTGCTGAGTTAACCAATGACGACACACCTCAGATCTACGCCGCATGTGGCAGAGGAACCCGATCGTCATTTCGGATCCTCAAGCATGGCTTAGAAGTATCTGAAATGGCAGTGTCTGAGCTGCCAGGATCTCCGAACGCTGTCTGGACCGTGCGGAAGAGTGCAGAGGAGGATTATGATTCGTATATCATAGTTTCCTTCGTTAACGCAACTCTAGTTTTGTCAATCGGTGAAACTGTAGAAGAGGTTACGGATTCGGGGTTTCTGGGAACTACCCCGACGCTATCCTGCTCGCTGATTGGTTTGTCAACTTGTTATCTTGGAACTGATCTATTATTTGTTAACTTGGATAAGACAAGATTAAGATAAAGTCTCTGACTATTTCTTGGATTAGACAAGATTAAGATAAAGTCTCTGACTACTTCTAACAAAGTTAGCAAGAGTTATGGATTCTTGCGTTTTCCAAGTTTTTGGCTCGCCGAAGAGAAACTTCTAATTAGATCTAGCTACATAAATAATTTAAGTCATTCTATTAACTAAATTCGTTTTTTAACAGTCGATGAATGTAGTTAAGACTCTTATATAGGGCGTGACGATTTTTTTTTTCAGAAATATTTTTTTAAATTTGTTCACGCTAAAAAAATTTTCAGTTCATTTCCTTTAAAAGGAAGGCAAACGCCACCATCGAACAGCAAAAATAAAAATTGTGATCAGCTTCTAATTTCGGAAGTGGAATTTAATTTGCAGACTTTCCAGCGCAATAAAAACTTATCTAATAATTCAGGTTATTCCAATTGAATAAATTTTATTTAAAAAGTGCCATTCTTTGCAGCTGACAAAAATATATTGAGGCTTTCAAAAATAGTTAAAGCGTCGAAGTCATCTTTCATTTTAAAAATTAACTTGAAGGAATACCTCAAATTTTTGGTAGTTACAGTCAACGCTGCCTACATGTCAATTTGCTTGAGATTTTCATTATGATGTTTTCCCAATAAAGGTGACTTGTAAGATACTTTCTATTTTGTTTTAATTCTGATTTCATTTGTTGTAGGAGACGATGCGCTGCTGCAAGTTTACCCCAGTGGGATTAGACATATCAGGGCAGACAGGCGAGTGAACGAGTGGAAGACGCCAGGAAAGAGGAGCATAATTGCTTGTGCAGTGAACCAGAGACAGGTCTGTATCGCACTATACGGAGGAGAGCTGGTCTACTTCGAACTGGATCCCTCTGGTTAGTACAATTTTAGCTGTCAAATATATTCATAGACATTTTTTTGAAATTGAGAGCACAAATTGAGGTTTCAGTGTTTTTTTTGTCGCGCACGATTTTGTGTTGTTTCAAAAATGATTGTTTTTGTATGTGTTAGATTAGTTTGTTTCAGTCTTCTGCTCGATAAAAATGTTAACTTTAGGACAACTGAACGAGTACACTGAGAGAAAGGATTTACAGACAGACGTCATTTGCATGTGTCTACCCACATCACCGGAAGGAGAGATCCGAAGTCGGTTCCTGGCAGTCGGTCTAGCGGATCAGACCATCCGCATTATCTCACTAGATCCCTCTGATTGCTTGCAACCTCTGTCAATGCAAGCACTTCCTGCTGCTCCTGAAGCACTTTGTATTGTTAAGATGCCTGGAAGTGATAACACAGATCGCGCTCTCTTTCTGAATGTTGGATTGCAAAATGGGGTCTTATTGCGAACTGTGCTGGACCAAGTTACAGGAGATCTGAGTGATACGAGAAGCAGGTACCTAGGAAATCAGCCAGTAAAGCTGTTCAAGGTCTCAATTCAGAACAAAGAAGCGGTCCTCGCAATGTCCAGCAGAACTTGGCTGGGATACGTCTACCAGTCAAGGTAATTTAGTACGCTTTCATTTTAAACCTTCACAACTTGCTGTTACTTAAGAACTGCTCAGTTAATGTGTGAATCAAATCAACTGGATTGAATTAAGATTCAAATGCAAATTGTTAGGTAAAAATATGCGCATTGATAGGTAACCTCCTTTCAATTAGTAGACAGAGTCTTTCTCCTAATCCCATCATTTAAGGTGAACAGGTTAGTAATAGGACGTCGCGTTAAATTTATTTACAGTATTGAGTAATTTTTACTGACTGATATGTTTTGTGCTGCTTGTAGATATCACCTGACCCCACTGTCGTACGAGGCGCTGGACCATGCCTCTGGCTTCGCGTCCGAGCAGTGTCCAGAGGGAATAGTGGCTATCTCCTCTAACACATTGCGCATTTTAGCTCTGGAGAAGCTCGGCGCAGTCTTCAACCAGCAGGCAGCCCCGCTCAAATACACCCCAAGAAAGTTCATCATTCACTCACCGTCTTCAAATATTTTCATGATCGAAGCGGATCACAATTGCTTCACAACGCAGTCAAAAAAGCAGAGAAAACAGCAGATGGCAGAAGAAATGATCCAGTCCGCCGGAGAATCAGAACGTGAGTTGGCAGCAGAAGTAGCAGCCTCGTTTCTCCAGGAAAACCTACCGGAAGACGTTTTCGGATCACCAAAAGCGGGACCAGGAATGTGGGCGTCCATTTTGAGAATTCTAAAGCCTACGGATGGAAGCACTGTTAAGCACGTCGAGTTGGAGCAGAACGAAGCTGCGTTCTCAATTGCTTTCGTCAGATTCGCGAATCGACCAGGAGAACAGTACCTGCTCTTAGGAACTGCAAAAGGATTCCGATTGAATCCGCCCTCGATCACAGTTGGGTACGTGTACACATACAGAGTTCCTGATTCAGGAGACAGTTTTGAGTTCATCCACCGAACTGAAATGGAGGATGTCGCTCTAGCCGTGTCTGAATTTAAAGGTCGCGTACTGATCGGAGTCGGAAAATGGCTCCGTCTTTATGATATGGGACGGAAGAAATTGTTGAAAAAGTGTGAGAACAAACATCTGACTAACAAAATCATGACAATTCACAGCAACGGATATCGCATATTTGTCACCGACGTCCAAGACAGTGTCACATTTCTGAAGTACAAGCCAGTAGAGAACCAGATGATCATTTTTGCCGATGATCCGTGTCAGAGATTCTGCATGGCATCATGTATAGTTGATTACGATACCCTAGCTGTCACTGATAAATTCGGAACTTTGTCAGTTCTCCGACTCCCGGAAGATGTCAATGATCAAGTTGAGGACGACCCGACAGGTGCTCGTGCTCTATGGGATCGTGGATGGTGTAACGGAGCTGCCCAAAAGGCCGAGTTACTGTGCAATTACAACATAGGTGGCGACATGGCTCTGACGCTCCAGAAATGCACGTTGATTCCGGGAGGCTCAGAATGTATCGTCTACACAACGATTTCAGGAAGTATCGGAGCATTATTACCGATTAACATGCATGAGGACGCGGAGTTCTTCCAACACCTGGAAATGCATATAAGACAGGAATCTCCGTCGTATGTCGGACGAGATCACTTGGCCTACAGATCTTACTATTCGCCAGTAAAGAATGTTATTGATGGAGACTTGTGCGAAACATTCAATTCACTTGATGCAGCTAAGCAGAAATCAATTGCTGAGGAGCTGGATCGAGTTCCGACCGAGATCTCAAAGAAACTGGAAGATATTCGTACTAGATTTGCGTTCTAGTTACTTGACTGGAACCTAGTATTATCTCTTAAACTTCTGATGATTAGGTACTAATAAATGTTTTGTTGCAGTTGTACTATTTGTCTGATTTTAGTTGCCTGTTTTGCTTTTTCGAATATACTTTGAATGTTTCTTCTGCTTGACCTGCTAAGTTGTTGATGAATTTTCTCTGTAGCCGATATTCCGGAGCTAGATGGCAAAAAATATATAAGTTCAGCTGCATCGAACATTTTGTTATTCCTCGTTTTTTTGTTACCTCTCAGCCCAGCTCCCACCATTGGGCCTTTTTCCGTGAGAGAGAGAGAGAGAGTGATTCTTCCATTTTGCCGCAGCCGGTGCCACTTTAATGAGGCAGATACACTGGGACCCCTCCAATCGTGACCGAAACGTGATTCGAACCCACGACCTTAGTGTTAAAGGCCCACGTCTTACCCACTCATTCTTCGTGTAAAAACGAAGTGCCTAAAGTCGGTCATGAGGAAAACGAAAAAAGAGCAACTGAATCTTCTCACACAGTTATCATCACAGAAAAAATTGAATGTTTTTTTTCGCAAAAAAGAACCAAGTAATTTCACTTATATAAAGGTCTTGATGATTTTTTAAAAGTTTTTTTTTTGGAAAAGAATCAAAATTTGTTCATGTTCACCCTCAAGTTTGATTTCCGCGGCTTGATATACGATTGCTTTTTAAATGACTTCTTTTCCTTTATTTATACATGCGGAATAGCGAGTGTAGTGTGTTAGAATGACTCTACTTTTTGCCATCCAATTCGCAACTAAAAGTGCTCATTTGGTGTCATTTTTAACATAATCACGATCTGTAGCATTGGAATTTTTATAGGATCTCTCTGCTTTTTTGTCGGATACCGCGTCGTATGTTTTGTCTAGACGCAAATAAACTATTTATGGGCTATGTTTTGATGTTTGCGATTTCAGTGAATTAGCAAAAGTACATCGAGCTTGCCAAAAAAGGAAAGATGGCAGAAATAGCGGTATGTTTACTTTAAAAACAGGATTTCATTTTTTTAAAAACCCCTATATACCTAAATTAAGATATTTTAGGCACTATTTGGAACATTTTGACCAAAAAAAGCGTTTTTTGGCGCGCGCTCCCTGAAATTTAGTAAATATTGGCGCCCAAGGCACCTTTAAAAATTTTTTAAGGTCAGTAAGTGAAAAATAATTATCTCAAAATAGTACAAAGGAGGGCTTTGGACAGAGGGTCGAGTCCCTAAGGCAAGGGGGAACGTCCGCGCCCATAAATCTGCTACTGATTACAACTCTAAGTTATATGAATTGCAGCTCAAATTACGGCAGAGAAGGCCTAATTATGCAATTTTTTACTCGACCTCATCTGTTGTTTGTTTGTGGCACCTAGATTGATCAAGGAAAAAACACCCAAATAACCCGAAGCTCCATCATCATAGCAATAAATTTAATATTTAAGATTTTATCTGATACCAAATATCCGATAGTCAAGGCTGACTTCTCTCGCCTCAAGATCAAATCGTAGTTTATTTTGGCGCTTAGTAGACTAATTAATTGCTAACAATTCAAATTGTTTGTGACGTAGAATTTTGGATTCTGCGTTTAATTTTACCTCTAATATATGTCAGGTCTCAAATATTTGAACCGTTTGGCAGATTCATTAGTTTGAATATAATATCATTATTGGTTTTGCGTTTCAGTTTAGTTTGTTTTGATTGGTCTTGGAATGGCTGCTAGGACTCATCAAAATGAGTCTGAGCCTGTGTCCAAGCTACAAAGTAGTTTTAAACAATGATCAAATCAATTTATTATTAACAACTACTTACTGACGGAATCCAACGTATGTTCACAATTCAATGACTCGGATTTCAAAAGTTACTATATGGCGACTACGAGTGAAAGTATGACTTTATCCAAGCAACACGCCTGCAAATCCAATCCAATCAAGTATCAAAGTAAAATAGGTGATTCAATCTAGGTGTAGATTCTAGAGTGCATATTCAATACTAAACCTGATTTGCTCTCAAATAGTGCAGTTTCCAATATTAAATTGTCAAATTACAAACTTGACGACTTTCGAACGTCAACTGATGAAATTCCTGGACGGAATGTCCGAAACTGGTTCTGGTTTTGAGAAACTTCTCACATAGATGATATTTATGTTCAGACAAATAGCTTTGCTTCTTACAATTGGTCTCAGATTTTGATGGATTGTAATAGTGACATCAAATTGAGTTTTTTTTGTCGTGATGATCCATCATTTGAAATTGATTGAACAAAGTTTGCTGATTACGCATCCTAAAAGACTCCCATTATCGTTGATCTTTGTCGATCACAATGCATTCAATCCAGTTCTGTTGTTTACTCCTCTTAACTTGATTTTTTAAACAAGATTATCCGATAACTGTTAAAATATTTCAATTTGCCTTTATTTGTGAAACTACGGACTTACATACATATTTGAAGTGAATTGATCCATCATTAATCATAATATTGGTTTTTGACGATTCTTAGCTTTACGTTTTTTATTTCTTAAATTTCAAGGCACGGCTGCTTTAGCGTCTCACGAATAAACATCTCTCGTCATGGACACGAGTGATGATAGTCCGAGTGACACCATCAGTGTAGATACTGGAGACGAGGGGTCCCCCCTCTATCCAGGCACTAATGTGTCCAGAAGAGAAACGTTCTCAGACTGTCCAAATTTGCTCCTGGAGAGCAGTGTGGATGACAACAGCAGCAGTGGGAAACTCAATCTGATTTACATCACGTTTTTATTGAGTAAGTTGAACGTTGCCTGCTGTTTCGGAACTTCGAATAGTTTTACCGTACGAAACTTACCTTTTGATCCTGCTCTAAAATTACTACATTCCTTGATAATTGACAAAAAACGTGATGTGTCCTAACTAGGGGGACAGATTGCAATTAATATGGAAAAAAATCATTCATCAACTGGGTCTGTTTCTAACCAGGTTTTTCTTTGTTAATCGGCAATATGTTTAGTTGCCAAGTTTTTGTTCCGACTTTTGAAGAGAGTGAGGAATATATATACTTGAGGTCAGGGACGGACTTAGGAGGGGGAAGGGGCGGGGGGCAGACGCTCCCCACTCCTCAGCGATTCGACCTACTGCCGACCCAAAGGGTCCCCCATTTTGTACTATTTTGAGACATCCATTTTTTGGCTGACGGACCCTAAAATTTTTCTGAAGGTGCCGTAGGCGCCAATATATACTAATTTTGAGAGGGGAGCGATCGCCAAAAAAGCGATTTTTTTGACGTAATACATATTGAACAGATTTGGTCTGCTCAGTTGTCGGCCGGTTTTTCAACTTTTATCCAAATGTTTTAGCTTTTTCAAAATGCTTTTTTGCCAGTTTCTTACTATTGAATAAGATATTATAACCTCATTGTCAACTCGCGAGACCTGTTAAGTGTATCTGAAGCAATTTTTTAGACATAGCTCAAAAATTTATGTTTTTTTAAAAAAAGCGTATCAAAGAAATTCCATTCCATTTTGAGGAAAATTAATTACCAACTGATTGATGATAATATTGAATTCCTAAATTCAAACCGTTTTTTTTTGGCTAACGATGAACTTTAGGTCCACACAAAAGTTTTCGAAAACAAATTTGCGTGCAAAATTAAACCTTATTCAATAATATATGTAATGCAACTTTCTAGTGTTTCTTTAGTTTTTGTTGAAGTGTTAATGCTCAGCTTTTGAACTATTAAAACAAAAGTTAGGTAAATTCACTCAAAAAATTACCTGAAAAAAAAAGTTAGTTTTTGACGCGTGTGTTAAATGCGAAGTGCTTTTGCCCTATGAATAATTTCTAGCTATTCAATTGTGAATAGCTATAAATTATTCAAAGCAAATATCTCGAGAGCAAAGTTGTTTTTGCAACTTGAGCTAGCTGATACGCATTTTTTGCTTTGTTGTTAAATGTTGACGTTGTATAATTTTGATGTGAAATTTTGGAAATGTTTTTTGTTGTTGTCACTTTTTTTAATTGAGCCAGATTAATCAGGATCATATTTAAACTAGCGAGCTTGCGAGCGGTAGTGTTTTTGTATGAGCCTTCTTTTTTTCTAACCTAGCTCGCAAATAAAAGTGTTCACTTATTTGGAAATTTCACTGTAGCATTGGAAATTGCATAGCATATGTTCTCTGCTTTTGTAGTGACTGGTGTTTGCCGTATATTAAGCTTCCGTGGCTGAGTGGGTAGTGTGTGAGACTCTTAATCTCGAGGTTGCAGATCGAATCCGAGACGTAGCCGATTTTTTTTTACAAATTCGAGGCTTATTTCTTCTTATTGCTCTTTTCAGAGCTGCTTCTGGTCGTGTTCTCGCTAGTGTTTGTGAAGCGCAGCTTTGTTTCTGTGTTGGATGCATGAGTTTAGTTGCAAGAGCAAGTAAATTGGAAGTGGGAAAAAGATTTTTTTTTAAACGAGTTTTTTTCAATCTGTAAGAAATTTATTTTGCTTTATTATGAATCAGTTCCTTTCATCCCTTCCCACTCGGTCTAGTGTTAAGATGCATTGTTTTGGATTCTTAGAATTGGAGTGTGAGTCTCGGTCTGACCTTGTTTTTTCTCGATATGTATGGAATTTGAGTTTTTTCCGGAGTTTGTGTTTTTTTTTTCTAAATGAAAATTGATTTTTTTTTCTTTGAAAACTTGAATTGTGGACTCATTTTGTCAGATAGTTTTTCTAGCTCATTGTTTAAAGGATTTACTGTAGACGTTTTGTAATTTGTATTTTTACCAAATCTTATTCCATAGTTTTTTTAAATCATTTTATTACGCTTGCGCGAGCAAGTATCTTTAATCAGGAACTAGACTTTTTTCCGTAAACAACTTTTCGTATTAATCCTTCTTGTTCTTTTCTTGCTTTTCCTTGAGTAAGCAAGGGTATTGCAATCGAGTACTGGAATGTTTTCCCGTAAATATTTTTGTTCACATGATTCACCTCCTGGATCCTGGCCTCACTCATTTACTCCCTATATTACCCTTGTGATAAGCAAGGGTATTGAAATCGGGTGCTAGACTTTTTTCCCGTAAAGAACTTTGTTCAGAGAATGGAGAAAAAGGTAATCATTTCAATAACAGGTATGTCCAGTGTGTAGTGGGTTGCAATTTAGGTATGGGCTTTGGGTTCCCGTTAAGAGTTTTGAGAGATTTTTTTTCTGTGTCGAAGCTTATAATAGAATTTCGGCACTGGAAGAGCTCGGCTTTAGTTTCGTCGGCTTATTTTCCGATTGTTTTATTATTTTTTTTCTTTGGTTTTATGTTGGAGTGATTGATTTTTAATATGAATTTTGAGAAAAAAAACTATATCAACGTTCCAGACTCGTAAAAAAGGGGGAAAAGTTGATAAACATTTGTTGATACTTTTTTGAATTTTTGTTTCGTTTTTTTTTCTCAGTTCAAGTAACAAAGATGATTCAAACTTTGATGTTTTTTTTTGTGGCCCGATCAGTTTTTTTGCACACATTTTTCATTCTGAATTTTTTTTCTTGACAATTGATTTTTTTTCTCATTGGTTTCTAGAAGGTAGCCATTTCATTTTAAAAATGAAGACCAAGCTGGCCTGAACTCCTATCAAATCAGATTTGAATCAACTCAAAATTTTCGGTAATGTTGTTCAAATTTGCTAAACGCATTTGTTGTTTCACTCTTTCCACTCGAGTGGCTGTCTGCTACTTTTCCTGAATAACTTGTTGTATTCTTTAATTTTAAAGTAGTTTCAATGTGATACAAAATTGTAACGAAATAACTTCTCAATTTTTTCGTTGTCAATTAAAAAGTTCTATCAAATTTAATTTCATTTCCAGATAATATTGATACGTTTCCGGACTCAGTTATTTTCTAAATTAGTTCGATAATACGCTTTCTTGTCTTTTATGAGTATTATTGAAATTGCGTTTTTTCGATACAAATAAGATTACAAACAATTTTGGAAGTTTTTTTCAGTTTTCGATTTTTCTTTTCATTTGATTTTGATCACAGTCCTTCATTTTTCTATCGCAAATTGTTCGAAGTTCAGTTTCACTTCTTTGTTTTTTTTTGAAATTTAACGACATCCAGGTTCCTTTTCACTTGACCTGAAGGTAACGTGGTCGCTTTTGCACCCTAAGTCCAGGGGTTCGAGTCCCGATCGGACCTTGTTTTTTCAGTGTATGAAATTGAAAATTGTTTCCGGTAACAATTGAACTCTCGGACTTTCTTTTGTCTGCTTAAGTTTTTTTCGCCTAAGTTGACAGATCACGGATTTTACTTGTGCTGTAAGCAGTTTTAATTATAGTTGCAATTGTTGCTCATTGTAGTTTCAGGGCGGGCTCAAAACTTTTTTTACAAAAGTAGTTTTTTGTCGGCTCAAAGTTGGTCGTCTGTGTTGCCGTTCCGTTTTTTTTTTCATGGCTGATTTAATATTCAAATGTTTTGCTTGGCATGTTTGCCTAGAATAAACTTTATCGAGACATGAAAAATTTAGTAGGCATAATTTTTTCAACATTATTATTCTTTGTTCGTCGACGTTTCGTGTTTTTTTAAAGTCTGTGCTATACCGCAAGTGTAAGCAGGTGTTTTTTCGTTGCTGTGTTTGAGGAGGGCGAGGCGTAAAAACTTCATAGCTCAATTTTGTTTTCGGCTCAACTGGCGCCTACCCAAGTTTCGTTGGTTTGGTTGCCGCTCAGTAAATGGCTTTGACTGTTTACTCAGTTTTAGGGATTGTGTTTTTCAACATTTTTTCTCCAAATTGAAAGTCATTCAAGAAAACTGCATGAAATTTTGGCAGAAAAAAAAATTTTCTACAACGGCAGATAATTTTACATAACGGTTAATAAGTGAAATCACTTTGAGAGACTACTCCTTTTAAAGCCACTCCCCTAGCGAAAATTCTTAAATTGAGTCTGAATAGCAAACAATATTAGACCTGATTTTCTGACAAATGAGGTATCATTTTTATGAAATATCATTTTGGGATCAAAGTCGTCTTTCAGGTACATTAATTAGGTGTCCGGAGCAAGAATTCAGGAAAAGAACTGTGATCTGAACATTAAATGCTGTAGTCACCTTCAGCACCTTTAACTTCACTTTAGTTATGGCATGTGACTTGGTTTGTTTAGTGGGCATGGGCTCTCTCTTGCCATACAACATGTTCATCAACGCCACTGAGTACTTCAACTACAAACTCAGAGACATATCTTCAAATAGCACAACTACAGTCACCACTCAATATCGAGCTCTCTATTCTGGTGAGCATCAACAGCTTTTGTGGTTCTTCTATTAGTTCAAGGTCATATCCCACACCTAACAGACGAAGATATGAGTTTAGTTAACTTAGCGCTGAATGTCAAACTGAAGCTCAAACTTAAAATCAAGTTATCGTGCTCCCCGAAGTAGCAAATTGTTAACTTGATCCCTTTTATTCCTGGGCTTCTTTAATTTTGTTTCATCGATCCGGTCGGACAGGAGGTGTCGAAGTTTGTCGAGACCCCTTGATCTTGTATAGATGTGAAAGATTTGAAATGTTTTTAACATGTATCCAGCTGTGATTTGCGCTGTTATCGAAGTTTTAGGATGCGCATCATATTTCCTCGTTTGGCATATTTCCTCGTTTGGCATATATCCTCGTTTCGCTTAGTACATAGTATTAATTTTTTTAAAATATTTCCGTTGCAATTGAAGGAATCAGGCTCAGCGAACGACGCATGTTTTTAAACACCGAAATTAAATTTTTGCCTACGTATTTTTCAAACTCCGTTTAGTGTTTGAAAAAGCTTATCTGGCACTCTATTTATACTGGAGAAAGGTAGAGAAAAGTTTGGAATAAATCATGTTTTTGGAATGATGTTGTATAATATAGGTCTTGTTTTTTTTTAGTCTCGGACTATGGAGATGACGACGACGATGATTATGAGAGTAAATTGCAGAAGCAGTTTGAGAGTTACTTCACCACATTTTCTACCTCCTCGCTTCTCATCATGGTATTAGGTGAGTATCAATAGAAGAATTAATATCATTGACGCCATTAGATCAAACAACGGGGTCTGCCCTCATGGAAAACGGACGGAATTATAAACAATCTAATCATAAGGATAGCCGGTTGCTGTGCTAGTAGCATAGAATGTTCCGACCATATTCTTAAAAAAACTGCACTGCAATCTTTTTTTTCAAATTGTCGTTTTTTGTGCGTGGTATAAAAAAATCTGAACGAAAGCTTAAAGTTTAGGCATATTAGACACTTTTAGTTAAAAAAAGGCAAGATGGACAACAGTTACTGTCGGAAAATGACTTGAAAAAATCATAAAAATCCAAAAAAAAAACAATCTTTTTATTTTGGCCAGTTTTCAAATTTTTGTTTCCCAAATGGCGCTAAATAACCTTAAAAACTAACTTTACAGGAGTAAATATAACTTTTCGGTGCTTATTTAGAATATCACGGCTTATCCTTCTTCTATAAAAAAAGCCCATTATAAGCCTGCTCGCTCAATTTTTTCGCTCGAAATAAGACTAAAAATCTAACCGGATTTTCTCTATCATTGGGACCATTTTTTGAAAACATTTTTATGTTGTTCGAATCACGACGGAAAGGGTTTTAACATGATTTATCTCTCGGACTTGTCCGATGATTATTATGGGCCCGAATACAAAGTTCCTCCCCGTTTTCAATGAGAACAATAAGCCTTTAAACTCGAAAACTTGTCTTAGTTAATGTTTTTTATTGGGCAATACAACTTTCAATCATTCGATCCTGAAAGATTCGCTCTAAAGCAACCAATAAAAATAAGATTTTATTTTCACAGTTTTATGATTAGGATTGATCGCAAGAAGAGTTTGTTATCAAGTTTATGATCGTAATACTCGTTAATAAGTACTGAAAAATGCACAATCGGTTAATAATAAGTTAATAGTGAAAAACAAGCTAGTCGGTTCTTAACTGAGAGTAGACATTTTTCTGGATTTAAGGCACGACGCTCTTGGTGAAATGCATGGGCAGCTCCCTCCGCCTGATTGGATCCGTAGTTGGGGCCATGCTGTGCTTCATTCCCTCTCTCGTCATGGTGAAACTGGACACGAATGGCTGGCAGACTGAGTTCTTCGCAGCCACCATCGCCAACATAGTGGCCTTGAATGTAGTGTCCGCCCTTCTTCAGAGTACATCTATGGGCATAGCTGGAGTGATATCTCTGAAGTACACACAAGCTGGTGGGTCCATTTCACATTTACCTGATATCTTCAACGGTAGATTTGAGTTAGGCTTTACGTCCTTTCGTTTTTTGATAAATTTTTATATAACAATGGTTAGGTTCTCGCACATCGCTGTTTTGCTCGAAAATTTTAAAATCTAATGCTATTACGTCTTGCAAGGGATTACAATATAGTTTTTTTTACTGCTTAAGCAATGGCTGGACAGGCATTTGCGGGCATCTTCTCTGCAGTAGCACAGATACTCTGCTTGGCCATCTTCGAGGACACAGAAAACAGCGCACTTCTCTACTTTCTGGTGGCAGAGGCATTTCTAGTCATTCTTCTCGTTCTCTCAATACTCCTATTAAACCACCCTTCTTATCTCTTAGCCCAGTCTAGGGTCACAACCCCAGAGGTTTCCAGAAGTGCAGACCATTTCGCCTCCGTTTCAATCATGCTCGGAGAAACATATCACGTGTTCAAGAAGACATTACCTTGTGGACTCTCGCTAGCTCTCGTGTTTCTTGTTACTCTGGTAATCTTCCCGAATTATATGGTGCATATAGAGCCCGATAAAGGACGTTATTGGTATCCGGTGACAGTGTTTCTGTTGTACAACCTATTTGACTTCGTTGGCCGAGTGGCGGCCGGTTTTATCAAACTGCCTTCAAGAACTTCATTCATAGTTGCATTGTCAATTATTAGATGTAGTTTTTTGTTCATCTATTTGTTTACAAACTACCAGCCTCGAAACCACTATTTTCCGGTTTGGTTCGAGAGCGAGTATTTGGTGATTTTGTTTAACATACTGCTAGCCTTTTCAAATGGGTATCTAGCGTCGATATGTTTCATGTACGGTGCTAGATATGTTGGACCCAGTGCTCACTTGCAGGAGCAAGCGGGGGCAGTGCTCACTTTCTTCCTGTCTTTAGGCCTCTGTTCTGGGTCCGCTCTTTCTTTTCTTTATATAGAAATTCCGTAATGTAAATTTGTCCTTTCTTCTTATAGCTCGTTAGTTATGAACTATCAACTTTGGACAGTCAAGCATTCTTCATACGAACCATTTATGGCATTCATATAATGAGTTGACATTGCCAGTTCTTGACATTACTAGTTCTGACAGTCTTGAAAGTTCGTTTTTTGCCGGTTATTGGTTAGTGCCAATCACACATAACGTAGAGAGTTATAATGTCCAAAGTTAGTCAAAATGCGATGAATTATCCAATATTTCAATGTACAAATCAGCATTTTATTTTCTCAATTACGGTAGTCAGTTTTAGAATGATGATTTTATTTTGATTTCGATTTCTCAGAGTTTTCTATGTACACGTGCCTATTGATCAAGTGTAAATGTTTCTTGTGAAAATTTAATATTGTCCGTGAGTTGTTTTTTCTTCTCTGCTTAGCTAAGAATTCACGTCAAGGTATCGCCATGTCTCAGACTTCGGGCTGATCCAGAATTTTTGGATCTTCTGGACAATTCCCACTTTTTGGTACAAACTATATAATTCGACCCTTATTATATTGTGCTTATCACGAATTAAACCTTGAGGAAGTCTGTAAACAATTTACCCCCATCCTGTGTGGGACAAATACTACCTTCTATACAGTACTACTTGGAAAACAAAAAAGCCATAAATCACATACATAGGTTTGCATCTAGTGAAAAAATAAGAGTTAATTGATTTTAAAAAAAAATTTAGCTTCCATTAATAACCAAGGCCAAAATTAGTCGTGAAAAAATAAAGAGTTAAAAGATTTAAAAAAAAAATTAGCTTCCATTAGTAACCAAAGCCAAAATTAGCTCACTTTTTTTCATTAGATGCAAATCTATGCGGGTGATTTATGGTTTTTGTTTTTCGAGAAGTGTAACTTATCAGTTGTATTCTGATAATTTGGATAACCTATTGGGTAATTTCTACGCCTCTTGTAAAAGAATGATTTTGAGTAGATCCGGTTTTTAGATTTGATTGCTTACAAGTTACGGATTGCTACAGTTAAGCAACAGTTTTAGAAAATGCTATAAGTTTATCAAACACCAGTTTGCTAATCAAGTGGTTACCCTGAACAAATATACTAACGCCCATTCATCCAGCCACCTACCTATCCATCCATCAATTAAACCATTCGTCCATCCAGCCGTTTATCTAACCATCTATCCATTTAACCTTTCATCCACACCGGTGTTCATCCAGCCATTCATCAAATCATCATTCCTTCATCAACTCTTCCAACCGTCAATTTATATGTCCAACCAGCATTCCACCCATCCATCCATGCAAACATCCATTCTTACATTCAGGCATTTTATCAGCCATCTGTCAATCCGCCAAGCCATTTACCTATCTAGCCATATATCATCCGTCCAGACATCCATCGCCCATCAATCCAACCACCTTGTTTTCAATCCATCGATCCCCTGGCCATCTGTCTTTCCAGTCAGCCATGCATCAATTCATCCTTCCATCCATCGTCCATCAATCTAACTATCCATACATCAAGGCATTAACATCTAACCATGTATACAGCAGTTCATCAAGTCACTATCCATCTAGCTTTTCATCGTTCATACATGCTACCAACCATTGATCCATCTTTCCATTCAGTCATCCATCCGTCCGTCCCTCCAGCATCCATCTACACATCCATTGATCCCACCGTCATTTCAGACAAATATCCATCCAACATTCGATCCAGCCATCCATTGTTTCATCCGCCATTGGTACAGCCATCCCTCCATCTAGCCATCCATACATCCATTAATCCAGCCAGCCGTCCATCCAACCATGCATCAGCCAGCCTTCCATGCATACATCCAGCCAGCCTTCCCTCCCTCGATCCATCCATCAGAAATCAAACCAGACATCCATCGATACATCAGCTATCCGTCTGTTCAGCCATCTAACCAGTTAGCCATCCATTCAGACACTCCAGATCTTTATTTCTGTTATCATTCATGTTGTAATTTTTCAATGGCAGCTTTAGCTGCAGAGGGTCGCTAGTTTTCATGGTATTTCAGAATCTTTTAGAGGGTTCAGTGCTTGGTTGGCTTGCCAAAAAGAAATGTATTTTTTTTCATGCATAGAAAAACTCGATTAACTTCAATATTTTGGGAGAACATCCATTCTGTTTAATATTTCGGAAAATAAATATCAGTCGCGTAGCTTATTTCCGAATATGTAAAAATTTGCATCACGATTAACAGAAGAGAAAAATTAATTAGGCTGGTTAATTTTTTTTAAATTGGGCATCATTCGATTTTTTGGTGATTAATCTGGAATTTTGTACCGCTTAGAAAGAACGCGCTTTTGAGTAGTGTACCTCGTTAGGGGTCTGACAGATTTCTTGTCTTACATTTTTCAAATTCAAAGATTTAAAAAGTGGGCTAGGAATAAACTTATTGAAAGCAGATTCTTGACAGTAAAATGTATTTCAGTAGGTTCAATTTTAACATCGTTTTGCATTTAATCAAACAATAAAGTTTTGGGCTATGTGAAGTCGTATGACCTTTGGTCGTGTAAATCGCATCACAATTTAAAGCTTGGTGTCTGGTGTTTTGGCTATTATATCTGGGTGTATTATGTGACTGATTACACAACCATGTCTTTATTGCTGACGTTCAGTAAATTTAAACGTGTTTCGCTCCTTAATCCTAAATAAAAATAAGCTAAAACATATAGTTTTGTGTTAATTTGACCTAAAAACAGCGAAAAAATGTTTCAATGAAACATAAACTGGAGTTTGTGATAGAAAAAATCTACGAAATCTGTTCATGCGCGGATTAAACCCTGTAAGTTAAAACTATTTACCGTTGGAAAGCGTGCAAAAGTGTTGGTTTTTGCGTTTATGAGACAATATTTGCAGGTTTATATACTTACTTTTTTTCCAATTTTATGGCCACCAAAAATATAAAAGCTTTTTTTTTTCGACCAAAAAATTTTTTCCCGCTCACCGTTGACGATATCTGTCTGTTCTTCATTACATCTTTTTCACTCTTGCTTTTAGGAAACAGATTTTCTGGTTAAATCGTCTCGAAATTAAAGGATGAAGGTAAATATAAAAATATAGGATTGTTGAAGTTAAAATAGGATAAAATGATTGCTATCAAACGAACGCACCAGCGGATTTAGCGCAGGGGGCGGGGCATTCTCAGGGATTCGACCCCCCTGCCGACGCAAAAGGTCCCCCTTTGTACTATTTAGAGATATCCCTTTTTGGCTAACTGACCCTGAAATTTTTCTAAAAATGTCTTTGGCGCCAAAGTGTACTCAGTCTGAGGGGGGAGCGCACGCCAAAAAAAACGCGATTTTTCGGCCAAAGTTTTCCCAAAAGTGCCTAAAAACGCCTTTTTTGGCTCGTTTTTCCAAAAAAATTGCCTGAGGCGCAGAAAATTTGGTCAAAATGGGGCTTTATAGTTATTTGGGAGAGCTCATAAATCAATTTGCTCGACTTATAAAAAAAGTCGACATAATTTTCGAAATTTCCTTAAAAATCCCCCCCCCCTCGAGAAAAACCTTGATCCGCCCATGAGCGTCTCACGAAACTGTCTATTGGCTTACAATGAACGTGAATTATTGACTGTATCACTTCGCCTTATTGCACTTATTTTTTTTGTTTGGATTAGAAGCCACGCTCGCCCTCCAAACGTTGTGAGAAGCTCTGGGTTAATTAGTTGCCAGATGTGTCGGATTAGTTGCCAGATCTACGAATAGTTTTTTTGCTCTAAGCAATTTTCAAGTAGTTGCTTTAACGTATTAGTGTAATCAACGTAGTAGGGACTAAGACTTTTTCGTTTCTTAAACGGAAAGCAAACTCCACTATCGAACAGTAAAAGTGTCAAGGTCACAAAAAAAGTTTTAAATCGAATTTTGAAGTGTTTTCACACGCGTCAGTTTTTTTCTGTTTTCTTGCGTTCATTACTGTTTTCGAACTGCCAACTGCCTATGTTAGATTTATTCCTGCAATTTGTACTTCAACTTATTTAAGCAATTACTCTTGCGTTAAGGAAAACAGTTGCAATCGGATACAAGATTTTTTTCCCGTAAATAACTTTGTTCATAGGACATTTTGCACAAATTTTAGCTTTTCTCCGAAACTTTTACTGGTTTTCAAGAAAAGAGTATCAATTGAAATATCGCCTACTCCTCTGTGTGCCTACATAATCCCCTAGAGTCTCTTGTTACTTGAACCTTCTGTCGACAGCCTTCGCAAAAGTCAGTGAGGGAGTTTTTGATCTATATTTTTGATTTTTGACTCCCCTTCTCAAATCTGAGCTTTTGATTTAATTGAATAGATTTTTAATGAAAAACTCCATCGTATAAGCAGCTGTGCCAAAATTTTTTAACACAAATTTATGGCCCTCGGAATAGTCAAATTTTTAATTTTTGACCCCTTTTGTGAATCTTTTTGACTTTTCTCGAAAACTAACCTCTCAAATGGTGGTTTTCATGGAGATATCATGTAGTGGTAAGCTCCCCTGCATTAGTAGTTTTTTACACGTTTTTATTTACAAAAAATTATCGCCCTCGGAAAAAAAACGATTTTTTGATTTTCTGACCTTTTTTTTATAAAAATTTTGAATATCCGCGAAAAAGATTGAAAGTGTTTTTGTTAGTGTTGTATTGCGTCGCCTCTTGTTCACTGATCATGCTTTTAAGAACTATCACGTATCGCTAAAGCTTTTTTGACAATTTTGTTTTTCTGTGCGAAACTATTTTTTGGTATTCGTTATTTGTTTTTGTTCAGTTGCGTAAATTTTGTGTTTTCTTGATCAACCAGCAACCCAGCTTAAATTCTCGCTTTTGGAAATTTCCTTGCCGAATTAGTTTGCTCAGAGCAACTGGTTATACTGTGAGCAGATTTACTATATAAAGCAGCTTCAAAACTTTTTAAAACCTGCCTTAGTAGTTCGCTCGAACAATTCACGTAATAATTTAACTTCATAATTTTCAAAGTTTCAATATCAAAATGGCTTGCATAGTAAAGAAAATAAATTTAACCAAGCAACTCTTTTTATGGATATTTGTATTGAGGTTTTTGCGCATCGAGTCCACTATGAAGCAACCTCAAAAATTACATGCTTCGTCAGTTTTTGAGAAGTGCTTCAACTTGTTGAGCTTCGGTTCACTATGAATTTTTTTTCATACTATTTCACGGAGTCTTATGAAAGGTTCAGCGCTTAGATGGTTTGTCAAGAAAAATTTTGAATTTCGTGTGCCGATTCATGGATTAAAGTAAGTTCAAAAGTTTCAAAGTTACATAGCTTGAATAGAATTTAATTTTATGAGAATCGATTGACGATAAAAAATAATCTATGATGTATTATATAATTAAATGTGACTGTCTATCTCCCCATGTTTAAACTATACCATGTCTCAGATTTAAGTTTACGCTATTGAGAGAAATTTTGCACGTTTAATCTGTATTGTCTATTGCAGTGTTTAAGAAACATTTCAGCGCAAGGCAAGGTCGGGCAGGGCAAGGCAGGGCGAGGGGAGGCAAGGTAGCGCAGCGCGGGAACATCAAGGCAGGGCAGGGCGAGGAGCTGCAGGGCAGGGCGAGGAGCTGCAAGGCAGGGTAAAGAAGCGCGAAGCAAGGCATGCAGAGGAGCGGCAAGGCAGGGCAGGGGAGGATTAGTACAGTGCCAGAGAGACAAGGCAGGATAGGGGAATGCAAGGCAGCGCAGAGCCGGGCGTGATGGGGCACGACTGGGTAGGGCAACCATGGCAGGTCAGAGGGAATAAGGGCAAGACAGGGTAGGGAGTGAAAGGGCATCCATCCATGCAAACATCCATTCTTACATCCAGGCATTTTACCAGCCATCTGTCAATCCGCCAAGCCATTTATCTATCTAGCCATATATCATCAGTCCAGACATCCATCGCCCATCAATCCAACCACCTTGTTTTCAATCCATCTATCCCCTGGCCATCTGTCTTTCCAGTCAACCATGCATCAATTCATCCTTCCATCCATCGTCCATCAATCTAACTATCCATACATCAAGGCATTAACATCTAACCATGTATACAGCAGTTCATCAAGTCACTATCCATCTAGCTTTTCATCGTTCATACATGCTACCAACCACTGATCCATCTTTCCATTCAGTCATCCATCCGTCCGTCCCTCCAGCATCCATCTACACATCCATTGATCCCACCGTCATTTCAGACAAGTATCCATCCAACATTCGATCCAGCCATCCATCGTTTCATCCGCCATTGGTACAGCCATCCCTCCATCTAGCCATCCATACATCCATTAATCCAGCCAGCCGTCCATCCAACCATGCATCAGCCAACCTTCCATGCATACATCCAGCCAGCCTTCCCTCCCTCGATCCATCCATCAGAAATCAAACCAGACATCCATCGATACATCAGCTATCCATCTGTTCAGCCATCTAACCAGTTAGCCATCCATTCAGACACTCCAGATCTTTCTTTCTGTTATCATTCATGTTGTAATTTTTCAATGGCAGCTTTAGCTGCAGAGGGTCGCTAGTTTTCATGGTATTTCAGAATCTTTTAGAGGGTTCAGTGCTTGGTTGGCTTGCCGAAAAGAAATGTATTTTTTTTTCATGCATAGAAAAACTCGATTAACTTCAATATTTTTGGAGAACATCCATTCTGTTTAATATTTCGGAAAATAAATATCAGTCGCGTAGCTTATTTCCGAATATGTAAAAATTTGCATCACGATTAACAGAAGAGAAAAATTAATTAGGCTGGTTAATTTTTTTAAATTGGGCATCATTCGATTTTTTGGTGATTAATCTGGAATTTTGTAGCGCTTAGAAAGAACGCGTTTTTGAGTAGTGTACCTCGTTAAGGGTCTGACAAACTTCTTGTCTTACATTTTTTTTAAAAATTCAAAGATTTAAAAAGTGGGCTAGGAATAAACTTATTGAAAGCAGATTCTTGACAGTAAAATGTATTTCAGTAGGTTGAGTTTTAACATCGTTTTGCATTAAATCAAACAATAAAGTTTTGGGCTATGTGAAGTCGTATGACCTTTGGTCGTGTAAATGGCATCACAATTTAAAGCTTGGTGTCTGGTGTTTTGGCTATTATATCTGGGTGTATTATGTGACTGATTACACAACCATGTCTTTATTGCTGACGTTCAGTAAATTTACACGTGTTTCGCTCCTTAATCCTAAAAAAAAAATAAGCTGAAACATATAGTTTTTTGTTAATTTGACCTAAAACCGGCGAAAAAAAATGTTTCAATGAAACATAAACTGGAGTTTGTGATAGAAAAAATCTACGAAATCTGTTCATGCGCGGATTAAATCCTGTAAGTTAAAACTATTTACCGTTGGAAAGCGTGCAAAAGTGTTGGTTTTTGCGTTTATGAGACAATATTTGCAGGTTTATATACTTACTTTTTTTCCAATTTTATGGCCACCAAAAATATAAAAGCGTTTTTTTTCGACCAAAAAATTTTTTCCCGCTCACCGTTGACGATATCTGTCTGTTCTTCTTAACATCTTTTTCACTCTTGCTTTTAGGAAACAGATTTTCTGGTTAAATCGTCTCGAAATTAAAGGATGAAGGTAAATGTAAAAATATAGGATTGTTGAAGTTAAAATAGGATAAAATGATTGCTATCAAACGAACGCACCAGCGGATTTAGCTCGGGGGGGGGGGGGGGGGCATTCTCAGGGATTCGACCCCCTGCCGACGCAAAAGGTCCCCCTTTGTACTATTTAGAGATATCCCTTTTTGGCTGACTCACCCTAAAATTTTTCTAAAAACGTTTTTGGCGCCAAAGTGTACTAATTTTCAGGGGGGAGCGCGCGCCAAAAAAAAAACTCGATTTTTTGTCCAACATTTTCGAAAAAGTGCTTAAAAACGCCTTTTTTGGCTCGTTTTTTCAAAAAAAATTGCCTGAGGCGCAGAAAATTTGGTCAAAATGGGGCTTTATAGTGATTTAAGAGCTCATAAATCAATTTGCTGGACTTAAAAAGAGTCGACAAAAGCGAAAGTCAGGGATTCCTAACCCCCCCCCCTCGAGAAAATCCTAGATCCGCCCCTGAAATGAGCGTCTCACAAAACTGTCTATTGGCTTGCAATGAACTTGAATTATCGACTGTATCACTTCACCGGTGCACTTATTTTTTTGTTTGGATTAGAAGCCACGCTCTCCCTCTGGGTTCTGGTATTCCCTCTTGGGAACAACTCGAAAAAATTCTTGCGAAACTTCTGGCCGAACAGCAAGTAGAGATAGAAATTGACCGAATTCATCACTGCTTGGCATAGGCGCACAATCGATAACAAAATTTGGATGCGCATTTCGTCTTTGTATGACATAACTTTACCGAGGCCGAGAAGAACTCGAATGCAGACGGCAAAAACGAAGCCGAAAGTCGTGAATATTATGCAAACGACGATCATTTGTCGCGTGATTTCTTGGTCTCGTCTACCGGCCGGTGATGTCGTTTGGCTTCGGTTTGCTGCGCGTTTCCGGTCCAAAATCTTCATCTTTATCAAAGTGATTGTCGTGAATAGAAACACACTTGTTATTGGAATAATTCCATTGATGAAGCTTCCGATCTGGTTCCGAAGTCCCCGAAAAAATTCTTCACTGACGAAATCAAAATTGATAGCCCTACAGAATCCCGTCAGTGGATGCACGCGAAATACGAGGACAGTGGGAAATGTCCATACAAGGAGAAGGAAGTACATAATTACTGTGGCAATTATGGCGACTTTGGGCTTTCCGTGCTGACGGTAGAAGAACTAGAAAGAAAAGTAACATGATAAGTGTGCAGCGTTAGGTCACTTGAGAAACTAATAAAATCCATTGTATTTATAACTTTTTTGAAGATATAGAATGATTATGTATTGCACCATTTACCCAAAATATTTGCATTCGATTAAGTGAAGGTGTATGTTGAAAAAGCTAATTCGATACTTGAATTAAGAGAATAGATAAAGAGACAACTGATTTAAGTAAGATCAAACGTGACAGGTGAAATCCGAAGGTGGCACACAATCCGAAGGCCAAACACCTGCTATTGAAATGAAATTAAATGAAATGATTGACAAAGGGAACTATCAAGAACTAAATAGACTTGGATCACTGATTTAGCACTATGACATACCCTCATGTAAAAATTAAATAACTGCACTGGTAATGATTTGGATAAATTTAAGTACTCAATGAAAGTTTTTAAACGCAAAAGTTAGCTCGGTCCCGCCGATCCTAGTTGACGTAAAGCAATGGGCTTAAGGCACTGTGTAACAGACTAAGTTTTTGTTTATCTGCTACAGTTTTTTTTTTGAACGTCGACTATTTGCCCTTTTCACTCATCTCCTTTTTCTTGAACACCGCCTCGGGATATGTGGTCAATCATAACCCCGCCCATTTTCGTGACCGCCGTTCTTTTTCTGCCTAATTTTTGCGATGTCGTATCACTTTCCGAGTCTTGACTCGAATACGAGACTAGCCGTTGTTTTGCCGCTCGTTTCTTCTTACCGCCCGCCGCCGGTACTGTTCTTTCCGTCGCCTCCGGTATGCCGTCCTCTTCGCCGACTTTAGCAGATTTGCCGCTTCCTTTTCCAATTGCCGACGTGCTCGCCTCCTCGTTCTGCTCTCCCGCCGATTTTTCTAGAGTCGCTAGCTCCGTTACGGATCGTCCTTCGCGCATGGTCTCAGTACGTCATTCGCTCGGTTCTACCTGTAATTCGGGCAACTGTGCCAATGGCAGTTTTCCGCCGGTCCTTCTTGTAGCCAACGGCTGGCTGTCGCTGTCTGACTCCGACTTCTGTAACGCTTGCTCGCCGATAATGATCGCTCCGCCTTGTTTTGCTAAAGTGACCGATTCTCCCCGCTTTTTAGAGTCCGCAATAGCAATTTTCTTGCGTAGATCCGCTGGCGTGGGTGGCTTAGGAATCCCTGACTTTCGCTTTTTCGGCATGGAGGCCTTCCGAACTGCAACCCCAGATTTCTTAAGCAAGATACCATGATTCATTTTAAGTGTGTGCGTACTTTCCGCGACAATTTTAGTATTCAATTTCCTGTACCTGCTTAGATTCCGGTCCCACTGCGCTGATACACTGTGCGGAATGGTCCCGCTTCGTTGCCCCCTTGTCCTTGAAAGGATGTAGCCGTTGGCTCATCTGCCTGACTCAGAGCCTGCCTTTGGGTTAGGATCAACGGGTGATTACGCCTTGCATACCCCCCGTACTCGTTATCCGATCGCATGCCCCAATCAGTGTCCGCCTGCTTCGGCATTTTCTGGGCTTCGCCATCTTGTTCGTTTAAACATGCAGACTTAGATTTTAGAACATTCGACCAATACATGTTCCTTAGAGATGGTTTTTTAGTTAGGTTTCGGAGTACGGTGTTGGCATCCCTGCCGTGAAGTGCCTCGAATGGCGTTATTTTCAGTTGCGTTTGGCGAAACTCTTAGTGCTCCCAGCGCTCGCTCCACCGTTTTCTCTAATGGTTCCGGGTTTTCCTCTCGAGCGTACGATAAGATAGAGTTTTTTAAACTTCCGAAGTTCTTTCTACGCAACCGGTGGCTCGGTGATCACTTTCCGGCGACTGCACAATTTCAATGCCTTCGGCATTGCAAAATGTTTTGACATTATGTGACAAACAATTCGTCCCTTGGTCAACATGTATCCTTCTTGGCACCCCATGGTTATTCATAAATTGTTTGAGAATTTTTAGGATCTTATCGGAGGGATTTGTGTTGCATACCATAGCGGATGGCCATCTCGAAAATCTATTAGCTGCTACTATCACATATTTTTTCGACTCCGGTAAATAATTGATAAGCCCCCAAAAATTTAGTTGAATCGCCTCATTCGGCTCTTTAGGTTCCGGTATCCTGCCTAGATTTCCTTTAGAACACATAGGTTTTATATTCTTACCGGCAAGTATGCAATCCTGGCGATTTTCGGCCATATTCGCTTTTTTTCTGTGAATGTAAGGATACTAAATATCCTTTGCCGCCGCAAGTATTTTGCTTTTTCCATGGTAATAAAAATGTAAACGATTGTTTATGGCTGTATGTAATGAGTTCGGGATAACTAATTTATCGTCCCTCTAAAGGCAATTATCTCTAATGTGAAAATTTTTAAAAATTGAGAGTAATATCGGTTTTTGAGGCAGTACCTGGGTCTTTAGATTTAACAAGTTGATAAATATCTTCGATTTGGGGGTCTAAGGGGTATTGCGATTCAATGAACCGTAGGTTAAACAACTCTGGTAATGCTGTAGCTTTTGAGACAACTTTGCAATTTCGAGGAACTACCGACATAATAGTATTCACTGGGTTAACCGTTGGAAATGTTTCGCCGGGAAAGTTTGATGGAGTTGATAAAATCGTGTTTGATTTTGTACTAATAGTTTCTGTTGTGCTAGCATTCAAGGTCCTTTCTCTTGTTAATTCCTCCACATCATCGTCACTGCTCGTAATACTTGGGTGTCGTTGTAATAGTTTCTGATTTTTTCTTATTGATTTGTCCATTGAATTAAATTTATCTTGTTCCGTTCTATAAATAGATTTCGTCGGCCTGTTTGAATAAGCAGTAATAGCTCCAACTAATCTATTTTTACACCCGAGTGACCGTCGGCATAACTTGTCACGTGACCGGTGGCGTATGCAAATTTCAGCGTTCTTATTGGCTGTCTTGTTGTAACATGATTTCTCGCCCTCTACCGTCGGTTTTTCTTATTGGAAATTTGCATATTCTATTGCCATTGGCTAATTTCCAATTTGAAACTTCATTATTTACACTTGTTGAGCAGTTTGCGTGTTTAGTTTTAAATCCGAGGGTGCTTTGAATAGGTCTAATTTTCGCGACAGTAAGCATACTGTCATATGTTTAAACTGGCTCAGCCTCACTGTTCGGGTGTCTCGAAAGATAGTCCGCTAAACCAATTTTCGCCCCCGGCGTATGTTCGACCTCGAAATCGAACGGTATTAGTCGATCGAGAATTCGTGTTATCCTGCTAAACATTGTTTTATTCTTCTTGTTGTTCCCGTTTAAAAGTGAAACTAGCTCCTTATGATCCGTTACTACTTGAAATTTTTGCCCTAACACGTAGCTCTGAAAATATTCTGCTCCCCACACAACCGCGTGCATTTCTAGTTCGTTAGTCGACTAGCGTTTTCTGGCGTCGTTTAGATAATGCGATGCAAACGAAATTGGCCTCCAGCCCACAGTACTCAGTTGTTCTAGTACTGCCCCCAATCCATTATGACTTGCGTGGCACACTATCCTACTATCCTTCTGCACATCAAAGTGTCTAAGTTCAATTATGTTGGCTACCTGCCGTTTCAAATTTTCAACTGCGTCTTTGCACTCCGTAGTCCAGTTATACTCGTTTTTCCGGCTTAAAAGTGGTCTCAGCGGTGCTGAGGATTCCGCAAGTGCTGGTAAATGTTTGTGGAGGCTATGTATTGATCCCATAAAGGATTTCAATTGATTTAATGTGCGGGGCGGTTTTAGTGCTTCAATGGGTTCAGTTTTCCGAATCAGTGGCGTTACTCCCGTGTGCGTGATCTTATGACCAAGCCACTTGCATTCTTGTTGCGCGAAGTTACACTTTGTTAATTTCAACGACATATTTTCCTCATCCAATTTCCTTAAAATTTTCTCCACGGTTGCTATATGTTCAATTTCCGATCCTTTTGTAAAGACTAAAATGTCGTCAATAAATGCATGTGCCTGCGGATATTCCGAAAGGATGGAATCCATCACTCGTTGGAATTCCGCCGGCATCGTAGTTAAGCCGTAAAATTCGGTTTTGAATCTATACGTTCCGGTTGAGCGTCCGGTCGAGCCGTAAAATTCGGTTTTGAATCTATACGTTCCGGTTGAGCATCCGCCAATCAAAGAAAAATTACAATGTACGCTAGTATCTTGACTTGGTGGCAATTGTCGGTATGCGTACGTGAGGTCCATGGTAGAGAAGTATATTTCACCCGGCTTCTTTTTGCCTATTGTTTGACCGACGGCGTCCATTAGCTCTTCGATATTCGGAATTTGGTACTTGTTCTTATGTACCTGCTTGTTTAATTCACGTGTCTTAAGTTATTAAATAACTCGGCCTGCACCTTATAATTACGTATCTTCTCCACCCGGTTAAATAGATTAGAAACTAGCTTACTGAAGTAGTCCTGCCACTTCTCCAATTGACTTTCTCCTTCATCCCCGACTGTTTCCTGTATTGACATCACTTCCTGGCCCGGCTTCCTCTGTACTAACTGCAATCCTAAGTGGGACATCAAGTCTCTCCCGATGATCGGTGGGCATGCTGCTCCAATTACCTTTATCACAGCTGAGGCACTCCAACCATTCGATGCTAGCTCCACCTTCATCGTTTCCCAGTAACTTGATTGGGTTATTCCCATAGTCCCGCAATTCCTGATCCTGCGGTTCGACCTCCTGCATTCGCATGCCTGCGGCGCCCAGCAATCTTCGAAGTTCAATATTGGTGAATATGGAAATCGGCGAGCCGCTATCGATCCACACGCTGGTTTTTCGGCCGTTTATCGTGATTGGAAGTTTCGCCTCCGCTACTCGCAGTTCAGTTCGATTTTTCGCTCGCACAGCCAACACCATATAATCCCCTCCCCCCCCCCCCCGAACTATCGGAATCCCATGATCGGAGCCGCTTCTCTGCCGTCGGATTTACCCATCTCACTGAAATTTCGTGCTGCGATTCTTCGTCTCCCGTCTCCTCCGACTCGAACCGTTCCTGGTTTGCTTGCCCCTGGATAACCCCGACCGACGAATTGCCCCTAGTTTTTTTCTGAGCTCGACATGTTCGTTCGAAATGCCCAACTTTCCGGGAGAAATTACAAGTTACATTTCGAGCCGCACATTCATTCATGTGTTCTCTGGTGAATCCTGGTTTGTCGCAGTTGAAACACCTTCGGTCTCCGGTGTTGATGCCCCTCCCCCGGTACAATCCACGTCCTTGCGCTTGGCCACGTCCTCTGCCTCGATTATTTCTATGACCGCCCCGAAAGGCTCCCGCCGGCTCCGACTTGATACTAATTCCACCGCCTCCGGTACTACTCGACGCTGTGCCTCCGGTTGTAACATAGGATTTAGCGTACTTATTCCCTCGCTCGTACGATAAAGCTATCCTGTATGCTTCTTCCGGCGTTTTTGTGGCCCGACTTTACTCGTTTTGCGCCTCGCAATTTGTCATATTGACAATGAAGACGTCCCATAACACTCTTGACTCCAATGACCCAAATGAACATCGAGCTGCTAATCCATTAAGAACAGCGTGGAACTGCTCCAAAGATTCCCCGATTCTTTGCTTTCTAGATTTTAACTGGAACACCTCGTACTTTTCGTTCCGCTCCTTTTTAAATTCCCCCTCCATAGCATCGAGCACTCTCAGGTAGCGTGCCTCTCCCAACTCCAAATGTGGTCTTCGTTTGTGCAACACCTCCTTTCCCCTTTTCCCCAAGCAAAGGTATAGGTTCGAAATTAGGGTTTGTTCCGCCGCTAATTTGTTTTTTCCCTCCACATCCTCCGGTAATGCTGCTATCTGCGTAGCCGTCAATGAGTCCGCGAAGTAGTAGTTTTTCGGGTTTATAGAGTGTTTTGCGACCATTCCCAATTGGAAGCGATTAAGCCAAAATTCCCACAACATGGGGGTTCCGTATGTTTCGCCGGCCAAAATGACACGATTCTAAGTGGGTTTTTCCACCCACTTACGCCTGCTATCTGCGCCATGTTGAAAAAGCTAATTCAATACTTGAATTAAGATAATAGATAAAGAGACCACTGATTTAAGTCAGATCAAACGAGACAATGTTTTTGGTGAAATCCGAAGGTGGCACACAATCCGAAGGCCAAACACTTGCCGTTGAAATGAAATGAAATGATTGACAAAAGGAACTATCAAGAACTAAATAGACTTGGATCACTGATTTAGAACTATGACGAGGTATTTGCATTCGAGTAAGTGAAGGTGCACTGGATTTTGAAAACACTCGTTTTGATTGTTGGGAATAATTTTTACTTTATCGGAGGGCCGATGACATAAATTTTCGAGCGATCATGCTGCAACGCTTGAAGTTCGAGATCTTTCAACTACCTTAACTGCAAAATTTATTTTTTCATAAGCACACCAGCAGGACACAATTAAACGTAAGTTTATGTTTTTAATCTATGCAGGGGCGGAACTTAGGGGGGGGGGGGAGCGGACGCCTCGCCCCCCTCAGGGATTCGACCACATGCCGACCCAAAGGGTCCACTATTTGTACTATTTTGAGATATCCATTTTTGGAGACGGAACCTAACAATTTTCTAAAGGCGCCTTAGGCGCCAATATATACTAAATTTAAGGGGGCAGCGCGCGCCGAAAAAACACGATTTTTTCGTCAAATTTTCCAAAAACTGCCTAAAAACCCCTTTTTCGGCCTGTTTTTTTGCCTGCGGCGCAGAACGTTTGGACAAACCAGGGTCTATTTACTGCTTTGGGAAAGCTCGAAAAATCAATTTGGTCGACCTAAAAAAAGCCAAAATTTTGCCTGCGGCGCAGAACGTTTGGACAAACCAGGGTCTTTTTACTGCTTTGGGAGAGCTCGAAAAATCAATTTGGTCGACCTAAAAAAAAAGTCGACAAAATTTTCGATTTTTTTTTGAAAATCCGCCCCCTCCCCTCGAGAAAATTCTAGATCCGCCCCTGAATCTATGTAAAATTTTTCTTGAAACCCCATGGAAATTAGTGGACACAATTAAGCATAAGTTAATGTTTTTTAAATATGTAAAATTTTTGTTGAAATTTCTTGGAAATTTTGCCGAAATGGTACTGGTAAATAGAAATTTCAGAGAGTGAACACCTAAATTTGCGTTTAATGTTGCGCACTAGTGTAATTGGTTCCAGGACTTCAAGTATGTTCAAGGGCACATGAAGTGCATGCTGAAAATTATATAACCTCTTACCGGAAACATCACAGCTGTGCACTTGTCCGCACTGAACAGAACAGTGGCGTAGAATGAGGCGAGAGAAGTTGCAAATGACCAATACATGCTAAATTTACACACCCAATCACTCAACCCTATAGAGAGAAGGAAGGGCTCTTTTCCACATCTTTTCTCTTTAAAGGCATGCAATTTCCGAGCGAAAAACTTCTATTAAAAAATGTATAAATGTTGTGTGATTTTTCATTTTCTAAGTGTATTTTTTTAGATTGCAGGCAGTAGTTTTAAACTTTTTGCGCTCATATTGGCAGTATGATTAGTTAATTCTACTGAAGTCGTTAGTCATTAATTGGAAAAGAGCCTGTGATAGTCCATCCGAAGAGAGGTCTGGCCATGTCTATGAAGCCATTGTAGATGACAGAGAGAAAGTCACTCAGCGCCAGTGAGAACATGAACGCCGCACCCGAAGACATGTTCTTCCATCTGCAACAAAAATGCTGTTTTCTCGAGAAATCAAACAACTGGGATTTTCTTTTATACTGAAAGTTGAAAGTTAAGTAGACCTTTTTAGGTTTACCAGCTTTATATTCTGAACCCTCAATAAACACTGGCAAAATTGCGTCTGCCTAAAAATATTGGAAGGTTTTTGCACTTGCAATTACCAAGCGTTATCAAACTCGAATATAGACTTTTTTCAGGTTAACAAATTGTTTAACAGAATCACTTGAATCACTTTGATCTTGATTCACAATGAATTTAAACTAATTTAATTTCCCACCCAACTTCGCCTGGAGGTAACGAATATGCCTTGAACGGCAAAGGTCTTCGGCTCCAATGTGACCAGGATTTGTTTTGTTTTCATACGAAATATTCTACTTCAATTAAAATGGTCGGCCGATTATTTGTCCGCTTATCTTTTGTCGACTTAGTTGCCACATCTTGCAATCGTTTTTTTTTTTGCTGTGCGCATTTTTCTTTAATCTTGATTTCAGTATTTTATTTACTCCTACTATAGGTAATTTACTTGCCTTGACTTTGTATTTCCTTCTTTAATTTTTGTGTTTCGTTTAAAAAACTACTCGGCCAAATTGATTCGGCCTATTTTTTTCGGCTTAATGACCTAATTGTGGGTCGTGTCAGGGGAAACACAGTTTTAACACTCCCATCCGCACTTTTCAAAATGGTTTGATGTTTACCAATCGGTTTGTTGAAACTTCTTTTTTTATCGTTATGGAAAATTATTTCCAAACTTATCGGAAAAATTTTAGTTTTTCTCAGAGACTTCTACCTCTTGAATTTCAAAAAAGGGGTATCGATTGGAAAACAGCCCGCTCATCTGTGAGAGTGCATACTCCCCTAGAGTCTCTTTTTACTTGACCCCTGTGTCTACGGCTTTGCAAAAAGTCTGTGGGGGAATGTTTGATCTGTATTTTTGTAGAGGAATTTTTTGGCCAGCAGTTTTGATTTTTTCTTTAGTTTTCTCGAAAATACCCGTCTTAAATCTGAGTTTTTGTGTCTCAATGAATAGAAAAATTTTGAAAAGCTACCTGCATCTGCGGCTAAACCCACTTTTTTCTACAAAATTATGGCTTTTTGATTTTTGATTTTTGACCTAAACTAACCTCTACCTTGTGGGCTCAATTAAAGACTCAATAGAGATAACGGGCACTTGGAAGCTCCCCTACATCATGCATTAGCGGCCACTCACAAATCTTACAAAAGTAAAAGTTTTGTTTTTTGACCGTTTTTCAACTTTTTGAATGCTCTCGAAAACTTCCCTGCCATATCTGAAATTTTGAAATCAATTCAAAAAAAGTGTTGCGGGAAGCTCATTTGCTTATGCGACTACGCTCAAATTTTTCTTTCAACATAAGTTTTGGCCCTCGGAAATTTCGATTTTTTGACCGTTGTTTTTTGAAAATTTTCGTTTTTCTTCTCAGAAACTACCCTTCCAGATCTGACATTTGGGGTATAATCGAAAGTACAGTTTGCGTGAGTTTCTTCTGCATAAAAGTCTACGCCCTATTTTTCCACTCGAAAAGCTATGGTCTCTTTGATTTGTTGACCGTTTTGATTTTTGATTTGTTGACCGTTTCTTGAACTTTTCGCGCCAACTATTCTGCCAAATCTGACATCATAGGTTTAATCGAAACGACACGCTGTTGAAAGCCTACCTTTATAATCGGCTATGCCCAGTTTGTATTTTAAAAAAATATGGCCTTCAAACAATTCAATGTTTTGAAACTTTGACATTTGTTTGGAAGCTTTTTGACTTTACGCGAAAACTACCATGCCGAGTCTCATGTTGTTTTCAATCGAGAAACCCAATTTTGGGATTTTTTTCTGCTTATGCGGCCACAACCTGCTTTTCACAGAAAATAGTTATGGATTTTGGAAAGTCTTTCGACTATTTTTCTTAGAATTTTTGACCATTTTATAAAAAATTTTCAACATTCTTAAAATTTACACAATCAAATCTGAATTTCAAAATTCAATTGAAAAAACCGTTTACGATATTTGTACTTGCAGTTGCGGCGACTTCTTAAATTTTGTGAGGCAAATGTTATCTTCTGGAGCAAATTGTTATCTCCTTAATTATATCAAAATTTATTACTCCTCTCAATTATTTTAGTGGAAAAACAATTAAGGCAAAGTCCATTTTTTGAAATCCCATTTTTCCTGCCGCATCAGTATAGCTAATTCATTCAGTATCAAGCTGGTACCTGCAGCTTTAGTTGAGCCCCTTTTTTTATCGAGTCTTTTGGTTCACCTAGTTTTTTACAACATGTGCTTGTGTTGAATCGCAAGTAGTGCGAAGTTAGCTTCGCATCTGTGTAAAAAAAATCCCACTAGTTTTTCCTACATAAAAATCATAAAATCTATAGAAAACATTGAATAGTTTCACGAAAAGTGAAGACTCGGGGTGTTGAATTGAATGGAAAACCTTCGAATCTCATGTTTGAATTGATGATACTGACTTGGAAATTATTAGCATGGTGACGAAGTTTCCAAACACTCCCAGAGCACCAGTGGTGGCACACAGAGAATCTACTCCGAATCGGATTATTTTAGACAGCGGGTAGGCCGAGCCCCAGTCCACGAAGTCCCCGGGAGAGGCCGCGTCTTCACTGTCCGTGTAATTCAGGACCTAAAAGACCATGAACAATAGATGGACATGAACTGTAAGCTTTTTTACTGAATAGAAACATTGAAAAGAGGGGGGGGCTTTGTCTTCAGGTATTTTTTTCCACGCAAAACTAGGTATCAAAAATAATTATTGGAATGAGTCGAGTGAGTTATCATATTAGAGCCGTTTCAGTCTTGATTCGAACATTAATTTATAAAACTAGTGTCAAGAAAAACCGGTTGTTTTTGATTTTTAATCTAGTATCGAACAAATAGAACGAGCGAACAGGCTCTTAATATGGCAATGAGCTTTTATTTAAGCCGCGAAAACCTAAATTTTTTCCAGTAAATTAATTTTTCGAAGATTCTGGTAAAATAAAATCCTAAGAAATTCAAAAAATGTTTCGATTTTTTTAAAATCTGTTTTCGAATGTGCTTAAGGTGATAATATGTTCATTTTATTATCAAATATGTCTTAGCTCTAGTCTTTCGTTCAAATATTCTCATCATCATTTTGTGGTCAAAACCTACAGTGCTACTTATACAGCAACCGACTATCCTGGTTAGTATCCTTTTTAAAGCACTGGAAGGATTTTAAAGAGATACGCATAGTTTTTAACGGCTTCATGAATTTATGCTTTCAATCGAGATCTAAAATTGTCGAAAAACGGAACTAGATTTGAAAAGATTCTAGAAAAAAAATGTTATTTCGGAATGCTAATTGAACGTACAGTAACCTGTTTTTTTTTGTTCTTAAGGTTCTTGTAACTGGATAGATGAAGTTACTTTCTCTGAAAATTTAACACTTACCTCAATTGCCATTTTTGAACTAAATTTTTTGTCCCGCTTATCGATTTGTAAATTTTTGTAATCTAAAGAAGAGTGAGCATATAAAAGAAACTCCTCGGGCAAAATTCAGTTTCCTTCATGAATAAATTGGTTGGGAGCGCAGGGCTCTTTTGATGAGACTTGGCGACACTTTATTATATCGTTGGATTTTCATTCAAAAAGACAAAAAGAAAAGATAATTTAGCGAGGAAATGGCTCCTTTCGACCGCCCAAAATACTTCTGCTTTTTCTTATTTAAATATTAAATTGTTATTTCGGTTTCCATCTAAATCAGGACAATTTGTTACTTTACTTTAACTCAAAATTTTTGCAGCCCATTTTTCCTTAAGTTGATTGGCCTCGTCGGTTTGAAACAACCTCAAAGAGAGTTATTTGATAATGCATTCGAAGCTAATTATAATTTATCAATAACAAAATAGAATTGGACACACCTTGATGTATTCTAATTTGCTCCCAAGTGAACAAACGATGCCTTGAGAATAAAAACTACCTAAAGAGTTATCGTGAAAAATACAAAAAGGTAGATTAAGTCAATGTAAATCAAAGGCGCGCGCAATCAGGGAGATGTTGATATCACCATATTGCAGACGATCAGACTCGGATTTAGGATTTAGGAGGGGGGGGGGGGGGTGCTCACTAACCAAAGGAGGGTCCTCCTTTGGTGTTATTTTATGACATCTATTTTAGGCTGACCAACCCTAAAATTTGAAAGGCGCTTCGGGAAACGTTTTTGTAATCCTGAAAGAACGGGAAAGATTTTTAAGCGTAACTTTTTTTAACCAATTTTAATTGATTGACCTCTGACCGTATTCCTTGATAAAGTACCTATAGTAACCTGCCGCTAATTATGCCTAAAACTTCTAAGAAGCCCGCTCAAAGAAATCAGGATCCCAGAATAAGAAAAAAATTGTCCGTTTATTGTTTGTCTGTTTATGTTTTGTTGGCTTAGTTGACACATCTTGAATTTTCCCCCTTTGCAGATTTCTTTGTAATTAATTTCTTAGTTTTCAACTAATTCTGCTACCCATTTATTTCTAAAATTCTACTGGCCTTGACTTTGTATATTTTCCTTTTTTGCTTTTTGTTCGATTAAAAAAAATTTTTAATCGAAAAAAATTTCGTGCGATTAAAAAAATTATCGGCATAAATGATTTCGTCTGATAAGTTTTTGACTTACTAAACTTATTTTGGGCCGCTCGAGGGAATGATAAAAAGTATACTTTTCTCCGGATCGCACGAAACGTTAAAAATCTCAGAATAGAATTTATAGTTCAGAGTTTTTCACGACAACAATTTTATTTTCACTTGATGGTTGTTTTTTTTTGTATTTTCGTTGAGCTCCGTCTAATGTGTTTCTGTGCGTGTTTTTTTGCAAAACAGAACATCATTCCAGATAACGTTTTGAAGTTTTTTATTGTGGCTTTTTCCCAAAATTATTTCCGTTTTCTTTGGACTTATTGGCTCTTCTTTTCTTTCCTGTCTGCTAGCTTTCAATGCTACTTTTGTGTTATCGCAAGTGATGCAAAGCTCCGCTTTGTCTCTGTGTGATTAACATTTCACGCTACTCACAGGATAAGTTAGCTATTCGGTATACAAAGTTGGCTGCAGCAAAATATTCAGCGCGCACTGTGTGAAATGAAGAATTTATGCAGAATTATTTTTCAAACATAGTCATGCTTGGGATGGACATTCTACGTTTAGTCAATGGGGGGAGCTAATTTACAGCTGATTTAAAATGAGGCAGCTAATTGGTTAAATTAACTCCATACACGGCTCAAATCGCAGCACTTATTCTTTGTTATTATTAGACTGAAATTCATAATTTTTGCCAATATGTAGTTTACCAAATCTATCCGGGACCAATTAAAGGGCAGTTGGAACATTCCGGGCTTGGCCCTGATACAAATAGTCTTGTTTTTAGTTATAGTAAAAAATAAAAGTAAGTGAAAAATATAAAAGTAAGTGCTAAAAACTTGAGGTTCCCCAAACTTCGCCACTCTTGCCTTTCGCTCCTCATTCATCATGAGACTTTTTGTGAGTTAAAAGACTAGAAACGTGCGTGGAACAAAGTGTGCCAATTAATTTAAGAACGCGGAAATGCGTGGTTGATGAAGCGAGCCACTTTCAGTTCTGATTCGTATGATAGAAGGAAGTGTTTGCCCAATTAGTTTGTCTCAAATCAATTGGGTAAGATTTTGATTGCGGAATAATTCAATTTTTTAAATTAAAATCGTTGGCACTTTTGCTTTCAAAAGCTTGAAAGCGCGAATAAAATAGCTCAGAGAGGTATTTTTCAAACCGCCAAAATTGATAGCAAGTGGAATATCCTGTTTTGATTTGAAGCCAATATGATCAACAATAATTTGAACTCAAGAAAGCGATATTTTCAAAAATGCTGTTATGATTTTACCTCAAAAAGTCGATTTTTGCCAAAAAAAAAAAATTGTTGAAAACTATTAACTTGATTACCTCACAAACATCGCATAATAAACATTTTATAATTTTTCTAAGAAAGTCTGATCAACATGTTATCTGCTACCTTTTCAAGTGAATTGTAAAAAATGTTTAGGAGTATGTGCATAAGTTGTATTCAAAAGTTCCATCGAGTTTAATAAGTAACTTTTTGTGACCAGCAGAGTATTAGCAACTGGCGCAGAAGTGTTTTTCTTTGCCAAAAACTTTTGAGAACAGACATCTCAATTTCAAAACTTTTGATTCCTTGCAAATTTCAATGGACATAAGGAAATCATTTTCTTTTATTTTTCGGCTTTTTTTAAGTCATCTCGTCCAGGTTTTTTGTTATAATGATTTGAAGATTTCCTCTTATTCTTTTTCAAAGGCCCGCGAATCACGCCATTTTTTATGCAAAAACGCGAATGGCGCAAAAATTGAGCAATAGGTTTCAAATCAGACGTTAATATCAGATATCACAGGTGAATGAAGAAACTACGCAATGGTTCACTATCCTCAATTTTGGTGTCTTTTCAGGCTTCGATCATAATATTTTTTAGAAATTGAGTAAGTTGGTAATTTGGAGCTTTATAGGTTGTTTTTACACTCACACATACACACAAAAAAAAGCGAATCTTAGCAAAAAAAATAGCAACCATTTTTTGGTATCCTTGAATTTTCTAATGCCTCCAACTTTCCGCTGACAATTTCGTACATCATATCAACCCTTCTCACTATCAGCAAGCATATTCTCTTATTTTATTCAAAATAGCATAAAGTGATATGAATATTCAAATTTATGTTCAGAATCCTTAAATAACAGTCAAAACTGATTTAAGGGTTAAAAACAAAATATTCTCAGCAAAATAATTTCATTAAATGAGTTGAAACACTATCAAAAACTTAAAAGAAAAACTTTCATCTTTAATACGATTTCGCAAATGAGCATGGAATACGAAAGTTATTGGAGGCACGTAGTCAAGCTCAAAAGGTGGAAATTGCTGAGCTTAAACGCGCTACTGTTACGATTTTTTTTCGGGCTGCAAAAATGGTCCACTGTATAATTATATAAAATCCATAAAAACTGCAATTCATTTTGAAGTAAATGACTTAAATCAACTTTTTTGCGGAATGTTAGGTTATAGGCAACGAAAAACTAGTAAGAAAAAAAGATCTTTAGTCTTCCTTATAGTTTTTCTATTTTCGTTTTTTTTTTTCAGTTTATTTGATACACTAATTACTAATTAAGCACTATTATGCGATTTTGTCAAAAAAACTTTAAAAAATTGTTTTTCTTGGAGTTACGTAATATCTGATGTAAAAAGAAAGTATACGAATTAATACTGGTTTTCTTTTCAAAATAAAATTGATTTTCATTCTTTTGTCATTACAGTGTTTGCCGTTTTTGATTTCAATCTAAAAAGGCCCAAAATCTCTGTAACCAAAATTCCGTACAAATTCGTTCGAACTCTCTTCGAAGAGTTATGATGTTTTACTATCAGCAATAAAAACAAGCAACAAAAACTTGATTACATCTGGCTAGAGCGAAATCATTCAGTTTCTTTCTTAGACAAACAGATTACACGGAAGCGTGCGCGCTTCGTCAGTATTTGAAAAATTATCTTTCCTCGTGAAATTTGCATGTTTTTCCTCAACACTGTCATTTTTGAATCGCAATCGCCTGTTGAGCAGTAACTGAATTGGTTGCGAGCTTTGATGAGTATTATAAAACAATTAGAAATTTGAATTCAAAAGTTTGAAGTATAAGGTGTTTTTCTCGTATAACTAAAAAAATATGTACCTTTGTTGACCAAAAGTGCAGTTCATACAAGTCTCATACTTTTTCTTATGCCTTGAAAACACTTTATAAAAGTTTTTGGAAGTTATATGACTATCATTTGAAATTTATATGACAACTGTTTTCTTTTCTTTTTACGGAATTGCATGACCATTTTTTTCATTCTTTTGAAATATATGGCTAGCAGTTTTCTGTAATTTACATTTACGCAATTTTTTTCTTTTGCTTTTTGTTTTACTAATTTCCGAGGTTAGAACAACATTTAAAATATCATAGAAAAGTGTATTACAAAATTTTGGCATGAGGTAAAACTATCATTGAAACAGCGGTATCATAAAATCAATCATTTCTTACAAATTGCGCTGAAAAAATCAACAATAATTTTTTTCAATTGCTTGAAATATTGCGCGATTTTTTTGCAGAAGAGTGTCTAGATTCTGTTCGGAATAAAAACGCAGGTTTGGAGTGAATGCAAGAAAATATATCTCACAATTTGATATAGCTTTTGGTAAACTCGACTACGTTATTGACAAAAAATTATAGAATTGCATGCAATTTTTTTCTAACAAGTTTATTTGAGTACGGAATTGATTTTGCGACTGAAAAACAGTTTCGGGGAATTTCGGCAAATGAATTTGGGGAAAATTTGCTTTCCCTTTTTCTGCGAGAACTTTGGGAACATCTTATGCCGCATACTTTTTCGTTCGACAAATTCAGAAGTTTTCAAATTGCGCTTTTGAAAACAATATGCACACTCCTTCAATTATGCAATGTTTTGCAAAGTGTGTTCTAAAACGCGGCGCACGAAAATTTGCGAAAGTTACGCTTTTCTGGCGCTTCGGGAGAAATCAAAAAAATAGTTGAAAGAATTTTTTTTCAAAGCCAGCTGGATGAAATCACAAATCAGAAGTCAACCATGCAACCGAAAAATGACTGTGAGGCATCCGTCCCCTAGTGGGTCTGGTGGATAACTTCGAGTACCATGTCCCTCAGATCAATTGATATGACCACTCGAGCATCGATAAACACACACTCGTCTCGTGCATTCAATCTTTTGAGGAATTTGTGGAGATTTGCCCTATACGATTGCTTTCTGGCCTCTACGCAGATAGAAAATTTTTCAAACTCTCTAGCTCGGAAAAAAAAACGTTAACTTTGCTAATATAAATTCCGAATCGTAATTGCTTACTGGTAGCGCAAAATTATTTGGGTTTCTTGAGACGTAGTCAGCATATCTTAGGTGTTGAATTTCGAAGCAGAAGAGAAATAAGCGTTTAATCCATCTGATTAGATTGTATGAGGTTTTTCTTCTGATGCTTTTGGTGAAATATTTTCCATATCGATAGTGTTTGAAGTATTCGAATGGCCAAACTACTCTCGAAGCTCCAAATCATTATTGAGTACTTTTATTCCTATGTATTCAGGAAACGTGTTGCATACAAAATCTGTACATAACCATCTCAGAAACTTTGCCATAGTGCCACTCCAAGTCTAACTTTTGAGGCATCGCACACTGCTCTAGTTTCAGTTTTAGTTGATATGTCTTCTATTTTCAGTTGTGTCGGCCGACAGTTAAAAGATTTTCTGATACGTTCTTTTTATGGATGTCTTCTCATTTAAAGTTAATCTTTTTCGCTGTTCATCAACGGTTTCGTGAAGACTACGGTCCATCCATCTGCTCAATTGGTTGTTATAATCGGCCCAATGGTTCAGTGTAAAATCTGTTGCTTGCTGCGTCTTCTTTTGAAATATGTATCCATAAGGCGATTTTCATGCTGTTTTACAAGCTGTCTGACTTGTGATTGATCAGAAATGACATTGTGCTTTTTGATTCCGCTATTGCGACTGCCATTTGTGTTTTGTTTTCTTGAGAAATCAGCAACAACTAATAAAATTATGTGACCATCGCAGGAGGATATCGGGAATTTTCCGCCCTCCTCAGAGGGTATACCCCCTGACAATTCGAAGTCCCAATTTTGGACACTTTTTTGCGGCATCGATTTTCGATCGACAAACTCAGAAGTTCTTCATTGGCGTTTGAAGCCAATATACACTCAATTTTGTTTCTTTATTTTGATAAAAACCATCGAGCATTTTTAAAGTTAAAATCTTTCGAAAAAAAGTTTCCTAAACGTGGTGCAATACGGTTCGCCGAAACTGCTTGCCCCGTCTTCGAATGGAATCTGTTTCGATGCGGCGTTTTTTAGTCATACTGACACGTGATTGATCAGAAATGACATTGGGTCTCCTGAATCCGCCACTGTGATTGCCTCCAAGCGTTATCAGATCAGAACATGCGCTTTTTTCGCGTTAACAACTTGTTTAACAGATCCACTTGAATCACTTATATCTTGGTTCAAAAATAGCTCCAAATGTTATGCGTTTCAAGTACTTAGCCTGTAGGTGGGGGATGCGTTTGGAACGGCAAGGACGGCAAACTTTGTTGACTCGAATCTGGCCAAGGACTTTTTCTCAAAATGAAAATTATCCTTTCCAAAGATTGTGGGCCTCTTGTTTGTCTGCTGGCTTTATTGGCTCAGTTGCCACATCGTAAAATTGGTTTTTAGCGCAATCTTCAATTGGTTGTTTTAAGTGCTTTGAATTATTTCTATACTTGTTTTGACTTCGTATAATTTTCTGTTTTTGTATAATTTTCACTTAAAATTTTGTTCGATTTGAATCGTTTCAGCTTGTATATTATCGACCTATTTAAAGTCATTTCAGGAAAATCATGAATTTTTTCATTCATATTGGATTGAACAGAATGCTACAATTCTTAGAAAGAAATTATAGTTTAAAGTTTTTCATGACAGCAAATAAATTTTCGGTTCTACTGGAGTTTACTCAATTTTGGTCGGTTCAGTTGCTGCTTGTTAGTTACTTTTCTATTTTTCATCAACAACCTTCGATTGTGTTTCTTAACGAGTTTTCCGAAAACGGAGTATAATTTCAGACAACCTTTTGATTTTTTCAAGCTGTGCTTTTTTGAAGGTTTTTTCAACTTTTTTGGACCTAGTGGCTGTCTTTTCTTGTCTGCTTATTATAAATTGAAATTCAATCAACCATCTGGAACATCTGGCGTAGAAGTAACACACACACATACACACACACACATACACACATCTGCTAGAGACAGCAAAGTCTCGTGGTTCGAAAACGACCTGGGAGTGTTTTTTTTGCAAACATGAGTTTTTGTAATTTTTCGGTTTATCCGTCCGTTTATATATTTTTGTCGGCTTAGATCCTCTAACCATATTTTTTCTAAAGGTTCAATTTTCTTTTAAGTTGTAACACCCGCATTTGACGTCAAGTCCCGGGATTTCGATTCCAGTGCGACTTGTTTTTTTTTTCAAACTGAAAACCTTCAGCTAAATTAGGTTTTAATTGTATGTCTGCTTATTTTTGCCGGCTTAGTTCCCACAGAAATTTTTTTTGAAATTTCAATCAATTCAAAAGCTTCTTGGGAAGTTTTTTTTGTGCAGGTAATTTTGTTCCAAAATTTTTGGGATTTTTCGCACCTCTTATAAATTTTCGTGACAAAAACGGTTTTTGAAGGTGTTTTTAATTTTTGATTTTTCTTTTCATGTAATTTTAATCACGGTCACTTAGCTTTGTATCGCGAGTGTTGCTCATATTCGCCTCTGTGTAGAAAATGCGGCTTTTTAAGGTATACGTTTTTTAAGGTATCATGTTAAACTTTAGCATAGAAACTAGTTCTTCGGTCAGTTTCCTTTAGGCGGATGCAGTATCTGGTGATAAACCCGATACAAGGGTTGAACTCGATACATCAGAAGTAAGTTCTGGTCATACAATTTCACGCTAATTGCGAATAATAGGAAGCTAAGTTTTTAAAGGCTTTTTTTCTGGTATCAACAATTTAGATTGTTTGTCTGGATAAATTATGGATCGGTATACAGTTAGTCTCAAAAAACTTTCCAGCAATATTTGAAACAAAAAAGTATGCCTAACAGGGGCAAATTTTGGGGGTATTTCCACATCACGTGTTCATGGCCGCCGAACAAGGATTTTGACAAGACTTTCATCAAAACTCCAGCTCTGATTCTTACACTTTTTGCCGTTATTTCAAGTCAGGGACCTCGACTTTGGTGTTTGAATTCTAATAAAGTCAACTTACCAGATTTTCCATATTGTTACTTGCTGCCTTCTCTCGTTTGCTTTTTGCTGGACAGAAGGTGAATACGCAGTAGACAGAAGGAAAATATAGATGCCAAAGAACTATTTCGCAGCGAATAAATCAATTCTCTGATTCAATATGAATTGTTAAAAGTAAGGGTAAATGCTCTTATAAACGTCCAGTATGTAAGCTAGTAAGCACACGATCATTCCTCAAAGAAGTAATGACTTTTATTGGTGATTTTCGCTCAGCAATTCTATTTTTTGACCTGTTTTTCTATGAAAATTATATTATAAAGAAAATTTTGACGGCGATTTGAAAAGAGAATCAAATCGAATCGGGTTCTTCGAATTAGAGTACAAATCCTTCTTAGCAACAGTTCTTGTTTTTAACAAATTGGACAGAATTCGTCACGCAAGCTTCTAAGGATCTACCAATTATCATTCACCTATAGCAACCCGTATGGAACTAATTTAAATTTAACAACTGTTAGTGGGTTTCTGGTGGCCAGATTGAGAAATAAGTTTCAAAACACCGTCATAAATGTGAACCTTAAAAAGAATTCGAACCCTTTCGAAAAATTTAGAGCCCTTACGGATCAAATTTAGTGCATGTTTAGTAAAATGAGTATTTTTGTGGCTTTTATTTGATTCTTTATGTTTTGTTTCTTGATTTTTATTTCGACGTGAAATTGCAGTGTGATTTGGACTCTTTTTAAGCTTTTACACCCCATTTATCCTATGGTTCAACTCTACTTATTTATAATGATTGCAAAAAACCAGGTGATATAAAAGCTAACAAGTAGTAGCTCAGTGCACGAATTTCTAGTTCAGTTTTTATGAAGGATATCAGGGAAATACTTGTCATTAAAACCCGTAAAAAGCAACCCCACGTTTGATACGCTACATGTATCACAAGCAAAACTTGCCGCCGGTTTAATTTCTCTTAAATTTCTACCAATCATTTAAATCTGGATTATTATTTGAAACACTGACTTAAAGACGAAAGAAACAAGAATTTCTTTTGCTGTTTTCAGCACAAAATAAACCAAATTTGTCTAATTTTGTCCAGACAAGTATAATAAATATAGACGATCCAGACAAGTTCATTAATTCTCAGATTCTGTTTATCACAACTGAAGTGCCCTTTATTGCGAATAATCTTATTGAAGCATAAAACTGGGCAAATTTCGTCTGTCAAAATATGTTGTTTCTCCCGAAAACATGAAAAAATCTCCCGCTAACCGGAAAATTATTTTAGAAATAACTGCCAATTTTGATGGCCAGTAGTTGTTAATTAGCAAATAAACAGCGCTTTTCCTCCATTTGAGAAAAGCTATTTCAATTGAAATCTTGAAACTTTCACGAATACAAGCAAATTCATCATACGTGCAAGCTTTTAAAAAAAAATTTGTTGAATTTTGTAGCGACCTTTTAAATCAAGATTGGTGTCTGAAAAATGTTGTCGCATATTTACAGTAATGTGGATTAAAATCTTGTTTTATCTCTGGTCGAAGAAATATCACGGGCCATTAAATATTCAAACACCTAACTATGAACCATATAAAAGCCACAAACAAGCTTTATAAACAAATAAGCACAAATAAGCTTTTCGCCATCTGGCTGCACACGATCTTTCAAATATGCTGACGAGAAGCATTTTCTCAGGACAAAGATTCAAATCATAATCACAACTCACAACACAATCTTCAGTCAATCAAAGTTTTTTCTCTAAACTATAGATTGTGTGCAAGATTCTGAAAAAGAGCGAAAAAATGCGACCTTCTATCAGATTAATGGTAACGGAATCTAAGTTTAATGAGATTGATAATTCGAGTTCTGCTGAAAATTCATTAGCATAGCCCATTTTAAAATTTTTTTTTGAGAACACGTTTAAATATTTTTAAAGGTTCCCATGTTTTTAAACCCAATTTAATATCGCAAAGCTTACCTAACTACCATGTATTTCTCGGTCGAACATAATCGATGCAATGATAACTTGGGTCTTACGGTCGAAACATGTCGCCCTTGGGTCGAGACGGGGAAAATTCACCAATATTTGGTGGAGCCGGCCGAAGCCTAAATCGGAAATCTTGGTCGCGCCAGTTGCAGACAAACTTTCTTAGGTCGCATCGGTCGCGGCGTAATGCGACAACTCATAACAAAATACATATCGCAAAAAAAGATAACTCGCAACAAAAGGCAAATCGCAATATACTCGCCACCGCAGACGCGCAAACATGTTGAGAGCTTGCCAACAGAGGTATAATTTTATACGAGTTTTGGTAGCGCGCCCACCGGCGACCTTGAACCAAAACTCTTAAATTATAATTTAATTTTCAAACTATGCGAGTTGTTGCTTTCCTTAAATTTTGCGAGTTGTTTTTTGTTACGAGTTGTCTTCTGTTGCTAGTTGTCTCGGTTCCCGGTCTCGTTTAACGTTCCTTCGGTTGCGGTTAAATTTCCTTAGTTGCGCATGTCGCTGAAACATTGGCTGGGTCTGCAAATTTTGCAAATAACGAGTTTGGTAGCGGTGGTCTTAAAATCTATTTTCGTTGCGACATCTTGAAAATGCCAATTTTCGATTGCGATCGTGCAATCAAAAAACTACTAACTCAGCCTGAGCATTGGCTGTTGAGTCAGAGAAAAACAGTCTGCAAATTTAAAAACCTATAGTTTATTAAGTTTCAGATTGACAAAACTATGTCCAGAACAGTTAAAGGGCAGCCGGAAACCTCAATGATTTGTACCTGTACGGGCAGTGTTGTAAAAAGTTAGAGACTAAAATTTTGTTACCTGATGCGAATGATAATTTGGAGAAGATGTGGACAAGGTTGACCTTTGGAATACAGTTATCAAAATAAGTATACAAGTTACCATGATCGCTTTCAGGTTTAATCAGTCTAATTACAGCGAAAAGTAGAAAACAAGTTAGCAAAAGTATCAACACCTTAAAAATGTTTTGAATTAAGTTTGAGAATCCATTGATTTATGAGCAATGTAAATCATTGCAAAGTTGTTTTGTCAAGCCAGACCAATTTCCATAAAAATATCTATTTAATATGATGAAAACACTTGGCCGTGTTTTTTGGCTGGATGAGACGGATTATCAAGAATGAATAAAAAGTTGAACGGAAAAGAACTCTGCTCTGTGATTCGTGAAAATTTCAGGTGTCAGACTATAGTTTCCGAAATGATTAATCAAATTTAGAAAAACTACCCTTTCAATTTTTGTTTTTAATCTGATTTTAAGCGATAAGAGCAGAATTTTTCCGGGTTGACGTCCATAAAAGAAAAATGCTTATCATACAATTTCATGTATGGCGACTATGGAAAAAATGCTTATCATACAATTTTCATACAAAATTTAAAAACTGTATGAAACGTTTTTAGAGAAATACTTCTGTTCTATTTCCATCTTTTGAATCTTTCTGCTCAATAAAAACATGATTTCAATTTTGGTCGAAAAAAATGCTTATCATAATATTTTCATAAATGAAAATTGTATGATACGCATTTTGCTATAGAAAAAATAAAATCTTCAAAGTTGTTTTAACGATGTTTCTGGATGAATTTACATGAGTTTAAAAAAATTTTATTGAAAGAATGCATTTTGAATCTCAAAAAAATGATTTCAATTTTGGACAAAAAAATGCTTATCATATAATTTTCATATATGGCCTTTTTTCTCAACTACCAAAATTTTCAAACCAAAAATTATCTAGCCATACACAAAAAATTACATTTTTGATGCATAGTTTCATGTGAAAATGTAGAAATTAACGTAGGTGGCAAAATTCACCAAATGCAGTTTATCTGCGTGGTAACTGTCAGTTACCTTTTGGGTTTTCTTATGACAAAAAGTCCAGAGTTTCGGATGAAATACAAAATTTCAAAAAAAATTTTTTTTTTATTATTTTCATGTATGGAAAAAATGCTTATCATACAATTTCATAGTATGGAAAAAATGCCTATCATAAAATTTCATAGTATAGAAAAAATGCTGATCATGCTAATTTTTTTGGTTTTGATCTATGAAATAGTATAAAATGATATCTTAAGCATTTTTTCATAAAATGAAACAGTATGATATGCATTTTTTGTCAACCCGGGGTGTTATTGATGGTTGTAATAGGTTTTTGTTCCGGTTTCTAAGAATATGACAAGACACTTCTGCCCGACGTATATTTTTTTTCGCGCAAATTTCTTTTTAAATTGTTGTTTTCGGCAGGAACTACATACAAAATGTGTACTATTTAATTCAATTTTTGAGTAATAAATTGGTTCTGGTCTAACTTTAACACAATCGTTGGCAAAATTTACTCTACATAGCATATTGGGTGATAGTTTTTAAAAATAGTTTTTTTTTCTATTTGCCAACTTTCTTTGAAATTTCATCATTCTTAACGTACTTAGTACTTAAAAGTACTTTGTAGACGTCAACGGGCTGTGGGAATAATATAATAAAGGCTTGCTTTGCCTTAGACGAGCTTTGTTGGTTATTTCGACTTTCGAAAGAAGTGAGACTCACATTAGCTTGGCGTCCTTTTTATTAAGCCCACTTTCGAAAATAAATTCAAAGTTATAGCGCGTGTGTTACGCACTATGCGAAATACGTCTTGAGCCTTCGTAACGTGCTTTCTTTCCTATTTTTGTAACGAAATTAACAGAATATTTGTGCTCGGGGTAGGTTTTCCTTAGACAAATTTCGACTTTTTAACTAGCCATATCATTCAAAAGTTACTGTTGTCTTGAGCTTAAATTTGATAACATATTTTACCTGTGATTAATTTTTGTAAAGTTATGTGGGTTTAAAGATTGCCATCGTGGCCAGTTTGTGATAATTAACGCGCGATATATTTTGCGCTATTAACGCGTAAGCGGAGATTTAATCCGTCTTAGAAATCGTTCCAAATTGGTTGAAAGAAGCTTATTTGCCATAATTGATTTGTTACAAGGAGCGAAATTTATCTCTCTGTACTTTATATGGCAAGTGGGGAGATGATCTCACAAAAATCTCAAATTTTACGGAAATATTTTTCGTTTTATTTTGTTACATGTAAATTTTTTTACGTTATTATTGCTCAATAGACCTTAAAAGGCAGTTGGAACATTCAGGGCTTCGCCTTGATTCGAGCAGTCTTGTTTATTATTTAGAAAATTTATCTACTGAAAGTGTAACACGAGTTATCATCTTAACACGAGAACAAAGTTTGTCCCAAAATGAAAGCCAGCTAATTTTTCAAATTATTTCCTTGTATGGCTCAAATTTTTTTCGTCAACAATTAAAATAATTTTGCGACATAATTTAAAACTTAGTCGCGATGGCCTTAAAAATGGTCTTGACATAGTCCTAATTATCTCATTTTTCACAATTTTCAAGTGGAGTTGGTCTAAAACTAAAATCGGACAAACAAATTCCAACCAAAATTTGACTTTTTGTCAGATTTTTGCTTGCAAAATTGTCCAGTTTATCTGTTGTTTTTTTTTTATTTTAGTTATTTATACCAGCATATTTGCTGATCAAAGATATATTGAAACTCTTCGAACTCAGTTGAACTCAGTCAAAACGTTTTTTTTCGGTCGAAATATTTTATACTTTTAAATGGCTTGGGTTGAGACGGTCTAAATATATTGTGACTGGGTCGATACGGTTCAAACATACCAACTTTTGCTCGAATCGGTCGAAACATAAATCAAAAACCTTGCTTGCACTGGTCACCGTTAACTTTTTTGCGGTCGTGCTGGTAAAGGATGATTTTTCTTTGTTCGCGCCTGTCGCGATTAAATTTCCTTTGATTGCGACCGTCGCGGACACACTGCCGAGATCTGCAAAGTCTGAAAATACCAAATTTTGGTAGCTAATTACTGAAATAACCAAATTTTGGTCGCGAAAGTCTGAAAAAAAACGAAAACTCGGTCGCTACCGCCTGATCATAAATCACAACCTCGACCCGGGTAATAGAGACTCATGATAAGTTCAACTAATAAATTAACAACAAAAATGGTAAATTTTATAATGATTCTACAATTTAGTTATTAAAACAGATATGAAAACGTGGATTGCCATAGTTATTTACTCAGATGTTTTCACTTGTGTTTCTTCCCCCTTCAGAGAGACCATTTAACGATTTTAGGGAGGAGGTAATTTTCTTCTAGTTCTCTTCACTTCATTTCACTCAAATTATTCCACAAAGGAAATCTGTTCATGACAGATCATCGCATCTTTCCCCCAACAGCCTTCCGCGCTGATTCGATCTCCCTTCTTTTGGTCTCCTTCAGAAACACAACATAGACATCAATTTTACGGTGTCAACATTGATTTTACAAGCGTTTATATGAAGACTGATTGTGTTTCCATTTAACTAATCATTTCACATGATCATTGAGTTTTCATGACCATTGGACAATGTGAACAACAGAAAAATATCTAAAAATTGCAAGTTGCAAGTTTGGGGGGGGGGGGGGGGGTGGGGGCGTGCGAAGAGTTTGGTAAATGTGACATATGGTTTATATGTCTATATATGGTTTATATGTCATCGTGTTTATACTTCAGCATTTTGTAGGATCAGGCATATCACAAGGAAACTATTGGCTGTCATCGCTGCCGTGGTTTGAAGTTAATTGTGAAACAGCGGTTGATTATTTGAACAAATGATAATTTAAATGATAAACAGGCAACAGAAGTTTCAATTGTGAAATGGGTACCGTCAATTGGTCAGATTGCACGCCAAATATGTCAGACGCATGCCTGAAAAAAAACTAGTTGTCGAAAATACTTTTCCGTTAGATAAAAATATTGTTTGGTTTACAAGAAATAACATGGGTGAAGAAAAAAGGCGCTTTCTCGAACCGGTCTTTCTGATCCATAATTTGGTCATTTGTGTTAGTTGTCACATGAAAGTATACCTAATAATCAGGGGCGGATCTAGGATTTTCTCGAGGGGGGGGCGGATTTTCAAAAAATTTTCGAAAATTTTGACGACTTTTTTTTAGGTCGATCAGATTGATTTTCCGAGCTCTCCCAAAGCAGTAAAAAGACCCTGTTTTGGCCAAATTTTCTGCGCCGCAGGCAATTTTTTGAAAAAACAGGTCAAAAAAGCCGTTTTTGGGCACTTTTTGGAAAATTTTGACAAAAAAAACGCGTTTTTTGGCGCGCGCTCCCCCTCAAAACTAATATATATTGGCGCTGAAGGCGCCTTTAGAAAAATTTTAGGGTCGGTCGGCCAAAATTGGATTTCTTAATAAGTACCAAAGGGGGGACCCTTTGGGTTGGCAGGGGTTCGAATCCCTGAGGAGGGGGCGTCCGCCCCCCCGCCCCCCCACCTAAATCCGCCCCTGCTAATAATTAGTAATGATACCGATAAGTTAAAAATGAGTTTATGCAGGGGCGGATCTAGGATAAAATTTTCGAATTTTCGAAAATTTTGTCGACCTTTTTTTTGGGTCGAACATATTGATTTTCCGAGCTCTCCCAGAGCACTAAAAAGACTCTGTTTTGGCCAAATTTTGTGCGCCAAAGGCAAAATTTTGAACAAACAGGTCAAAGAAGGTGTTTTTAGTCACTTTTTGAAAAAATTTGACCAAAAAATTGCGTTTTTTTTTCGGCGCGCGCTCCCCCCTCAAAATTAGTATATTGGCGCAAAATGTGTTTATTTTTACTTTTTCTTAAATCTTGAATTTGTTGACGACACGGATAGCCGGGGACTGTGCAAATAGCACAGAGTGGTCCGACCATAGTGTTAAAAAATACAACAAAAAAAAATTTCAAACTTTTGAAGTAACTTGACTCGACTAAAACAAAACTTTACGGCTTAAACTACGCATAAATAAGCTATCGGAAGCCTATTCGCTCGCCTTACTTTGCTCGAAATAAAACCATAAATCAAAAACATCAAACTAGTTTTTTTTAACTACCGAAAAAACTTTTTCAAAAGTTTCGTTTGAATCACAATTTAAAGGGCTTCAACAATAAATATCACTCAACCCATTCCAATGATTTCTTGTGGTACCTGATTTTGCGTGGAAAACAAGAAGATAAAAAGCTGGAACACCCGAACACAAAGTTCCTCCCCATTTTTCAAATAACCAGAACTAAAATCTGGATTACTCAGAACCTTAATTCACCATTACCGTGATTTTAGCCGTTCTAACTTCTGAGTAAAGCTGAAATTTTTACTGATTTTAATTACTTGTTTTCTGTCTTGGGCATAAAAACAAAAGGTTTTTCAGATTTCTAGAAAAAGATTTATAAAAAAAATGGAAAATAAATGCAAGAGAAATTTGCATGCAAAAATAAATACTTTCTTTGGAAAGCATTTGCTTGAACACGCTTCAAAATGTGCGCTTCAAAATATTTTAGTAATAAAATCTTAACCTGAAAAATTTGTAATGTTGCTATTTGAACATTTCTAGTCATAAAATTTTTGCTAATGGAAATCCCTCTTTTAAAAAGCTTTCGCATGCGATTTGTGGCATTGTTTTATCTTGGGGATGCAAGTGCGTATTTTACGGTTGGGGTTGGGGGCAGATCAAGTTTTTTCTCGAGGCAGGATTTTTGAAAATTTTGTCAATTTTTTCTAGATGACCAAATTGGTTCTCTGAGCTCTCCTGAAACACTTTTAAAACAATTTTGCCAAGATTTTCAGTGCCGTAGGCATATTTTTCAACGTAGCGGCGTTTTATTGCTCCCCTCTGGAAAAAGATCCGATTCGCGCCTTTAGATAAAATTTAGAGTTTTTTAGCCAAAATGATTGTCATAAAAGTGTCCCTGTTTAGGGTTAGTGCAAACAGGTTTCGTCCCACGATAGATTTTTTCCTAAAAAGATTATGGCATTGTGGCGCTCTGGTAGTGGTGGTGCGCAGTAATTACATGATTGCTGGTTCAAATTGCACATGCACTGCAATTTCCAAGATGAGTCATAGCTTAATGGGTGCTGGTTACATGTGCACTTGCCAACCTACATAATTATCCTCCCGGTTAGGCCTCCGGGCATGTTGACTAAAAAACGAGATTTGGTCCTATTTTGATACACCAGCAGATTTTGTCCATTTTATTAAACTAGTCGCCGACTCTTTTTACTCGATTTATTATAAGTTATAAAGCCCACAATTGGGTTGATACGGGTTGCAAGATTTCCAGCCCGAAACTTGAGCTATTTATAAAAAGTGCTGATGTTTATCGCCGCGATAGGGCTGGTGTTTTTTGAAAACTTTAAAAAATAGGTCAAAACCTGCAGCAGGACGAAATCCGTCAACTAGGTTTCAAAGTTTAGACAAAATATTTTGCGGAACGAAATCGGCCGTGGGACGACATCTGTGTCAAGCGGTAGGGTTAGTGTCCAAGCTGGAACCGTGAGGGGTTAAAAGTAGGAAAACATGGAGTGAATCTGTATAGCAGTTAGTGTCTTTGTCCATGTACCTTGTAGTCTCTGGTCTTAGTGATGTCCTTCTTAGTGGCCTTGTGTATATCGTTGGGCTGGCCATGGCAGTGGTTCTTGTGATGTGCGGCACATTTCACACAAACATTCGCGTTCAGTTGTCTACAATGAATGTTCAGTCGCATTCATGTCGAAATGAAAATGAATCATCAAGAGGAATCCCCCGTGACAGAAGAACCAAATGACTAAGTTATACCGGTAAATCAGAATTCAATTTTTAAAAAAATGAGAGGAAAAAGCGTGAAAACCAAAGATTTTGGACAGTTTGAAGTCTTTTCAATTGGTTTCAAATATTCTGACTTTCAGTCGTTCTGTCACAAAAAATAGTTGCCGTCGATCCGTGATCTCTTTTTTCTTCAATGGACTCTAATCTTATCACAAAACAAACTTTATTTCACGAATTGTGTTTGACTGCCTAATAAAGTTGCATGTCATTTGGGGCTTTCTGTCATAATGGATTATTGCTAAAATTATTACTGGCTACTTCGAAAAGAAACCATTGTAGTCTATTGATGATTTTGAAGCAATTCCAGCTAAATTTTGAAAATCGTTCGTCAATCCTGTGGTTGGACAATTCTGTTTGATTTATAATTATCTTTTGTCTACTTTACGTTAGATTTCGAATAGAAAGTTGCACGCTCCAACCTCAAATGAAGCCCATTTCACTGTTCTAACTCTATCTAAAAAGGCAGTGTCAGATCTTCGGTACAATCCATACCCCCCCCCACTCACTTTGGAATGGCGGCTAGAGACAGTCGTGGCAGTTTTTCGCTCTCTCGCACCATGTCCACGATGCTCTTCCGTTGGGAGCTACCGAAACTCTTCCGCGACGCCGATGCCGATTGGCTGTTACTGTCACTCGCCATATTCAACGACAACAACCCCCTTTCGCCCTGAAAGGTACCATTTCAGTTGTATAAAATATTTTGTTTCACATCTTCAAACGTACTTGCTTGGGAAAAAGTGCTTTAGGTGGAAACTCATGATCTGTATATTACAACAATGGAAAACTGGGCAAAATCTTTTTTTGATATCTTTCAGCGGTTGACCAAAGTGGAGATTTTGGGAACAATTTCTTGGAGAAAAAGGAAATAACATGCAAAATGTTAAGTGAACCCTTCGTCTTTAGTCTAGAATTTAAAAGATAGAATCTTGAAATATGCCTAAAAGTAAAACTTGACCCGAACTAATATCCTTACAAATAAACTATAAGGGTTTTTGGGCTATAAGGGCAAGCATTGTAAATTGAAGAACCTCGATGCCTGCGGAGCTCATTGTAGGCTGTAGGGACTGACTTCTGGCTTGTGGACGGAGAGGGAGTCCTCGGGGAAATGAGCGGCCGGCTGGAGGTGCCTGGGAGCTCCTACTCACACTACCAGCGCCCAAGGATCCTGCAAACGACACATGAGAAAACAATTAAAGCGCTATTCGTTCGCGTATTCTGTCGCAAATAATTTTGGAGTTTTAAAATAACTAAGGCACATTTCTTGGGGTTTTTCACGCCCGTACTAATGCGTTATGGGTTAAACTTCAATGCAAAGTTTTTTTGTTTTTCTTTGCTAATGATCAGTAAACGCTAGTTTGATAAAAGGTCAACTATTGTTTGAATGGCCAATGGCCTTGTATTTCAAAAGGTTCTGTAGTTGGACTACGTGGAAGCTTGCTCGTCGGCAGAACTTGAATTCTCAGGTTATTCCTATTCAATCTTCCGCACGCCCTGCAATCAAAACTATAGTCCCATCTCCCAAACCATAATCAGTGAGTTTTCAACTCTTTTGGAAGGTCTAAAACTTAGTTTTGGCTATTTTAGGAACGAGCGTCCTTTTTCTTGCGGAATACCTAAAACCAACCGTGAAGGAATTCCTCGTGCGAGAAGAGCCGACATTGACCTAAATTCATGCCAGTCAATCAAAAATCATTATTTAAAACCACGAGGAAAAAAGCGTAAGAATTAGCCAATTCGATTTTTCTGTAATGAGATTGTCCCCCGCCCACCAGTACAAAAAGATAACAAACGTAGCGTTATTTTCTCTTTAAGTATGTACTTTCGGCTAATCGAACATTAGGTCGACATGCGCAGTGTACTTACTAGCAAAATTATCAGGAGTGTGTTCACTTCCTAATAAGGAAGGTGCATTTAGCAGATAGTTCCTCAGTTCGACACTGCCTCCACTTGCACTCAAGTCGGCTGTGTACCTTGCCTGTGTCTCTGTCGGATGCTGAGCGACAATTGTCGTCGTGTGTTGTCGGCTGGGTTTGAAACTGGCTCCTACCATTCCTTGATCAGAATATGAGCTCCATCTAGCCTTGCTGTACGAATTTCTGAAGGCTCTGAAAGGTTAGCTCATTTTCTGAAACTGATGTGGCGAACTTCGCAGAGAAATAATAAACTGGTACTATAGATTTTTGACGGTAGGGCGACAACTCGTAACAACGACAATTCATAACAAGGCGTTGGAAGTAAGTAGAATACGCTTGCTCCGCTGGGCTTACAACCGGCACTAGACGAATACTGCGCGTGAATCAGTTTTCCCCCGCTGAATCGATTGTTTCGAATTGTCTCTTGTTATGAATTGTCGCCGCACGATTTTTGACAATCATTCGAGTTTACAAGCATAGAAAAATGCATGGAAGAGGTGAGTATATTTTCGATTTTCTTAAAAACCTACCAGAAAATCTTCCCGCAAAAATATTTTTAGATTATCTGCTGTAGGTTTAAATTTCTTGTCTGTATTTTCAGAGGCAAATAGACTGCTCAATGTTTGCTAAAAATGTTTTTTATAGCATCCACTTGCATTTTGGGAGATATGTTTGGGAGGATGGAGGGCACATTGTCATCTTCTGATCCGTCCAGTGACTCCTCGTAAATGTCCCCATTGATACCATATTGCGTGCCGTCTGGAAGCAAAAAACTAGTCAAATCAATATATCAAGATCTAACAAACTTCGCAGTACAACAGGTCCAAAAATCAACTCACGGAGCTTTAAGGTCGTAATTTCTAGTTTTTCAGTTGTCGCTCCAAAACAAACATTGAATTTAGTTCCGACTTTCGAAGAAAGTGACGGAGTATTTGCTTTGTGGTAAACTTTTTATTGCGCTCGGGGTTGTGTTTCTTTTGAATATTTGGTCTCGGGGTGGTTTCTTCTAATGATGTTTTGAGCTTAAAATTGAAAATATGTATTACCAGCCATCATCATTCGCAACGTTATCGGGGTGTGAAAGTAGTCATTTTTGGATAATTAATACGTGTCCGAAACTTTTAAGTAACTGGGCAGCTTATAAGTTATTCTATTTTGAGTTGAGGCAAAGTAATTGGGGGCGAATATTGCCCTAACGCAGGCAAATATATCATTTTGTTCTTGTCATTGCAACAGGAGGGATGATTTTTCGAAAAAAATATGAAAACACCTCAAAACCTTTACAAATATTTTAAGAAAACTTTTTGAATTTTTTTTGCCAAAAACTGCATTAGAAACGTAAAAAGGCAATTGGGACATAATGAAATTCCCCCTGATACAAGCTGACGCGTTAATAAATTTCCGAATCAACATTCAAAAGTTCTGTTCAAAAGTGATCAACGAGAAGTTTGTGTCAGTTTTGAACTTTTAGGAATTTAAAATTTAGGAATTTTGTAATTTTGATTGCCTCAAAAATACTTTAACATCAGATTTATAAAAGCTTCATTGTTCATACTTTTTCAATATCTAGGCTTCACTCGAGCGAGGAATCCTCCAAAATGTTTGAGGTCAAACAAAATAATTTTCCGAGGTCTCCTCTCTTAATACAAAGACGCTGTTTTGCCATTTTTTTCTGCGGCAGGAAAATTCTTCAAAACAAAACAAGCCAAGAAAGACTGTTTTCAGCAATTTTCGAGGGTTTTGATCGAAAAATTGCGTTTTTTTTTCGGCGCGTGTTCCCCTTTCAAAATAAGTTTTTATTGGCGCAAAAAGCACCTCTAGAAATTTTGGTTATAGTTAACAATCTGCCCCCCCCCTCTCTTTTTTAAGTTAGGGCGGAGATTGTCATGTAGATTAAAACAGTCGATTTTTCGACAAGCCAGAATGCAGTAAAATTACAATTCGCAATAGAACGCTCTGTGCTAATTTTAGGTTATTATTCATAGGGGATTGTTAAGTAGATACTAGAAACCATATGGGGGATTGTTAAGTTTATCCGAATTTTTTATTGACTGTAGGTTGAAAATAGATGTCGTAAAGTAAAACCACAGGGGGTAGGGCTTTGTGTGGTAAGGTGTTCCCTGAAAGCAATTGACTATTTTAAACAAATCATGGGCAGTGCTAAGTACACCATTAGGTGGTCACTCCTTACAAGCTAACGCATACGCACACAAATACACTGATGTACACCGAAGTTTCCTGGATAAAAATTAATTATAATGGATTTTTGTTGACTAAAATGATGTCTAGATAATTGATCATCATGGCAAATTTAGACAACGTAATCATTTTTTTATCCATTTTAATCTATTATTTCTGAAAAATAAAAATCCATTAAAATCAATTATAATCGATTATAATCCAAGTTCGTTTTCAATATCCATGAAACTTCAGTGAGGGAAAACACCGCACTCAGTAAAAAGAGAAAATAATTGATTATATTATGATTATAATCGTACTTTTAGCAAAATTATAAGTAATTATGAGCGAAAATTTTAGATGTTTAAAATTTTCCTTATAATGATAACATTTTTGGTGAAATTTTTTTAAACTAAAATCAATTATAATTGATTATAATTTTTCCGAAAATCTCTCATAATCTCTTATGATCTATTATAATAGATTATAATCCCTTTTTCTATCGAAATTTTATCTGACGAAAAAAATCAATTATAATGAATTTTAATTTAGCTATTCTGCATGAAAACACAGTAAAAATCAAATTTAATTTAAGTTTAAGCTATAAGCAGGGGCGGATCTAGGATTTTTTTCGAGGGGGTGGGGGGGGGGTCGGATTTTCAAAAATTCTGTCGACCTTTTTTTTTAGGTTGAATAGATTGATTTCAAGCTCTCCCAAGGCATTAAAAAGACCCTGTTTGATCAAATTTTCCGCGCAGCAGGCAAAAATTTGAAAAAACGGGACAATAAATGCATTTTTTGGCCATTCTTGGAAACTTTTGACCAAAAAAATTGCATTTTTTTGGCGCGCACACCCCTCAAAATTAATATGTATTGGCGCCAAAGGTCCCTCAAAATAGTGGAGAACCTCAAAATAGTGGGGTGGGGGTCTCAAAAAAGTGGGGGGAAAATTTTGGATCGGCAGCGGGTCGAATCCCTGATGGGACGGGGTAGGAGGCGTTGCCCCCCCCCCCCCAACTAAATCCGCTGGTGGCTATAAATACAAAATAACAGTTTCTTTTAGCTCGGTAACCAACTGAAAAGCACACAAAACGAAACAGAAACAAAACGAAATGAAGCGATGACGTTTGCTGAATAATAATGGATTATAATCCATTATAATGGATTATAATTCAATAAACTTGAAGAAATAGACTTTCAAAAAATAATCGATTATAATCGATTATAATGATTTATTTTATTTCGAAAAATAGTAACATTATAATCCATTTTTAATCGGTTACAATCAATTCTGTTTGAAATTTATGAAGACTGACAATAGAAATCCATTATACTCTATTATTATTTACTCTTGTATACCTTTCCAAAAAGCGGGGATTGAGAAATTGTAACCCAACCTTTCAACTAACTGAAAAAGACAGAATTTGGGTTTTCGTTACCAATTATGGCGTTGTTGTACAAACTTATGCTGCATTAGTTCGAAACGAACATTTTCAGATTCAGTTGGTGCTTTTTTTTCTGATTTATAAACTCATTTATATTTATGACAAACTTAAATGAAGATAAGAACTTCACCTTTTGACCACAACTGTCGGTCAAACTCATTGGCTGCATTTTCATCGTAATTAGTCTCCTCCACACCCTCTCGCTGCATTATCTCTGACTCATCCTCCCCCATCATATCAGTGGACATCTGACTCATATGACTCATCTGACTACTCACTCTCCCCCCTCCACTTCTCCTCATCTCCTTCATCTCTTTCTTCTCCCTCCGCAGACTCTCTCGGATCATTTTGTACTCGTCGTACGTTCGGAATTTCTCTCGGTTTATTGGGTGCTCCTAATATGGAGTGGTTATAAAAATAACTTTCATATCCAAAAAAAAGTAGAAAACATCGTCATTCTCATATTCAAAAAAGAAGAAAAAACTATTCCTGGTGTTCAGTTATGATTTAGAGAGTCATTCGCTCATGATGGGGGGAGGGGTTGTTCATTCTTAGGGAGGGGGCTTCAATTCGAAAAAGCTTACGTTTGAGTTTAGGTCCGGGTGGCCTTCTCACAGAGTAATTTCGGATAGGGTACACCGTCTGTTCGTCACGCTATCTTATTTTCGGCCGGATAGATTCGTGCAACTTCTTAGTCTAATACCGATCCTAATCTTACTCATATATTTCCTAGTCTTACTAGATCTAGAGATATACTGGTTTATTGCGAAGTTAGAGGAGAGAAGAAAGCAATTGATTTCAATCTATATTATTAATTCTCTGAACCACTAGGGTTTCAGGTTTACAAATCTAGAGTAAGATTTAGTCATGGATCATGATTGGTTAGTAAAAAATATTTTACAGGGAAATAAAATGTATATGAAATAACTAGTTTCAAACTGTTTCACGAAATCCATTTTGAACAAATATAAACTAGTTTTGTAGGACGGAAAGTGTCAATTTTTTTGAAAAAGAGCCGAAGAGTCTTTTTTTTAATTCACTGGTGTTGGGAAGATACTAGACGCGCCCTGGCTATTCGGGTTGGCGTGAACTAACAGACCACAAACCTTGTTGGCTTTGCAGACTAGGACAAGGGAGTAGAGAAGGAGCAGAATCTCCACCACCACAAATCCTGAAGTGGCATACTGCATGAACTGCAACATGTAGCAGTAGGCTAAAACAGACACGCATATAGTAAAATTAGTGGCAAAAAAAAACGTTCATCCGGTACGGATTGAAAAACGTTAACTACTTGTATAAACTCGCTGCGATAAGTAAACTTTCTGTTGGTCATTTGACCTTGTAAGATTTAAGAGATTGAAGAGGCTGAGAGCTTTAACAGATTGAAAAGACGGTTTAACAAATCAATTATTTTACTTCGCTCGCTTACGAGTTATCGTTTACCAATCCGTTTGGATTCGGTAGTAGAAATTATCATAAGTAAGAGTATGACATGGCGGTAGCGAAAACAAGCAAAGTTAATTGAAAAAGCATGAAAACACCCATGTCAGAAAACTTTTGCAATAAAAAGTTAGTTTTTCAGACAAAAATATGTCCTAATGTCGCTTTAAAATTCAATATTGCTGTAAAATATGTGCAAATTTGGCAGATTCGCTTTTTATAATTAATTGTATCTGTTCCAGGTTTTTGGAACTCTCTATAACAAGGAACAATTCAAACATAGTTTTTAAAATTTATTGCGCTGAAATGAAGCTCAATAACCTTATCTTCGAAAACTTTTTCCGATGATTTTTTAACTCCTGTACATCGAGCATTTTTTAAAATCTGTTTGCTTACTTTTTTGCGCAAGGGAATGTTTAAAAAATGTATCTCTGGTTGCTTATGTATCTCTATCGAAAGGTCGGATTTTCGAGGCGCACCATGATCCGTGCTCGTTGCTTGAGGGTGAGGCAACATTACCCAGCCCAGAAAAATAACCAAAAAAAATTGCATATAGTTCTTAAGCAGGGGCACAACAGTGGTTCGCTGTGATGAGCTGTACAGCTCGTATGGTGGTCTTTTCCCTCGTGGATAAATCGTCTTAACCTAATAAACTGACTTTCTAGCTAAATTTCAACAGCAGATCTAACTTGCGACTCTGTTTTCGATCTGGGTCGAACATTCGCTGCTCGGGTTCTCGGGGAAGCACTCGGAGAAGTCTATACACACACAACTAAGACTGGACGACTGTTGTTGCATGTATTGGTTGTGGATGTCGAGTGCGGGTGTCCTTCCGGCGAAGCAGCAGGGCTTGTCTCGCATCATGAAGTGGTGTAGGTTCCCGATGGACACTAGTCCATAGCTCCAAACTGACAGGCCATTCACAATCGATGCCATAGTGACCACGCCTATAAAAACCATCAAGTACCCAACAGAAGCTTTTATGCATTCGATTCCAGAAGCATAATTATGCAGGCTCATCATTGTAATAACCGCAATAAAAAATGTTTACAGTGCCGGATTAGACCAAAAACTATTCGACAAAACCAGGAGGTTCAGCAATATTCCAAACAATACAGATAGGATACTCTTCAAAACAGTTTTTTTACAGTATCTTTTAAGCTAAGGCTATTAGTCGACAAGTAATAAAGAAGGAATATGATATATAGGCACACAATTTTGTGTCGAGCGTGTCTAAATCCAGTTAAACCAAGATCGAAACTCAAGTTGCAGAACTTAACCAGTCCAGACCACCCAGGCCGTTCGGGTCTTGCTTCAAACTGATTGTAAAACATTGATACGAGTTAGCCCGCTTGCTCATTTAACCTCGTTCTTATGCCTCTGGCTACGTATAACTAAAAAAAGAAAAAAATTCAGTATGGGCTGGGTCTGTTTAATTTCCCAAAAAATACAAATGCATAAACTTTTGTTGTTCAAGTTTTGTAGAAGTATTATGAAATTTTGATTATATAAGCGTGGGTTTGCAAGAGGCGCGAGGCTCCGCTTCTCGCCTCTGTGTAAAAAAATGGGGAAAAAAGTTTTATTGTTAGAAAATTTGATCGACATTTTTCATCAATAGCTTTCTGGTGTGTTTTTAAATCAAATTGTTTCGCCTTTTTTCTTCACTTAAAATTCACTAAATATAAATCCAAACGCTGTTAATTTTTTGCATCTTTGCGCTACCTAACAGGTTGATTCAAAGCAATGTGTATAAGTTTGAGCTGCAAAATGAATCCAAATTGTGGGTTTTTGGAACCAGGTTTGCGATTTAGGTTCCGACTGAGCCGGTTCGCACACATCGAGTTTGACCAAAAATCCTTGGTCGAGAAGGCCCTAAAGTTGAACTCAAAAACGAAACAGAAATGCGAGGTGGTCGAAAAGTAAAGTCAAACGCAAATTCGAAACATGAAATCACGAGTCGTTCAAATCTTATAATTGAACAATGGGTCTAATATTAAGTCGAATGCAGAGTCGAAACATACAGGTCGAACACAAATTAGCAGCATAGTGCAACACAAAGTCGAAGCATAAAGTCAAACATAAAGTCGAAACAAAAAAGTCGAACGCATGTAAAATTGAACGCAAAGTTGAAAATACAGTCGGGCACAAATTAGCAGCATAGTGGGACATAAAGTCAAAACATTTTACCAAAACGGAGATTTTAAGATCATTTATCCACGAGGATTAGGACCAACATACGAGCTGTACAGCTCATCACGGCGAACCGCTGTTGTGCCCCTGCTTAAGAACTAAATGCAATTTTTTTTGGTTATTTGTCTGGGCTGGGGAGATTGCGGATAGCAGAACATACCGACAAGTACGGCTATCCAGTCTTCCAGTCGTTTGGTGGAGTGTGCCTTGTACTTCTGGATGGTCACTCCGCAGAGGAAGAGGAGGAGGAGGGAGAAGTAGAGCAGGAAACACACCCCGCACACCACCCAGTTCACCCGCACATGCCCCATGGAAGCCTCGTACTTGGCTACAGAATAACAAAGTATTCGTGGCAGATCAAGACTAAAATATTTCTAAAGGCTCCGATATATCCTGACTTTGAGGGGAGAATGCGCGCAACAAAAAAATCAATTTTTTCTGTTATATTCTTCCAAAAGTTCTCAAAATGGCATTTTCCAACAAAATTAGCTTAACCGCAGGAAGAATATGACAAAACATACTGGCCATTTCTCAATAGTGTTTTGCGGTTCGTTTTCTTCAGATATATCCTTTTTGGTGAATAAAAAATTATTTTTGACAAAAGGTTTTGGTAGTTAGTTGGGTTGATTCGTGATATTATATTGTTGATATTTTTCTGGAAACCGAAGAATTTCCCTGAAAAATATTTATTAGAATGCACTTTGGTGAACTTCTAAATAATGCTGGATGCTGGATGCAACGCATTTCCTGTACGGTTGCTGTATAGTCTTCCACGACAGCTGGTTCCATAAAACTGTTCTGGCAAAGCAAAACCCAAATCAATAAAAGTTAATAGTAGCCAACTGATATTTTTACGTCTGATAATTTTGGAAAAATCTATATAAAACAGTGGATTCGAAGAAATTAAGACTTCAGGTGTAATTTTGTCATTTTCTTAGGTAACGGAGAGGATTTAAATAAACTTTCAAAACTCTATAGTGAATATAAATTTGGTGCCCTCGTCCTCTTTCTAAACCAGTCCTTTGGCAATAAACTGGTCGGAAAAACGGAAATATTCAGACCAAATGTTCTTAACCGGACCTTACGAAATATATTTTCGGCTACAAAGGCACAACTGAAAGAGTTTAAAATTGTTTTTTGACGCCATGAACTGGGCTCTTTTTACGGTACCTGCAACTGCGTCAAAATCACAATTTAAGTGTGATTAGAACAATAACACGCAGCCGATATCGTGTTAATATAAATTCAACTTCGTTACTTTTTTTAGCCAATTGCATGGGTCAATAATTTTTTGCAACTTCTGGTAATTGCTTACAAAAATACCATGTATAATTAAAACGTGTCTAGAAGTTACTATCATATATATTGTTGAATGTTTACCGAGCTCTGCAATATTGGCGAATGCGAGTCCATATATGGCTATAGTTCCCTGGGCTAAGAAGGCCACTGATATGTAGAGTAGACTCCACAACACAACCGGCAGATATCTGGCCTTCATGGCAAGTAATCGATCGGCTAAGTTGCACAGAACATCAGCAAAATCACAAGTACTCTCTTTCACGTTTTGAAGCACTGGACAAACTAAGCTTGATGAACGAATTCGAAAATTTTGATTGTTCATTTATTATTATTTTTTGACGTATAAACGTTTTTACACTGCAATATTAAAATATTAGAATATACGCACGCAAACGTCAAACCGCAAGAATTTGAGACGTTTGAAAGAAGTTTAACTATTTGCGAGCGCGTCGTTTTGACATAATTAAAACTATGGTCAAAAACAAGGCTTTGATCCTGGTATCTGATCCAAATGTAGTGATTACATGGGCTTCGTCTTGGGTTAAGTTGAATTTAGGTTGATCAAATTGAATGGTATCGAAATGGTGTTAAAAGAATTCTGGGTTTTCGTGAGGATAGTGAAAACCATAATGCAATATGATTGTATTATGTGCTACTATATATAAAATAATAGTTTGCCTCTTGCATTTCAAAGCTTGCAAAAACTAAGACTAAGGCCTTTCTTCGAATATCATGAAACCGTCAATTTGTATTGAATTAGTCAAGCGTTTTTAGGGATAGTTTTGAAATTATCTTACAGGAGATACCTGTAATCCAAAACGTAGTCCTGGAAATCCAGTGGGCGTGAGCATTGTTTTCCCTGTGGTACCTTGTAACGAATCTCACCCCGATAAAGAAAGAATTGAACAGTTAAGCATATACGAATTTTGCAACCTTGTTAACTATAGGGGGGGGAGGGGGGGTGAATAGTTAACAAAATCCATTTTAACCATAGAATGAAACCATAGAACGACCATATTGGCAAAATTTTCCGTGATGTTTGCTATTACTTTAGCTCATAATAGCGTTACTGCTCAGTTTCTGTAAAATTTAAGCCAAAAATTGAAAACTTCGTCACGCAGAGCCCCCGATAAACAATTTTATGTTGTAGCTGAAACTACCCTAAAAACTTTAAACTTGAATACTCGGCTAAAAGTACATGTAAAAATCTCCTAGCATTTTAGTCCAATCGAGTCTATCGGTTCACAACATGATCAAAACGAAATTCGATCGAACAGACAATTTTTCTGGGCTGAAAATCTAAACCCAATATTGGTCTGATGATCAGTCTAGACTCGCACTAGAGTCACACAAGGGTCGAAATATGGGTCGATCAGGGGTCAAACGGAGGTCGAACTGCTGGTTCGAACAACTATCGACCAGGAATCAAAGTAGGGTTCAAACCAAGGTCGCATTGAATCCTCAAATCCAGACCAGGATCTAAAAGAAGCCGCGAACTGACAAGAGCATCCTTCTCCGACAGAAGCAAATAAAGAAACATCACCGCGTGCAAAGAAACCCGTTATAGACTTACACGTGGACGTATAAGAATGCAGCAAGTTTAGCTACGCAGTTACACCTACAACCCGCAAAAAGAAGGATTCAAAATCTCTAATCAACCTGTCTGAAACTGAACCCAGTGTCTTGTAAAATCAACAAAAAAAAACAAATTTGAAACTTTAAATTTCGAAATTCTTACAAGGAAAAGTATACTAACTATTTAAAAATGCTCAAAAACGCTTTCTATAACCCGTAACGATTGAAACTTTAGAAAGATACAAAGATACAGGAGACTTTAAGAGACACACAAACCATTGTCCTATACCATCTATCCGCCAGTTGGCTCAATTTTGAAAACATCAACCATCAACTCAATTGGTTTTCAAAGATCTGTGTCATCCCAATTAACCAAAAAATATTTAAACTGTCTACAGTTAGGAAAGAAAATTATAAATAGAAAACAAAAGATTTTGGCTCTAGTATAAATTCATTCGTAGTAATTTGTTGTTTCGACTTTGGAAAATACAGAGAAACTTTGTTTGAGATGTAATTTAACTTTATTCTGTTTTCGTTTTTAACGCAAAATTAGGTACCTCAAACAGTCATTACAATGAGTCAAGTGCTATATCATTTTCAAGCCCTCATGATTGACCGAGATTGAAAAATTTTCGAAAATTTGTCCGAATGTTGAGTAAGACCGGTGTCTTGTTTTGAGCAGGTGAACGACCAATTAACCGTTGTTTTATCAAAATTGATAATTTAAGGAAAACTTGAACTTAATAAAACGATAACTGGTTTTGGAAGCTTTTGCATTTTTTTGGCAAAAAAAAAACATTTTAAGGCCAAACTGTGAATTGTAATCAGATTCCGCAACAGGCTAAAAACATAGTTTTTGCGGAATCCGCAACATTGGTATTTTCTTTGATCTTCTTTGCTGTTTTGGATTCCACGGTCATTAATACAGAACACTGTTTTGCTCAAAATCGCTCCAAAAATGCAATTTTACGTAATCCGCAAGAAAGTTTTTGAACCCGCAGCAAAAATTGCAAAAGCCGTAAACAAATAATATGATATATGTTTAGTAAATATAAGTTATCGTGGATTCCGCAACTGCAAATGGAATCCGCAAATCGTGAACGGATCCGCTAATTGTATGCCATTTTCACTAAATTTACGCGGAATCCGCAAATTGAAAGCCGGAATCCGCAAATTGCAAGCGGAATCCATATAAATTTGCGGTTTTCACTTACATTTGCAGAATCCGCTTACATTTGCGAAATCCGAAAATCTATCTATATTATCTCGTTGCGGATCATCAATAAAAATTATGTACCGACGAAGGTATTTGTACGCGGAATCCACGGAATCTTTGTTTGTGGAATTCCGTTAAATTTTGGAACATGTTTGAAGACCTGTCTCTGGAATCCGGGAACATACAGACACAAAATTTGCCCCTATGCAGTGCAATGCACGTTTTGCCCTTGCAATGAATCTTTAAAAAAAACTACTGCTAAAACAGTCAGAAAAAATTTTAAAGAAATAACAAAAGAAAACTTTTTTTTGTAATTTCTTTTTATTAAAGTGGCCGGACCATTCTGGGTTTTTTGCACAGCCACCGGCTGTCCTTGTTTGATTTATTCTTTTTTCATTCGAAACTTAACGTAAGAGTTGACTCATTCTGTCTGACGAAACTTAACGTAAGGGTTGACTCAGTATGCTTTCTTATCCTCTGTAAATCAATAAACTTGGTTAAATCACTTGGATATTCTTGCGGTTGATGGTATCTAACGTTTGTAGAGTTTTGTCAGGTGAAGATATCACTTCTAAATTTACGTAAACGGGCCCAAAAGAGGGATCTGAGAGGGACTGGTACGATAAAGATAATAATTTGTTCTCCCGTGTGAAGTTGAACAAATGTCTATTCGAGGTGAGGCTTAAAAAAGATTTGTCGCAAAGTTTTCATTTTTCTGCGTCCTGTAAAACGATCAAGCCCTATGGTCTCATAATTGAAAAAATCAGCTCAATTCCGATTCAAATCTTCTTAGACAAATCTTCTTAGACATCTTTTTTCATTCGGCATGAACCTATGTAAGAATAGAATAGAAGTTGAGTTTTATGGCTGAAACGGCCCAAGTCAACTTTTACATATCCTCTTGCTAAGCAAGTAAGACAACAGGACATTAAGACGAAAAAAACGCATTAGCATCCAAAATTACTACAAATACTAGCAATGCCATCCCAGTATGTTTTTACAGATAGCTAACCACCTAATTCCATAATTTTTAGCTGAGTTATTTTCTCATTTAGCTGCCGGTGTTTTCTTTGTTGGGTAAACGGTGGTTCTCCTCATGAAGTTCGTCAAATATTCAATCGCGAATCCTGTTGTTGTTCGTATGTCAGCGGTTCCTCCAAGCTCGTTTCACATCGATATGGCAATTTGTCCAAAAAACCAAAACTCCGCGCACAAGCAGAAACTTGACCCAGTTGACCGGTTATTGCTCAACTTCAGCTTCGAAAGCAGCAGAAATTTCAGTAATTTTGCAGAAAAGGCAGCTAAAAAAGTTTTTGGCAATTTTGTTGAGATTTTTTTCTTTTGAATAGCTTTTTTAAGATCAAATTTGTAGAATTATCCGAAAACACATTGAAAGAGTATGACAAACAGCCCATGTTATTTGTTCCAATGAAAAATTCCCTGGCGGCAACAATAACTTCAGTTTCGAAATCGGTAATCAAAATTTCTCTAACAAAGTGAATTCGAAAAATTTCGGAACGATATTCTTTCAAAACCATACAAAATTTTGATTGCAGTTTTTCGTTTTTTTTTTCGCCAAGAAAACCCCAAACTACTGGAACTTTCCAATCTCCCTTAATTCCGAACAACACAAAAGTTTGAGTAAAAGGTAATGGCGTGGTTTTGAAGCTGCCGTTGCCAGGAGTTTTTTTTTGACCGGACAAAATTTCTAAGTCCTGAAGAGTGCAAATTTTATGGGCCGAGTTTCTTCATGAAAGACAAATTGTTTGTTGTTTTTTGTTAGTTTCCATGGTCCTTTGTGTTTGATATCTTCGAGTTTTTTTTTCGAGTCAGAGTTCAAAATTATTGCCCCTTTTTCTACTCAACATTTTTTCCGTATAATTGCGGGTCGTACAATTTTGGGTGGCAAATAATTTTGGGTCGGATTTCTGGAGATTGTTATGGTGGGCTCTTTTAAAGCCAATTGTTTTTGACACTCGCCAAAATTTGGAAAAAATGGAACTTCGTCAAATACTAAGATTAATTTCAGGTCACTTTAAAAGCTTTACGCGAACAAGAAAAATTGGATCATGTTAACTATTTTCCCCCTATTGCAATAGGGTGAAAATGGCGCACAGACAATTCGGCCAAAGATAATTCAGCCAATTTGAAATTCAGACAATTCAGCCAAAATTATACAGACAATTCAGCCTGAGACAATTCAGCCAGTTTTACAAAACACTAGATTCGAAAGAAAAAAAATCAGAATTGTAGCTATTTCTCGATTTAAGCTCTGTAGGCAAGCTCGCAACACGTTGGGGCGACTGCGGCGGTCACTATTATTGGCTGAATTGTCTCTGGTTGAATTGTCTGCATACTTTTGGCTGAATTGTCTGAATTTCAAATCGGCTGAATTGTCTTTGGCCGAATTGTCTTTGGCCGAATTGTCTGGACGCTCGGGAAAATAGTTAACAAGGTTTGGATGAAATTTATTGAAATAACGCCAACCAATAGAAATGCGAATTGAAATAACGTCAACCAATAGGAATCGGACAGAACCCATTTCTGAGAAATACAAAACCAATCCAGTTGAGCATAAATGCGTTTGACATTTAAACTTGCCGAAATGTGTTTTTGTAGGGGGAGGGGGATTCTTTACAAGGTACCATAGGGGGAAATAGTTAACATGATCCGAAAAATTTAATAAAATGGTTGCAACAATCATTCAAACAATACGGTAATTTTAACTAAAACATTTTATCCGCTTGAAACGTTCATTAATTTCATTAAAATGCCGGACCTTGTTGTCAGAATTTGATTGGCTAATTAGCCAATCAGCTTCAAACACATTATTTTTGGCTCAATTAATAGAAAATTGATTTATGTCAGCTTGGGGGCATTCATTTAACATGGCAAGCGGCATCAATTAATTTGCCAGTAATTTGGAATGTGAAAAAACAGGGTCTAGGACAACAAGCCGACGGGACTTCAAGCCGAAATTAAAACTTTACAAGCACCTCAAAACACTATTTTATCATCTGTAAAACGTTATTTTTCAGAAATTTTGGCAAGTTTAGTCCATTAAAAGCGTTATTCATTACAATCCACCACTTGTGATTGGCATCCGTTAATAACATCAGCGGGTTTTTGAAATGCATAAATTATAAACATGAAAAATGCCTTCAACCATGTTTTACTTTTCAACTTTCCGAAACATCATTTGGAGGCTTAAATTTTATGAAAACGCCAATAACTTGTGAAGAAAGAACATGAAACTCAGAAATTCTTCAAAAAAGTTTTCAAATTAATCATTTTTCACGAGTTTATAAGGAACTATTCGGCTTGAAGTCCCTAATTTTACACCCGCAAAACAGTCCCTAATTTTGGCACCCGAAAAAACAGTATTAAAAAATTCGGCACTGTTGAACAAGATTTTAATTTTTGGCACTGTTGTACTGAGCCGGCCATTGATTGCATAAAAAGGGATCTACTTAACAATCTACTAAACGATTAATGAGATATTTTATGACGCTCACTTAGATCTCTGAAAGCTTGAAGTTCTTTTTTGTTATGTATGCGCGGATTTGAATCTCGTAAATGTGAATAATTAGTTTTAGGTTCTTGATAAATGATACTCTCAAAGATCTCACCATATTGAGAAACCACTGAATATTTTTTCAATAAAAAAAAACGAAAAATTTTTTTTTCTAAATTGCGTCAATGGTTTCAAAGTGCAAAACTGATGCCCTCTAAATTGAATGCAATTGATTGGTTAGCCTTAACAACGTTTAAAGAAGCAAAATAGTTCAAAGGTTTACATTACAGAGATCTCGCTCAGCACCTAGTTTTTATTTGGTTCATATTCAGTCTCAAATTTTTGAGTAAATGTTATGGATCAAGCATATTCAAGGCCAGTCTTACTTTAACTCGCCACAGTTGTTATATTAGTCTTTGAGATTTCATATTGCAAATAACCGCTATAATGTTAGTCGGATTCTTGCTCCTTTTGTTATGCCTTCTCTTCTCAGGTGAGTTTTATTAATATTTCGGTATACTTGCGATTCAGTGATTCGAACCCCTGCCACCAAAAGAATCCGCCCTTTGGTTCTTTTTTACTACCTTTTTCATTTTTGACCAACCGAACCCAAAAATTTTTCCGAAAGCACCGTTTGCACCAACAAACAGTACATTTCAGGGGGTGAGCTCGCCGAAAAACTCAATTTTCGGTCGAACATGAGAAAAAATGCTAAAAAATTTCATTTTTCTAAGGAATTTTTGAAGAGTTATGAGAGAGCTAGGAAAATCAAATTTGCCAATGAGAGGAGATCAGTAAAAGTTTTTGAAGATTTACTGAAAGCCTGCTCACGAGAGCAAAAAAGTTGGGATAAATATACCTTAAAAACTATCTTAAATTACGTCAAAATCTAGCAAAAAACGCTGACTTTCCCCTTATTTTAAGCTATGTAACTACAACTTTGACTCGCGGTAGTTTACACTGAGTCTTTTGGCGGAACTATCTTACATTTAAGTTTTACTTAAGTTGCCTCAAGATTACCTTAACTATGAAGGTGAATTTTACCTTATATTACGTCAACTACTACAATAGCGTTATTCATTTTTACCCAAACTCTTGGAGGAGAACTACCTGAAAATTTTTTAAACTACCCCAAGCTTACTTTATGAGTTGATCTTTGCTATGAAGTTGAAATTACTTGAAGTTACATCAGGTACAACATCAACTTATGAAACTACGCACCAGACAAGGATAGTGAGCGAGGATGAGCTCTCTTTTGACCTCTAGCATCAGGTCTGCCACAGCCTGGCCGAATGCGGTTGCAACAATACTACCTCATGAAAACTTTAGACGATAACAAACCGGGATTGATTTTTAGAAAAAAGCTTCGCGCAACAAAATAACTCATCCTGGAAAGTGGGGAAATCAGCAAAGCAAACTATGCTTAGACATTGGGCATATCCTATCGTAAATCCTCTAAGAATTGCAGAAACCACCATTAATATTTATACCGTAATCTTGTGGTGTAGCTACCTCAAGTTTACTTAAATTGCGCCAAACTTTTCTGCAAAATTTACTTTAACTATGCAGGTGATTTACCTTAAATTACGTCATTTTTTTCAAAACTTCCTTCAAATAAATCTTGTGCAAAAACTAGCCTAAATTTTACATAAGTTGCCCTATGCTTAATTTAGAATTTGACCTTGGCTATGAAGTTGAAATTACTTTGAGTTACATCAACTACTCCCTTAATTCAATGGAACTACCAATCTGACAATGATAATGTGCAAAGATGAGCTCCCACTTGACCTTTAGCTTCAAGTCTGCCACAGTTTGACCAATTGCAGCTGCAACAATGGTATCACTTGAAAGTTCTAGTCGCAAAAAAGCGTCTCGCAACAATTAATTGAATCTGAAATGGGGAAATGCGAGAAACTGATTATGCTAAGACAGTCTGGGTAGCTTTTCACAAATCCTCTGCAGATAACAGAAACCACAATGATTAACTTGCTCTTAAATCTTGCGGGGTAGCTATCTTTAAATTTACTTAAATTGCCTGAAGCTTACCTTAGAAAAGTATCTTAGCTATGAAGTTGAATTTATCTTAAGTTACATCAATTACACTACCTTGCCTGAAATATAACTTGACTCTTGTGGGGAATCTACTTTAAGTTTTAGTTGAGTTGCCCCAAGTTTAATTGAAAATTATCCCGTTAAGTTGACTTTACTTCTTATTACATCAACTACTACAAACTTTTGATGGAAGTTCGAAATTATTTAAAAATTGATGGCTGAGCGTCTTACACAAACTTTTTAAAACTGTAAGCTGCTCGCCAATTTTTTCATCTACGCTTAATTGCTTGAAGGTAGATTAGCAATTTTCGCCTTTGCCCTGATTCAAAAACACTTCTCTTAGCTAATTTTCCAAACTTTCCGAAATTTACCTGAATGTACTTTAAGTTATCTTAACTGTTTAAGGTAAATTTTCGCCGTAAGTATTTTAAGTATTTTTATGATAGATTTGTAAAATTTACTTCAACTATGATTTAACTTAAAACTTTTTAAGGTAATGTATTTGCCTCAATTTTTTATTAAAGTGAAAAATCTTAAATCCGGATCTGCAGTAATATAGCATATCAAAACTCTTTCATCAGTGTCGAGAATATTCATGTGTCGAGACGTTTATTTTTTGCGAAGAGTAGAGTCTATGAAGAAAGAACTAGACCGTTTTTTAAGTAAAGCAACTCCCGCCGAGTATTATTCAAAGCAAGGAGTCCCGCTTACACCATCTGAAAAAAAAGTGGCAAAAATTTAGTCACTATGTCGGAATATGTTGTGGTTTTTGCAAGGCATAACTGTCTGTCTTTTATAATCTTTGGTTTGAGTCATTTTTACCCCGCCATTTTGTATAATCAGACTTTTTAAACAACCCAACCCCCCACCCCCAACCCCACTTCCACACCCACCCCCACCCCCACCACAACAACCCACCCCCCAGATACCTTACCCCATTACCTTTTTACACCTCATCAAAATACTTCATAATATTTCAAAATTACATATTGACCGCCGCAAAAATTGACGGCGTACAAAGAGACGCGGAACCAAAACTGAGCTGCACGAATTTCAGTGTTCGATGACTCATTGTCAGCATCTGAGAATAGCGAAGAGTGGCAGTCTCTGAGGTTCGTCATGCCAAGTGGGGTCAGTACCATTTCCATGAACTCCAGAATCTGCAACCATTTAAGGTTAGAGAGGAATTGTCGAAAAGAATGTTCTGATACAAGTTATAAAGAGCCCAATTGTTCGAATTATATCTGTGGCTCCTCAGACCGAATTGATGGAAAACTAGAATTGGGCTTTTTCCATCCCCTCCCCCGCACACATTTGAAAATCAAGATTAGAAAGCAATGAATTGCGTATTGTTTTTGCAAAATTCTAGCCTCTTTATTTACTGAAATTTTTAGCAAAAACACAAAAACAGCAAAAAAGTCTCGGCGCAAATCAACCGTCAAAACAAGAGCAGAAGTCCTGAAAAAAAAACTTTTTTTATTCTTCCTCGAATAAAAAGTCTTGACTCGTAAACTCTTATTTTCAACCAATCAACTTTTTACATGGCTTCTTCTAAATCAACATGGTCTAATGATGTTCTACTTAGAAAATTAAAAAAAGGCGGAGAAAGTTCCGCTGAAAACTAAAACACTTGGTTTTACACAGTCCTTCCATAATTGTTAAAAAAAGGAGCGCTAAACAGAACAACAATCCCAGTACTACCATAGTGTATCCCTAGCAATTTTTTCCAGGAAGAACTACTGCTTGCTGGGCTATGACTACCAAGTTAATCATGGGACCGCACTTTTGAATTCAGAGCGCATAGACAGGATTGTATTTGAAGATCTTATTCGAAGAGAATACAATAAAATCAACTGGTTTTCTCTCAACAGTAATGGTTAGTGATACTTTTGACTACTTTTTCCTCTTCCTACTCATCCTCCTCCTTTCCCATCCACCATTTTGTAAACTTCAAGTGCCCGGGACGAGCATATGCTTTCATGAATTGACGATCGCGACCAAAATTGGGTTATATGATCTGCGCGACTTAAAATGTCTGAAAGTAAGATGCAGACCTTAAAAAAGAGTTCTAATGCCACTGGATTAGTAGAACGGTGAGGGAAGAAGAGCGGCCAGTTGAAGTAAGGTGATATGTGAAAAACCGAAAACTTAAATATTGCAATTTAAAACTGAACACGGAAATCTAAACCTCTAAAATAAATTTTTTTGTTCCGAATTTCGATACGAAAGTAACGGAATATTTGTGCTCGGGGTGGGTTTTTTTTTCTTTAGACAAATTTCGACTTTTTAACTAGCCATTTTTGACGGAATTTTTTTTATATCATTCGAAAGGTATTGTTGTCCTAAGCTCAAATTTGAAAAGATATTTTACCTGTGACCATTTTTCGTAAAGTTACCATTTCGGCCAATTTGGGACAATTAACGCTCGATATATTTCGCGCTATTAACGCGTAAGCGGAGAGTTAATCCCTCTTAGAAATCGTTCCAAATTGGTTGAAAGAAGCTTTGCCATAATTGATTTGTTACAAGGAGCGAAATTTATCTCTCTGTACTTTATATGGCAAGTGGGGAGATGATCTCACAAAAATCTCAAATTTTACGGAAATATTTTTCGTTTTATTTTGTTACATGTAAATTTTTTTACGTTATTATTGCTCAATAGACCTTAAAAGGCAGTTGGAACATTCAGGGCTTCGCCTTGATTCGAGCAGTCTTGTTTATTATTTAGAAAATTTATCTACTGAAAGTGTAACACGAGTTATCATCTTAACACGAGAACAAAGTTTGCCCCAAAATGAGAGCCAGCTAATTTGTCAAATTATTTCCTTGTATGGCTCAAATTTTTTTCGTCAACAATTAAAATAATTTTGCGACATAATTTAAAACTTAGTCGCGATGGCCTTAAAAATGGTCTTGACATAGTCCTAATTATCTCATTTTTCACAATTTTCAAGTGGAGTTGGTCTAAAACTAAAATCGGACAAACAAATTCCAACCAAAATTTGACTTTTTGTCAGATTTTTGCTTGCAAAATTGTCCAGTTTGCAAAATCATCACCCCACACGCCATATAAAATACAAAGGGATAGATTTTGCTACTTGTAACAAACCAATTATGGAAAATAAGCTTCTTTTAACCAATTTGGAACGATTTCTAAGACGGATTAAATCTCTGCTTACGCGTTAATAGCGCGAAACATATCGCGCCTTAATTGTCCCAAATTAGCCAAAATGGCCAAAATGGCAATATTTAAACCCTCATAACTTTACAAAAAATGATCACAGGTGAAATATCTTTTCAAATTGAAGCTCAGGACAACAATATCTTTTGAATGATATAAAAAAAATTCCGTCAAAATTGGCTATTTAAAAAGTCGAAATTTGTCTGAAGAAAAAAAACCCACCCCGAGCACAAATATTCCGTTACTTTCGTATCGAAAGTGGGAACAATAATGGGATATAGTGAATGGGATATATAGAATTGAATATATATCCAATCTAAAGAAGGGGATAAAGAGATTGTTCAGAGGAGCCAGATGTGTGAGTCAATTAAACTTTCAAATAAAACGAAAAATTAAAAATTGAAACTAGTATAAAATGAAATTATTGAGCGACTATGCGGACAGAAAAGATCTAGCCGAAAAGATTGCCTAGTGATCTGTAATCCCCAATTTGACAAAACTTTATAAGAAGCTGGCAATGATAAATTGTATTCAATCATAATCAAGTTATTATGTATGTTGACCATCACCAATTAGCTTTCTCATCACCATGGCGACTGAAGAAATTCAGAAACAAGTAGAAAAGTAAATTGATTTATATCAAAGAAAATCAGATATTCAAGAGAAAGGTAAAAGAAAGCTAATAACGTCAACATAAAAATGTTCTATATTTGTTCTAGACACAAAAAATTATGAAAAAACTGGATTGCTGTAATTAATATTGCTGGTTTTCCAGTGTACTTAATTCAGTAAAAAGAATGCTACATCAAGTGAAGTCACAAGAGGGATAAACCATTGTTAGATAAAGCGCATATCTGACTTGAGGTGAAAAAAACAATCAAGGAAGAAAAAAATAAAAAATAACTGACGAAGTTTGAAATCCATAAGCTTCAAACACAACATCAAAAGCAATAAATTTGACTTATATCTTTATTTTTTTGTGCTTTAACGATTATACTCAATCAAGCAGAACCAGAGCATTCATGTTTTGCGACAATCAGGATGATACAATTTTAATTGAAAATTTTGTTTTCTCTGGAAAAATTTTAATGTAAATTAAGATTATTGCTGCAAAACATTTTTTTATAAAAAATATAATTTTTGTATGACTGTTTTCAAGCTCCCATATCTGTTTTTCAAAACTAACCTCCCATATCCTGAATTAAGAGTTTAACCAAAAATAAGAACTGCAGGAGTTTTCGCGGTGTGAGCTGCTACGCTCCAATTAGTTTTTTTTTAAATCAATTTGTTTCTCATTAAAGACGAATTTTTTTTGAGCTTTTAATCGCTTTTTGAAATTCTCTTACTTCTATCGAAAAGTACCTTGCCAAATCTGATCTCAAAAAATAAATCGAAATAAAAATTTTTGTCAACCATTCCGGCATTTGCGAGTTTGTCCTATTTGACCGTTTTTTGGAATTTTTTGATTGTTCTCAAAAAAGTTACCCTTCCAAATTCAATATTAATTCTTCAACTTGAGAAACATGTTTCATAAATTTTTGCTGCATAAGTATGTAAGCCTTGGTTTATCTTGAAAAAAAACTATATTTTAATAAATTTAAACAAGTTTGTTTCTTTTTGGTACCTTTTTTTGGAAACTTTGCTATTTCTCAAAAACTACTCTGCCAAATTTTGAGATTGAGAATTATGTTGAAGAAAAAATAAGCAAACAGTTTTATGCAGAGTTTTGCCGTATTTTTTCAACTTAGCTACCGTTTGCTTTTGTGTCGCGTGTTTGTATGTTCATTTTTTCAAATCTTTGAACAAAACAAAATAAGCAAAAACAAATCAAGAAACAATGAAAGTAAAACCCTCTTTGAAGTATATCCAGAACGATGAAATCAGAGAACGAAAGCAAAAAAAAACTATACTTGATGCTTCACTAAATAAAAGGAAGTTATTTGACTCAGTCAACATCCAAGCTCAGAGAGTAAAACGAGGGCGCAAAGAACTATTAGTGTCCTACAGCAACCTAAGCTCTACTAGCAGCCAAGATGAAACTGCATCACGTAAGAGCGTATGGAAACCGACCGCGGTCACTAAGATCGACTGAGTCTTGATAGACCATAAATCCAAAAAGGGCAAAAAAGGCACAAAAAAAGGGGAACGACGAGCAAAACTCTATCAAACATTTAATTACTTAATAATTTGCCCAAGAAGAGGGCTGATCGAGAACTGGGCAAGAACGTAATGCACTTTACCGCTAGTTCTGTGATACGTTTTAGTTCTATGTTAGCAGTAATTGATGCGATACCCAAAAAATGTTTTACTTGGTTGAGTTTTCAAGTTCTGAAAACTTCCATATCAATTTTCGAGTATTTAAACATTTGAGTTTTTTGTAAGATGGGAAGGACATAGAGCGCTAAATCAATTCACCTAAGTCTCATCAATCTGTACTGTACTTAAATACCGGCAGGAAACTGCCAATGGCGCTGTCTGTCAACTTTGAAGTGACCTATGTTTCTAACTCTTATGATTACATCGGCGCAAAATACGGTGTTTACGGAAAACATGGACGGAAAAAAAATAACTCGAAAATGAACCAACGCTATTTTCGAACCTTTACCTTTGCTTGGGATGAAAAAAGACAGGACAAGTTGCACTAGAGGTGGCCGCATCTCGATCTTAGTACGACGCGCTATCTAAGGGTTCTGGATGCGATTGAGACCAGTTTTTCAGTATTTGTTTAAAAAAATAGTGAAAAATGAGTTATGAAAGCTTTTTCATTCGATTGCAGGTAAAACTGATTGCTTTTCAGAAAATATTCTACGCCAGAAAAATGTTTCAGTTGTAAATTGTATCAAATTTTTGATTTTCCTTATTTCCTTGGTTGTTTTCAAGTTTTCCCAGAAATTGAGACTGTTTTTGGTTACATGAAATCCTTCACAACAAACTTGTTGCTAAGTAAAGAAAAAAACTATATATTGTTTTAAATGTTGATACAAGGCAGTTAAAAAGGTACAAATCTTTTTTTCAAAAAATGTTCAAGACAATTTTCAAGGCAGAAAGTTTTGACGCTGGTATTCGTGAGGTTGTCTTCAAATTTGTTTGGTAGCAAGAAACTTGTTTCAACAGAAACTTTATCTAAGTCTGAAATGGGCATTCATCAGGTTTTAACATTAATTTTCTGCAAAAAAGTGAGGGAGCGATGCTGTTGATGGAGATTGTATCAGTTTATCGAAGTATGGAAACGCCAAAAAATCAGTAGTTTTCTTTAGAAAGATGCAGGAAAATTCAACAAAAAGAATACTGTCAGATTCATGAACGTTGTTTTTTTTTTTTACAAAAATGATTGTTTTTACACTGAAGATAGGAAAAATCAGTTCAAACAATGTTTTGAATTTGATTTTGACTCCGATTCTCAATTTGTAACAATATATTTTAATCGGTTAGCCAAATATAAAAAGTTTCCGTTGTGTATCCTACATATACATATTCACTGATTCAAAAAAAGTAGTTCAGAAAAAAATGATTGGTATCTATGGTGTAAAATGAAGGTTTTTGATCAGTTTCTCATTTATACACATCCAAGCTGAGAGAGTTCTCAAAAAAGTTACCCTTCCAAATTCAATATTAATGCTTCAACTTGAGAAACATGTTTCATAAATTTTTGCTGCATAAGTATGTAAGCCCTGGTTTATCTTGAAAAAAAACTATATTTTAATAAATTTAAACAAGTTTGTTTCTTTTTGGTACCTTTTTTTGGAAACTTTGCTATTTCTCAAAAACTACTCTGCCAAATTTTGAGATTGAGAATTATGTTGAAGAAAAAATAAGCAAACAGTTTTATGCAGAGTTTTGCCGTATTTTTTCAACTTAGCTACCGTTTGCTTTTGTGTCGCGTGTTTGTATGTTCATTTTTTCAAATCTTTGAACAAAACAAAATAAGCAAAAACAAATCAAGAAACAATGAAAGTAAAACCCTCTTTGAAGTATATCCAGAACGATGAAATCAGAGAACGAAAGCAAAAAAAAACTATACTTGATGCTTCACTAAATAAAAGGAAGTTATTTGACTCAGTCAACATCCAAGCTGAGAGAGTAAAACGAGGGCGCAAAGAACTATTAGTGTCCTACAGCAACCTAAGCTCTACTAGCAGCCAAGATGAAACTGCATCACGTAAGAGCGTATGGAAACCGACCGCGGTCACTAAGATCGACTGAGTCTTGATAGACCATAAATCCAAAAAGGGCAAAAAACTCTATCAAACATTTAATTACTTAATAATTTGCCCAAGAAGAGGGCTGATCGAGAACTGGGCAAGAACGTAATGCACTTTACCGCTAGTTCTGTGATACGTTTTAGTTCTATGTTAGCAGTAATTGATGCGATACCCAAAAAATGTTTTACTTGGTTGAGTTTTCAAGTTCTGAAAACTTCCATATCAATTTTCGAGTATTTAAACATTTGAGTTTTTTGTAAAATGGGAAGGACATAGAGCGCTAAATCAATTCACCTAAGTCTCATCAATCTGTACTGTACTTAAATACCGGCAGGAAACTGCCAATGGCGCTGTCTGTCAACTTTGAAGTGACCTATGTTTCTAACTCTTATGATTACATCGGCGCAAAATACGGTGTTTACGGAAAACATGGACGGAAAAAAAATAACTCGAAAATGAACCAACGCTATTTTCGAACCTTTACCTTTGCTTGGGATGAAAAAAGACAGGACAAGTTGCACTAGAGGTGGCCGCATCTCGATCTTAGTACGACGCGCTATCTAAGGGTTCTGGATGCGATTGAGACCAGTTTTTCAGTATTTGTTTAAAAAAATAGTGAAAAATGAATTATGAAAGCTTTTTCATTCGATTGCAGGTAAAACTGATTGCTTTTTAGAAAATATTCTACGCCAGAAAAAAGTTTCAGTTGTAAATTGTATCAAATTTTTGATTTTTCTTATTTCCTTGGTTGTTTTCAAGTTTTCCCAGAAATTGAGACTGTTTTTGGTTACATGAAATCCTTCACAACAAACTTGTCGCTAAGTAAAGAAAAAATTATATATTGTTTTAAATGTTGATACAAAGCAGTTAAAAAAGGTACAAATTTTTTTTTCAAAAAATGTTCAAGACAATTTTCAAGGCAGAAAGTTTTGACGCTGGTATTCGTGAGGTTGTCTTCAAATTTGTTTGGTAGCAAGAAACTTGTTTCAACAGAAACTTTATCTATGTCTGAAATGGGCATTCATCAGATTTTAACATTAATTTTCTGCAAAAAAGTGAGGGAGCGATGCTGTTGATGGAGATTGTATCAGTTTATCGAAGTATGGAAACGCCAAAAAATCAGTAGTTTTCTTTAGAAAGATGCAGGAAAATTCAACAAAAAGAATACTGTCAGATTCATGAACGTTGTTTTTTTTTTTTTACAAAAATGATTGTTTTTACACTGAAGATAGGAAAAATCAGTTCAAACAATGTTTTGAATTTGATTTTGACTCCGATTCTCAATTTGTAACAATATATTTTAATCGGTTAGCCAAATATAAAAAGTTTCCGTTGTGTATCCTACATATACATATTCACTGATTCAAAAAAAGTAGTTCAGAAAAAAATGATTGGTATCTATGGTGTAAAATGAAGGTTTTTGATCAGTTTCTCATTTATACACATCCAAGCTGAGAGAGTTCTCAAAAAAGTTACCCTTCCAAATTCAATATTAATGCTTCAACTTGAGAAACATGTTTCATAAATTTTTGCTGCATAAGTATGTAAGCCCTGGTTTATCTTGAAAAAAAACTATATTTTAATAAATTTAAACAAGTTTGTTTCTTTTTGGTACCTTTTTTTGGAAACTTTTCTATTTCTCAAAAACTACTCTGCCAAATTTTGAGATTGAGAATTATGTTGAAGAAAAAATAAGCAAACAGTTTTATGCAGAGTTTTGCCGTATTTTTTCAACTTAGCTACCGTTTGCTTTTGTGTCGCGTGTTTGTATGTTCATTTTTTCAAATCTTTGAACAAAACAAAATAAGCAAAAACAAATCAAGAAACAATGAAAGTAAAACCCTCTTTGAAGTATATCCAGAACGATGAAATCAGAGAACGAAAGCAAAAAAAAAACTATACTTGATGCTTCACTAAATAAAAGGAAGTTATTTGACTCAGTCAACATCCAAGCTGAGAGAGTAAAACGAGGGCGCAAAGAACTATTAGTGTCCTACAGCAACCTAAATCAGCTACAGTTTTTAAAATTGAACTCCAAAATTGTCCGCATAATTTCCTCCGCAAAGTTTCTCCACAAAATTCCTCCACAATTGTCTCATATATCAAACGTGGTTGATAAAAGAAGTTGTATCTAATGTGAGTTTTTAGTTTACAAAATGATAATTTTTATAATTTGTTCTGACTTTATTAAGTTGGATTCAGGAACAAAGACTTTAGTTTTGACTATTTGAGCTGATGTTGTTCACTTAGTAGATTTCTTCTATAACAAAAAGATAACGAATCATTCAAAAAATATATACATTAAATTTTAGATAGATGCTGAAACTACTTTGAATAATATGTATGTAAAACTGTTCAAATCATGATTAATTTGAAAAAAAAATTCGTGTTCTGAAAATTCAAATATGTTCCAGATAGGTTTCCGCTTTAACTAGTTTTTTCAATTCGTAATGTTTCCTTTCAGATCATCTTTTCTACGGGCCTGTATTTGTTTATTAACTGCGTCCTCCGAATGCGTTCTCTATATTTCAAACTGTGGTCTCTACAGCCACCATGATATCAATAATCAAAGTCTAGATTTTTTCACAAATACTTTTTCCGAGGTTAAGCTTTTGCTTCAATGGCTCCAGGATGTGGGAAGTTCTTCAGTGTAATTTTGTGAGAAAGATGGTATTCATGATAAGTTGGAATAAATGTTTGGTGGTTGTTTCTTAATAAAAATGCTAGCTCCACCAGGCTATTTAAAATATTTTAAAAACTAGTAGATGAAGTAAAATTGAAATAATTTTTTCGCTTCATTGGCTCCAAAAAATGGGAAGTTCTTCAGTGTATATTTTTGACAATACTGGTATTCATGATAAATTGGTTTAAATGATTGTTGATTGTTTCCTAATAAAATGTTCTAGCTCCACCAGGCTACTAAATTTTTTTAAAAACTAGTAAAAGAACTAAAACTGAATAAATTTTTCGCTTCATTGGTTCCAGATTGTGGGAAAATCTTCAGTGTAATTCTTTGAGAATTGTGGTTTTCATGATAATTTGGAATATTTCTTCGTTGATTGTTTCTTAAAAAAGTGCTAGCTCCACCAAACTACTAAAAATATATTTTTAAGAGTATTGTAGATGAAATCAGATGGATAAATTTTTCGCTTCATTGGCTTCAGGATGTAGGAAATTTTTCGGTGTCATTTTTTGAGAAAGACGATTTTCATGATAAATTGGAATAGTTGTTCGTTGATCATTTCTTAAAAAATTGTTATAGCTCCACCAGACTACTAGAAATGTTAGAAAAATAGAAGACGAATTAAAATTGAATAAATTTTTCGCTTCATTGGCTCCAGGATGTGGGAAGTTCTTCAGTTTACTTTTTTGACGAAGATGGTTTTCACGATAAACTCGAATAGTTGTTCATTGATGGTTTTTTAATAAAATGTACTAGCTCCACCAGACTACTTAAAAATATTTTCTAAAAAAACTGTAGATGAAAAAAAACGGATTAAGTTTTTTGCATCATTGGTTCCATAATGTGGAGGTTCTCCAGTGTAATTTTTGAGAATGATGGTATTCATGATAATTTGGAAGAGTTCCTCGTTCATTCTTTCCTAAAAAAAATCGCTAGCTCCACCAGACTACTAAAAATATATTTTTTTAAAATTGTAGATGAAATGAAACTGAATAAATTTTTCGCTTCATTGGCTCCAGGATGTGGAAAGTTCTTCAGTGTAACTTCTTGAGAAAGTTGGTACTCATGATATAATGGGATAGTTGTTCGTTGATTGTTTCTCAATAAAATGTGCAAGATCCACCAAACTACTAAAAAAGTATTTTAAAAAAGTTGTAGATGAAATAAAACTGAATGAATTTTTCGCTTCATTGGCTCCAGGATGTGGGAAGTTTTCAGTGTAATTTTTTGAGAAAGATTGTTGTCATGATAAGTTGGAATAGTTGTACGTTGATCGTTTCCTATTAAATTGTTATAGCTCCACTAGACTACAAGAAATATTTTTAAATAGTAATAGTAGACGAAACAAAACTGAATACATATTCCGCTTCATTGGCTCCAGGATGTGGGAAGTTCTTCAATGTAATTTTTTGAAATAGATGGTACTCATGATAAGTTGGAATAGTTCTTCGTTGACTCTCTCTTGAAAAAAGTGCTAGCTCCACCAGACTACTAACAAAATATTTAGAAAGAATATAATTGAAGTAAAACAGATTAATAAATCAGCTGATCTCACAGTTCACTGGACTTTAAGCGTAAACTACCAAATGTTAATACTGATCAAAAACTAAAAATCTGAAAAGTTGTTCCGGAAAAACACTTTGATGACAGAAAAAAGCGTATCAAAAAGTTATTATAGAAATTAACATCTTTAGTTGGAAAAGCTAGTTATGATCATTGATTGTAAATAACCTGCATAGAATTTATTCTTCACTTTGAAGCAAGAAAATAAAGCCGGTCTTTTTTTTAAGAATCCTGTTGCAGATTCCAGTCTGACATCTACATAAACATTGGACACAAGAAGGGACTCTTTCCAATCTCCTACTACGTCAGAGTGACTGACTTTTCACGTCACAACAAGAGACTCAATTTCCTCAAGGTTACAAAGCAAAACAGATTTGTATCCCACCAAAAACTCTCAGTCAGCTCAAAAACATTTTATCCTCAAAAAAACTGTCAAATAATATTGGCCATTTCACAAGAACACTCCAACTGCTTTTTCACTTGCCTAAAGTGGCTTTGGTTGAAAATAGCGAGAAGAAGAGTTGAAATTAAAGTTAAAACAAGGATGACCGCGGTTGCTGTGCAAGTAGCACAGAAATTCCAACCATACTCATAGAGTAATAGAAATTGTTTAAAATATTTCTTTAAATTAAGGTAATTTTTAATTGGTGGTGTGATTTGAGAACCATATCATCGGGTAAAGAATTAGTGAATTAGGCATATTTAAAAAAATTTGTTTTCAAAAACGAATACCAAACAAAAAATGAAAAAAGTGTAAGTATTTTTTAATTTTGTTTTATTTTTTGTACTATATTTTCATTTTTTTTGAAAATCTTCATTGTCAATTAAGTGCTGAGAGAAAAAAACGAAACCAGTTTTGTTGATAGTAAAATCAAGCTTTGTGAGCGTAAATTTACTAAAAAACTTCCTAAGATTTCCATATAACGAATGTTACACGATCGCGCTTTCGCTCGAAATTGAACTAAAAATCAGAAACTTGAAACCAGTTTTTCTCGACACTGGGGGAGTTTTTGGAAAACTCTAAATGTCGTTCGAATCGCGACTGAAAGGGCTTGAATGTGATATACCACTAATTCTCTCCTATGATTATTGTGTTAGCTGACTTTGCGGGGAAAGAAAAAGAAAAAAAACTAAACACACCGAATACAAAGTTCCTCCCTATTTTCAATGGTCGTAACAATAACATCCTCCCCTCACACACATGTGAAACTTAAGTGGTATAAATTGCTCCTCAGTTGGACCATTTAGATTTAATTATTCAATTTAGCAATTTTCAATTTAGCAATATATGGACATGAA